CTGCAGCCGGGAGGGAGGGCGGGAGGGGTTACAGTGGGAAGAGGAGGGGGGAAGGGGAAGGGGGGTGGTGGGGGTGTAGAGATGTCATTGAACTGTTTGATGCACACGAGGTAGCATTCAGGTCACTATGGAGTCATTCTTGGAATTCTCAAAAGTGGCTCCATTGTGGGATGGGGGTGGAGACATGTCAATGGACTGTTTGCTATGCACGAGGTAGCTTTCAGGCAGCGGCCCAGCAACCTGGCTGCTCGCGAGGTAGCTGCAGACGAGGGCCGGGGGAGGTGGGAGGGAGCGAAGAGGGTTGGAGGGGAGAGAGGGAGAGGAGGATGAGGGAGGGTGGGGTGGGGGGGTGTTTTGGGAGGGTGTAGAGAGGTCAACAGACCATTTTCCGCTCTCACATGGCTTCATTCCCCATGCTGCTCGCGACTCCCCATGAACGCCTGCTGCACACACACTCTATCACCCTTCCCTTGCTTCTCACATCTACCAGCAAACACCACACACACCGTAACTATCACCCTCCCCCTTCCTTCTCACATGGTTTGAAGAGAGGTGAGCTGTGCAAGAGAAGAGTGATTTTTCATAATCTAAAAAAAAAAAAAAAAACTCCAATCTATCACCACCCTTCCCCTGCTGCTCACATGGCCTGAAGGGATGTGAGCTGCGCAAGCGATTCAGGCAGCAGGCCGGTGAAGTTGTTGCCGGCTAGGGTGCTGCGAGGGCAGAGGGCGGGTGGTGCGGGGCAAACATCAGTGGCACTGCCATCCAGACATGCAGAGAGCGCTGACATGCAGACATGCAGAGAGCACCGACATGCAGACATGCAGGGAGCACTGACATGCAGAGCGCACTAACATGCAGAGCGCACTAACATGCAGATACGCAGAGCGCACTGACATGGAAGGAAACGAGGTGGACTTTTTGAGTTTCCACGTCAGTGCACTGACTCAAAAGGCACTGATATGGATCGTTGTAACGAGGTGACTTTTGCCTTTTGAGTCGACTCAAAAGTCACCTCGTTACAACAATGTCACACAACACTTTTGAGTCGACTCAAAAGGCAGAAGTCACCTCGAAACGAGGTGGACTTTAGAGTTTCCATGTCAGTGCACTGACTCAAAAGGCACTGACTCACATGGATCGGAGCTTGCTGAGGTCAGTGATGGCGTCAGGCACACCACCAACGAAACGGTTCTCCTCCAACTTGCTGCAGAAGAATGGCATGGATGGGAGAGGAGAGGGTGATGGGGAGAAGGGAAGAACACGAAGGGGGAGTGAGTGGTAAGGGTCCAATCCAATCAAAGGAGATTAGCACAAGCGAAGGACGAGCATATGAAAGTGAAACACAACTTGACAAGAGTACTGGTCTCGCCGTATTTTTGGGAAGGAGACTTGCAAATGCACCAGGTGGGGGTCGTGGGGGGCAACTCACAGGTGCAGCAGGTTGGGCATCACGAGGACGTCCTCCGGAAATTCACCCGTGAATTGATTGGTGCTCAGATCACTGAAGGGAGATAGAGGAGGGGAGGGTGAAGAGGCGAGGGCGAAGAGGAGAGGGTGAAGAGGAGAGGGCGAAGAGGAGAGGGTGAAGAGGAGAGGGCGAAGAGGAGAGGGCGAAGAGGAGAGGGCGAAGAGGAGAGGCGAAGAGGAGAGGGCGAAGAGGAGAGGGCGAAGAGGAGAGGGCGAAGAGGAGAGGGCGAAGAGGAGAGGGCGAAGAGGAGAGGGCGAAGAGGAGAGGGCGAAGAGGAGAGGGCGAAGAGGAGAGGGCGAAGAGGAGAGGGCGAAGAGGAGAGAGGGTAAGAAGAGGGGGAGAGAATACAGGATGGGATGGGCAGGCCTGGGGCTCAGCTCATGGTTCCTTTGGAACCTCACAACATGAAGTGAGAAGAGGAAACAAATCAGCGGTGGAAGCAGTGGAAAACAAAGGGGAGGGGGGGGGGGGGTGGGAGGGGGAGGGGAACTCTTCGTCTGTTTGCATAGAAAACAAACATCGCAACTGCATTAGACTCTTACAGCGATGTAAGTTTCGTGAGAGCATTGATGAAGGTGGGAAACCATTTCAGCTGGTTGTCCGCCAGAGAGCTGAAAAGGGGAGAACGGAGGATGAGGGGGAGAGGGGTGGGGGGGGGGGATGCGAGAGGGAGGAGAGCATTGATGGAGGTTGGGGAACCAGACCATTGCAACTGTACAGCAGAGAGCTGAAGTGCGAGAGAAGGGGAAAGGAAAATTGGGTGGTGGACGGGTGGAGAGGGGACGGACGGGAGAAGGGTGGAGAGTAGAGAGGGTGGGCCTCAAGCTGGGCCTCGAGCAAAGTTTTGAGGTGCCTCAAATCTAGATTCCTATCACGCGGGCTACAAAGGGCCACCAGCAGGGATGAGCACAAAGCCGAGGCTCAGCTGTGGCTAAGCTTCACACTTTTGCATTCCACATCACACTAAATGCCTTGGATGCGTTAAGGGCTTACAGCTAAGCGAAACACTTACAGGTGCTCCAGACATGTGCGCCTCTCCATGAACTCCTGCTGAATGAATGCCGTGAATCCGTTGCCTCCCAGCCCAGGCCACTGCAGCAGCATCACTTACAAACAAATCAAGGGCTACAGCTAAGCTAAGCATCACACTTACAGGTACTCCAAGCGGGTGAGCCTCTCCAAGAACTCCTGCTGGATGAAGGACGTGAATTCGTTGCCGCCCAGGTCACTGCAGTGGGGCGGGATTAAACGAAAGAGAAAGGAGGGCAAAACGGAGCAAACAAATGAGTGTGAGTGTGGGGGGGGGGGGGGGGGGGGGGTTGGGGGGAGGGGAGCGGTTGCACGTGAGGGCAGGGGAAAAGGGGATTTCTCACAGGAGTGATGTAGCTGCACCAGCTACTACCTGGTCAGTTTCCTTAGAGTGCCTCGCCCAACAGCCTTCAGGAACTGTTTCAGGCCACCTAAAGAACAATTCGGTCACTCAAAGGGTTACTATTTATTAACTGTCAGTGTTTTCTTCTTGGTTGCTCTTCCTGTGGCTGTTCAAGCGCGTTGCACTCACAGTAAGTGAGGCGGTTCAGCTGTGCCAGTTTTGCTTGCAACGCCTGCTTTTGAAGCGCCTCAAGCACAGCCTCAGAAACCAATTCAGGCTCAGAGACCAAGTACTGGGTTTGGCACTCACAGGTAAGTGAGGCGGTTCAGCTGTGCCAGTTCTGCTGACGGGATTTCTCCGGACAGGTTGGCCCGACGCAGGTCGCTGCAGCAGATACAAGAAAGAAGGGTGGTTGAGGGAAGATTGTTTAGCATCCCCATGAAAAGCCAGCTCTGCTGCCAAGATGTTTCTTCAGGTTGGCCCGGAGAGGTCGCTGAACAGAGGAGGAGAGAGGGACGATGGGAGAGGGAAGGGAAGGGGAGGGGAGTGCATGATGGTAAAGTGATGGTCCGCATGCCTCATGCCTTCCCCTCATTCGAGATATCATGAGGGTCATGGGGAGGGAAAGTGCAAACACAATGTGTTGGGATGCTTATAAGGCTGGGCAGAGCAGGACTCACTCACAGGCAAATGGCATGGCCGGTCGGTCATGGGGTCGCAGATGATTTCTGCCTCCCACATGGCATTGCATAGGTCTGACCCCTGGCCCCATGACTGACTGCAGACATCTGTTTTCAAGCGCCTCAATCATTAACATCATCAACTCACAGGCGAATGACGTGGCCAGTCATGGGGTCGCAGATAACCTCAGTCTCCCACGTGCCGTCGCAGGGGTCTGCCTGTGGGTCTGTCTCTTGGTCCTATGGCTGACTGCAAGGCATCTGTTATTAGGCGCCTCAAGACACCAACTCACAGGCGAATGGACATGGCCGTCATGGGGTCGCAGATAACCTCAGTCTCCCACGTGCCGTCGCAGGGGTCCGAACCCCTGGTCCCATGTCTGGCAGCGCGTCAGGAGATGGACATCTGCCAGCGCTGCCTGCAGGGCTACCAGCGGCCCAACTGGAAAGGGGAGAATATGGAGCCACGGGAAAGAGAACAAGGAAGAAGGCACTTTCAGTCCTCATGATCCCATGTCTGCAGTGCGTCACGAGATGACATCTGCAGCCGCTGCCTGCAACGCCACCAGTGGGGCCGACCGCCAACAGAGAAGAAACACGCGAAACAGAGAAGGGAGGGCAAGGAGAGGGGGGAGATGGTAGGAAGTTAACTCAGATTCCACAACTTGCAGTGCTGTGCAGGGCATCAGGGGCATTGGGAGCATCGGGGCATAGCAGAGCTGTCAGCAGGGCCACGGCCACCAATGGTCTGAATCCTGATGCAAACAGAGATGAAGGGAAGCGAAAACAAGGACAAGGAGAAGGGTTCTTGAGGCGCCTCAAAAATCAAACCAGAGACGAATGGAAGAGAAACAAGGACAAGGAGAAGGAGAAGGGGAAGGGGGACTGCTGAGGGAAGTCAGTTTCTTTTCAATCGTCTCAAAACACCTGTGAGGAGTACTCGCTGTCGGGGCAGGGAGGGGTTGTAACCGTTACAATGTAACGCCAGGCACAGGCACGCTCCCCGGAGGCTGCTGGCCGATGGGGATCCCCTCCCCACCTGCTGGCTGAGGGGTGCTGCCGCTAACCATCAGCACATGGAGATGTGGTAACTGGTTATACCTTCTAGAGCACTCACTGTCAGGGCAGGGCGGGGTAGTGACGCCAGGCACAGGAACACCACCCGGAGGCTGCTGGTTGATGGGGACCCCGACTGCTGGCCATAGGTCCCCCTCCTGCTGATCGATGGTACGCCAACCTGCTGTTGAGGGATCCGCCCCTTGCTGCTGATCGATCGGCACCCCCACCTGTCCCCCCGATGGCAGTGCTCCAGGTGGCTTTGCGGGGCAGGGGGGAGTTGTCTCCGCCCTGTCAAAGCAGTTGTTGGTGTAGCTGTGAAAGGGGCGGGTGGGGGGGGGGGGGGGGGGGGGGGGGTTGTGTTGGAAGGAAAAGGGGGGTAGGGAGGGGTGGGGGGATTGAGCAACCAGGGAGTGGACCCTGCCAATGTCCCTGCGCTGCTCCAGGTGCTTTGCGGGCAGGAGGGGAGTTGGGTCCGCCCGTCAAAGCAATGTTTGATGTATCTGGCGGAGGGGATGAGGGAGGGAAGGCGGGTGGGTAGGAAAAGGTTGAGAGTAGGAACAGAGGGGAGAGAGGGTAGGGGCGAGCAGATATGGGCGGCAACGGTCTCGAGTGATGGACGCACTGCAGAGGCGAGAGAGCAAGGGGGAACCACGATGCATGATGCAAGCCAGCCCCCAGCCACGAGAAAGAAAAACGCCACGCAGTGTGAGAAAGGGAAACGTTACCCAGCAGACATGCTACACAGACGAATCTCGCTCTGCTACTCACACAAACTGGATGGTGCGCCGGGTGGGACAACGGAATCGTGCCTGTGAGGTAGTTCTCCGACACGTCCCTGTGGATTGGGGCAGGGCAGGTGGGACAGAGTTTGGTTTGGAGGTGTATAATTGAGATGCTTAGAAAACAGACCGCATTGGTCTGCCGAAGGAACAACAGTAATCGTGCTAGCGAGGTAGTTCTCCGACACGTCCCTGTGGATTGGTTGGGTGAGAAGGGGTTGGAAGAGGGTGGTTTGGAGCGGAAGGGGTGGAGGGAGGGGAGGTATTGGGTAAGGTAGGTGGTATACAGACGAGAAAATTCGCTGTGAAAATGAGCATTGTTTGAGACGTATCAAAACGTACTGGGAAGGTATTGGTAAGGTAGGCAGGTATACAGACGAGGAAATTCGTGGTGAAAACGGAGCCTGCCTGCAATTACGAATATTTGAAGCAGAAATACAAACATGCGCACAGTAGTCACAGGATCAGCAGTCCCTGCAGCTGCACCATACATGGGGGTGGGAACCAGTTCAGAGAGCTCGTCCCTCTCCCTGTTCCTTCATCGCAACCCCCTTCATGTTCCTCCCTTTCCCCTTCCCCATTCTCGCACCACCACCACAGCGTAAGCACTCACAGGATCAGCAGTCCCTGCAGCGGCAGAGAGCTGCAGGACTGCAGGATCAGCAGTCCCCATACATGGGGGGGATCGGTCCAGAGAGCTCGTCCCTCTCCTGCTGCAAGGCTCCCTGTTTCCTTTTCCTTCCTCGCAACCCTCTTCCTCCCTCCCTTTCCCCTTCCCCAATCTCACCACCACCACCACATGCGTAAGCACTCACAGGATCAGCAGTCCCTGCAGCTGCATCATGCAAGGGCGGATCAGTCCAGTGAGCTCGTTCCTCTCCAGCACCAGCAGCTCCACCGTGGCCAGACCACACATGCTCTCTGAAATTAACCCACATGCAGGCATAAGCCCCATACCCCGGATCCCACCCCTCCGCCTGCTCACAGGATCAGCAGCCCCTGCAGCTGCGTCATGCAGGGGGGAATCGGCCCAGTGAGCTCGTTCCTCTCCAGCACCAGCAGCTCCACCGTGGCCAGACCACACATGCTCTCTGGAATCGGCCCGGTGAGCCGATTGCTGCTGAGGTAGAGCGACACGATGCGCGGGAAGTGCCCAAACGCCTCAGGGATGGAGCCTTCAAAGCGGTTGTGCTCAAGAAAGAGCTCGGTCAGGTAGGGCAGGCGGGCGAGGGACTCCAGGAGGCCGCCAGTGAAGTCACAGTCGTCCAGAGAGCTGTTGGGAAAGGAAAGCACCGCAGAGGGTTGGTTAGTGGGGAATGGATGGAGCCTTCAAAGCGGTTGTGCTTGAGGAAGAGCTCCGTGAGGTAGGGGAGGCGGGCGAGCGACTCGATAAGACCGCCAGTGAAGTCACAGTCGTCCGGTGAACTGTTGGGGGGAGTGAGGGACGGTGAAGAGTGGTTGGGGGGATGGAGCCCGCAAAGCGGTTGTGCTCAAGGAAGAGCTCCATCAGATAGGGCAGGTGGGTGAGGGACTCCAGAAGACCACCGGTGAAGTCACAGTCGTCCAGTGAACTTTTGGGAAGCGAGGGGGGGGCGGTGACTATTAGCCTCTCCTGTGGTTAACCCCCTGCAGGCCCACCCAACCGATACTGCTTCGGTCGAGGCAGGCACAGTGGAAAATGAGAAATGGGAGCTCTTGTTCATGCCAAAAGAAACCCGGTGGGTAGTTTCGTTTTGAGTCAATTCAAAACGAAATGGCAGCTCTTGTTCGTGCCCAGAGACGCCCTGTGGGTAGGAGGGAGGAAATGCCTTATATAAGAAAACCGTCACCAAATCTCCCCTCCTAAACCCAAGCATACCGGCCAGGGTTTCAACCCGTTGACTTACAGTGACTGCACTGCAGAGCGAATCCTTCCCCCCCAAAAAAATTGGCCAGCCGTCGTCCCGTTGACTTACAGTAAACTGCTGCTCGGCCAGGAAGCTAGGTAGATAGAAGTGATACCTCCCCACTCTCAAACGCCTGCACCAGGGTTAATCGACCCCGTTGACTCACAGTGACTGCAGCAGACCGAGCTCGCCCAAGAAGCTGGGGAGAGGCCGGTGAGTTCTTGTTGGAGCTCAGTCCCTGGAGAGAGAGAAAGAGAGAGGAGGAGGGCGAGAATCAAGGCTTCTTTTAGGCCAGCAAGCTAAGGGCCGTGAGGTTCTTGTTGGAGCTTAGGTCCCTGGCGATTATTTTTTGGGGGCGGGGGGAGGGGAGGAGGGGGGTGGGTGGGAGGAATGGAGGTTGTGACATGGCTGCCTGGCAGGCAGTGAGCCACACTCCATTCCGGGAGTGTGGCATGGAAGGTAAGCAAGGACGAAGAAGGAGGAGACAGGCAAAGAATAAGAGAATGACATCAGGGCACGTACACGCGCCTGAGGTCTTGAGAATGGCAAAAGTAACTATTTTGAGGCGCCTAAAAAATAGTCTCAGTCTGGAAGCGCGTCAAAAGTAGTCTCAGTTTTGACGCCTCAAGAATGGCAGGCAGACAGGGGCACGTACAAGTGGGGGAGGTTCCTCAGACGCTTTTGAGTCGACTCAAAAAGCATAAACAAGAGAATGGCAGGCAGACGGGCACGTACAAGCGGCGGAGGTTCCTGAGGATGGCAAAGGTGTCGGGGATGGTCCCTTCCAGGCGATTCAGGTCCATCTTCCTGCCATCATGTCATCATGCCATCATGCCATTAGACCATGCCATGCCATGCCATGCGAGTCATGTTGCAGGATGGGCCAGGCCACACCATGCAAAACCACGCCAGACAGACAGCATGAAAGGCACATGGCAAGCCATACCTACTACCAGCCACGACAAATGAGCCCCACAATGCATGGATGGATTCACCCACCACCACCAAGGAGCTTGAAGGTGACTGGAGCACATCATGGCACGAATGGACTAGAAACACATTTTTTTAGGGCGCCTCAAAAAATCACCCACCACCAAGGAGCTTTAAGGTGAGTGGAGCACATCATGGCACGAATGGACTAGAAGCACAAGCTGCATGAACAGGGTGAGAGGGCAACTCACAGGTTGACCAGTCGTGCATGGCGCCAAAGAACTGTGGAAGAGGCCCATAGAAGTCGTTCTTGCCGAGATTGCTGCATGTGCGTGGGTGTGGTGGTGTGGTGGTGTGGGGTTGTGGTGTGGGGTGGTCACGGAGGGGGTGGGAAAACGGTATGTTTCTGTGATTATTATAGTCCATACATCTTCTGGGAAAGGAAATGCGGGGCTCTACTCCTCATAGAGACACAATGCAGAATTGCAAGTGCGGTTCATGATGACACTTTGAAACGCCCGTAGCTTCATTAGAGTTGCTGAGATAGTGTCTTACAGTGTCTTGAGGCGGACGAGGTTGCTGAGGAGTGCGAGGCACACTCCCTGTGAACAGGTTGTTTTCCAGTGACCTGTTTTGGGTATGTAGGGCATTGGGAGGATGAGAGGGTAACAAAGGACTTGAGTTTGGGGGAGAAACGAAGGAGAGATGGGGAAGAAGGTAGGAGCGAGTCAGAAATATTTTTTAGTGCCTCAAAAAGGGCTTGAGGTTTGGGGGGAAGCGAAGGAGAGATGGGAAGAAGGTAGGAGCGAGTCAGAAAGATTTTTGAGGCGCCTCAAAAGGGACTTGAGGTTTGGGGGGAAAGGAAGGAGAGATGGGGAAGGAAGTCGGAGCGAGTCAGAAAGCGAGACGGAGTAGAGGAGGTGAGGCGAGGGTGGGAGTGAGGGTGGAAACTTGAGAGGCAGAGAAAAGGAGGAGCAGCAATGCAAAGCAGTTCCTTCCAATGACACAGTTTAGATATATGTATATTTATTTATTTATCCATTCATATATTTATTCTTAAACGGATGTTGCCACTTAAGAGCAGCGTGTCTGAAGCGATTCGAGGCGGATCAAGGACTGCGTAGGACGACGGGAACCAAGAGTGGCGTAGCAACGTACAGCACTTCCAAGTTGCGGAGCTGGAAGATGTCCATGGGGGATCTTGCCGTCAAACTGGTTGTTGCTCAGGTCGCTGGGGGGGGGGAGCGCGGAATGGGCCGTGGGGGGGGGGGTGGGGAGGTGGAGTGGGGAGGTGGGGCGGGGAGGTGGAGTGGGGAGGTCGGGTGGGGAGTGGGGCGGGGAGGTGGAGTGGGGAGGTCGGGTGGGGAGGTGGAGTGGGAAGGTGGGGTGGGGAGGTGGAATGGGAAGGTGGGGTGGGAGGTGGAGTGGAAAGGTGGGGTGGGGAGGTGGGAGATTTGTGAGCGGGAAACGGGCAGGAGTTGGAAGATATCTTCGGGAATCCTGCCATCCAACTGGTTGTTGCTCAAACTGCTGAAGGTGGGGAAGTGAGGGGGGCTGCAATTTGGGGAGATGGGGTTTGATAGGGCAATGGACGACGGTAATGGGTAAGGGAGAAGTCAAGGAGCTTAAGACAGATGGAGGATGGATACATCTGCGTGGGAGGATACATCAATACAAGGAGTTGTTGCTGATGAGTGGGAGAAGCTGCGGGAGGTGGTGTCTCAGCAACCGGGCTGCTGCACCATCTCGTTTTTTGAACGAAACACTGGGAAGGAGGTGGTGCTGGTGGGAAGGGGAGAGAGGCATGTGTGCGGTGCGGTGCTGCTGAAGGAGGTAAGGTAAGGTGAGCCCACAACGGAAGGTTCGGAATGGATTGTTTATTGAAGGTAAGGCGTGTTCACAAGAGGTGAATTGTGCTTCTATGGAGGTGAGATGTGTTGTTGTAAGAGGTGTGCTTACAGGAAGGTGAGGCTTGTGAGCATGTCGACGTCTGTAGGGAACCACTTCATGTTGTTCCTTGCCAGAGACCTGGGAGTGGGTGGATGAGAAGGGTCATATGAAGCACAGGGGGTAAGGGTGGGACATACAGGGGGGGGAGAGGCGTCAGTGGGGGAACCACTTCACGTTGCTCCTCGCCAGAGACCTGGGGGTGGGTGGAAACGATGTTGTGAGGCGCAAAGGGTATGGGTGGGACCGAAGGGCGGGGGGGGGAAGGGGGGGGGAAGAGGGGGGGGAGGAAGGTGGGGGGGAATGGGGGGAAGGGAAGAGAGAGGAGGGAGTGACATCCGTACAGAACTACTTCATGTTGCTCCTCGCCAGAGACCTGGGGGTGGATGGAAACGATGTTGTGTTGTGAGGCAAGCGGGCGAAGATCCTTGAGGATAGATGGATGGTCTTCTGAACAGCATTCAAGGGGACTCAGGAAAGAATGTTTTGAGACGTCTCAAAACTAACGACCTCGTCTCATCTCATGAATGGGGGCCTTGGCGAAGATCCTTGGGGATGGATGGTCATCTGAACGGCATTTAAAGCCCTGGGTAGCAGTTGAACAGGGGGGGGGGGGGGATTCGGTTGGATAGCGAACCCCAACAAAAATTCGCCAACCTCCGCGCCCATAGTAAAAAGTTCGCTACACCGCTTGAAGTGTTTAACAAACCCCCCTTCTTGGACAATCCGGACTGCGGGCTTTAAGGGGACTCAGGAATGGAAACGCAACGATGCCTCAACGGGAGGAGGGGCGTACAGTACAGATGCTTGAGTGGGGGGCGGTGAACGTACAGGTGCTGCAGGCTGGTCATCTGCACGATGAACTCCTGGCCGTTGAACGCCGAGAAGTTGTTGGCAGCCAGGTCCCTGGGGGGGGGCAACAACGGGCAGGGGTGAGAATGGAAGAGTGGGGACGGGAATGTCTTGAGGCGGCTCAGGCGCCTCAGGATAGGTACTGCAGACTCGTCAACTGCACGATGTACGTGTGGCCATTGAACGCCGAGAAGTCGTTGGCAGCCAGGTCTCTGGGGAATATAGTAAGAATCGTACGGAGAGGAAGAATCAAATTTGAGTGACGGGGAGCGGACACGAGGAATCGTGCAAAAGACTGGTCATCTGCACAACGGGCGCATCCTGGCCGTTGAACGCCGAGAAGTTGTTGGCAGCCAGGTATCTGGAGAGCAGCAACGGAGATGACAGTGGTGATGGCGGTGGTGATGGCGGTGGTGATGGCGGTGGTGGGTTTGAGAGAGATGGGGTGGGGAGGAGGGGAGGGGGGGAGGAGGGGAAGGGGGGGAGAGGGGGAAGGGGGAGGAGGAGGGGAAGGGGGGGGAGGAGGGGAAGGGGAGGGAGATGATGCGTTTAAGGCACGCAATATGAAAAGAATGGAGCAGAGGGCAGAGGACAGCACGATGTGCGAGCGACTTACACGGATGTGGTCTTGCAGGCGTGTAGGGGCACAGATGCAAGCTTACAGGTACGTGAGAGCATGTGTATGTGCGCTTACAGGTGTGTGAGAGTATGCGTATGTGCGCTTACAAGTATGTGAGAGCATGCGTATGTGTGCTTCCAGGTATGCGAGAGCATGCGTATGGGCGCTTACAGGTATGTGAGAGCATGCGTATGTGCGCTTACGGGTATGTGAGAGCATGCGTACGTGCGCTTACAGGTATGTGAGAGCATGCGTATGTGCGCTTACTTACAGGTATGTGAGAGCATGCGTATGTGCGCTTACGGGTATGTGAGAGCATGCGTATGTGCACTTACACAGGTATGTGGGAGCATGCGTATGTGCACTTAAAGGTATGTGAGAGCATGCGTATGTGCACTTACAGGTATGTGAGAGCATCGAATAGGGAGAGTTCAAAGGTTGGAATGTTCCCAACGAGGCCTGAACGCTTGAGATCGCTGCAGGAACGCAGGAACGGGCGCACAGAGAGAGAAGGCAGCAACACAAGACAAAAGCATGAGATATCCGTAGCAGGCAGCTCAAGGCAACACAAAGAAGAAAACAGTATGCAGGGCGCGCCTGAGTCAACTCAAAAGAAGACAGTATGCACGGCGCATGAAACATGGCGAGTGACAGGATCGCATTGTACACTTGTAACCTGTGCCTTCTCACACAGGTACCCACAAAGGCGCATGCATGCAACAACACGCAGGCCCGCAGGGCATGTGTCGCATGACAACTCACAGATGCACCACACGGCGAGTGACAGGGTCGCATCTTGTATCAGCGGTGCATGCCTTCTCACACCGATACACATACAAGACATGGCACGTGGCACTTATATATCATGCATGCACTCACAGATGCACCACGCGGCGAGTGACAGGGTCGCATCGGATGTCAGTGGTCCATGCCTTCTCACACGGGTCCCCGTCCCCTCCCCACGTTGGCAGCACCCCTGGGGCCGTTGACTGCAATGCTGCCTGCAACTGCAGCAGTGCCGCCACTGTGGTGGGGAAAGGGGGAAAAGGGGGAAAGCAGGAGGATTAGGGTAGGGGAGAGGAGGGAAAAAAGAGAGGTCTATGAGGCATCCCCGTCCCCTCCCACGTTGGCAGCACCCCTGTGGCGGTTGACTGCAATGCTGCCTCCAACTGCAGCAGAGCCGCCGCTGTGGAGGGGGGAGGGGGGGGGGAACGGGGGAACGGGGGAACGGGGACGGGGGGAAGCGTGGCAGCGGGGAAGAGGGAAAGCAGGAGGAGGATTAGGGTGGGGGGAAGTAGGGGGAAAGAGAGAGGCTCCTGCGGTATCCCTATCTCCTCCCCACGTTGACAGCACTCGAGGGGCGGTTGACTGCAATGCTGCCTGCAACTGCAGCAGCAGAGCCGCCACTGTGGTGGGGGAAAGCGTGGTAGTGGGGAAGCGGGGAAAGGGGGGGAAGGGGGAAAAGGAAGGGGGGGGAAATAGTATCAGAACTACAGCAGCAAAACACCATCGCCCGAAATAGTCGTCTGATGCACGTTACACCATTCGCTGTCGACCACGACCAATACAGCATGACTCACTCACTGTCATGTCAGGCGACTGCCGCGAGGGCGGGTGTCTGCAGCACCCAGCAGCGTAACCAGCAGCAGGTCAAGCCAGCAGGCCCCGTCACAACTCCTCTCCTCCTAAGAGAACTGTTACATCAGTACTCACCGTCAGGCGTCTGCTGCGGACCGGTGTCTGCAGCGCCCAGCAGCAGAGGGTGGAGCGCGAGCAGCGTCACCAGCAGCAGCACGAACGACAGGTCCAGCCAGCGGCTTCCGCCACTACTCCTTGTAACAAAATAGCTACTCCAATACTCACTGTCGGGCGTCTGCTGCGGACCGGTGTCGGCAGCACCCAGCAGCAGAGGATGGAGCGCCAGCAGCGTCACCAGCAGCAGCACGAACGGGAGTCCCGCCAGCGGCTTCCGCTTACAGGTATAGACGGCGCCATGGCTGAGAGTTACGAGGGATGAGTTAATATGGATGGGAGAGGAGGGAGGGAATATTTTTTTGTTGACTCAAAGGCCGGCTGCGTCACCACCAGCAGCTCGAACGGCAGGTTTAGCCAGCGGCTTCCGCTTATAGGTATCGACGGCGCCATGGCTGGGAGTTCGGAAGTTATTGGAGGAGGGAGGGAAGGAAATAAAGAAGGCAGCGAAACGCAAGGGACATGAGCGAAGACAGACTCGTTCGTTTAGGTAATCGCTTGGGTCTGCAATGTGGTCGCAAGCTTGGGACGCAAGCTAGACGAGCACAGCAACAAGAATCCAGCTAGGAACGTGAGCGAAGACATATTCGTTCGTTTAGGTAATCGCTTGGGTCTAAAATGTGGTCAGGGCTCCTCTGCCCATGCTCGGGACGCATTTCTTACCTATGGGGTTCGTTTCGTTATAGGCAGGTTCGTTACTCGTGACGTTGTCACGAGAGCACTGTTCGAAAGTTCCCGCTGAGACGTGTAAGCAGAACGCATCGACGAACACGAACATGTTAACCCCGCTTCTCTCTTTTGAGACGACTAAAAGGCAGTCGCGTTATGAGTCGATTAAAAAAGAGCCCACCTAAGACAGCAGCAGGTCGAATTTCTTGAGGCGCTTAAAAAAATAGACTCCTCACCGACGATTCATCCAGCACTCGAATTCAGCGAGGACTCGATAAGCAGCCGCGTACGATTTAAACAGCAGTCGCATTTCGAGTCGACTAAAAAATCGCGCTGACATACGGCGTTTTCAAGCGGAGTCGGTTCAGTCGCCAGAAGACGTGCAAGCCAAACCGAATGGACGAACACATGAATGCCTACTCCCGGCGGCGGCTACATAATCGGCGAGAACTACGTTTGAATCTCGACGAAAATGGAATTGAATTTCGCATGCATTCGCATCGGCGTCTCAAAAAGACATGTGAACAGAGCGCATGTAGGAGCGACCTACCCCGCACACGATGCAGAGTCAACGCCGCAGCTGCGACGAATGAAAATGTTACCAAAACGAAATGGCCGCTTCGTGATAAATCTAAGACTGTGTGCGAGAATCCGGATAGAAAGCCGTTAGAATGCTGTGAAACGACCGCACGAAGCGTCAGTGGCATCAGGCGACCTAGCAGACGTAGCAGCAAGACATCAAGCAGCGAAGCATGACAAGAAACAAGACGTGTCATTGCGCCTAAACAAACACCCAGCAGCACTAAAGTCAGGCGACTAGTTTTGAGGCGCCTCAAAATCGACCTAGCAGACGTAGCAGCACGAGAATAAGGAGCGAAGAATGACAAGAAACAAGACGTGTCGTTGCGCCTAAACAAACACCCAGCAGCGCTAGAGTAAGGCGACACCTCAGCCGACTAAATGCACCGGTTCGACAAACGCTAGAGTAAGGCGTGATCTTGGACCGACGATTAAGAGAATGCAAGGGAGAAAAGGGCGGAAGGATAGAAACCGAATGAAAGAGAGTGGGAGAATAATACGGGGTTGTTGCCGTTTATTTGTCTGGGAAAATGCAGCATCAGAAATTTGCCTCGCGAATCCCGCATTACCACGATAAAATAGAGCTATCTCGCGAATCTCGCACTACCATACCGAAAGATTAACCCGAGAATGTTACATAAACTCGCACCTGACCAGGTCAGCAGCAACGGAGATTTGCTTTCCAGAGACGACTCCCGACAGCGAAAACTCCGCCTGCCTTTTCTCTTTCTACCTCAGAGCAATAAACCAGGGTTGGAGGCGAACTCGGTGCTGGTATGCAGCATGCGAAACCTATCGCAGCCCTACCATAGCAATGTGAGAGGATGGTAGTCAGCAACAGCAGTAGAGGAACCAAGGAGTTCCCTGGAGTAATGTTGCTTCCGAAAACCACGTTCTGGTCCAAGAACCAAGATTTGTGAATGCTCCTTGCTTCACAGGGAAGGGTGGCGGAGGGTGATGGGTGGGTGGTTGGATGGATAGGGGCAAGGGAAGGGAGGAGAAGGGATGCGATGAGATGGAATGGGATATGATGGGATGGAATGGGGTTCACTTTATGGGAACAGAAGGCAGGAGGAGAAAGAGGTGGCCGCTGGAGCAACAGTGAAATCCTGGTGGCTGCAAGCAACCAAGCTCGTCGTCTCGTCAGGCAGGCATTTGTGCCTTGATACTGCTGTGGCATTTATCCGAGCTCATCCGGCCGTCCATTCGATCTGTTCCGATCATCGAAGTCGTTCATTACTGTCCGTTACCATCCCCGAAGCCCTGATTGATGCGGCGAGGATCCTTGAATTCTGATGACGGAGTCAAGGGGTTCATTGTAGCACCTGCGGTCATCCGAAAACATTTGAGCTCCTGACGTGAGGGAAAATCACGGCATTTCTCATTTGTGTGTTTCTCAGGATCAACGAGGGACGTACAATTTCCCGTAAACCATAGTGCATAGTGCCCGTAACTTGCTTTCCTACCTGGACCTTGTGTACTGCAGCTGAATGGCCTGCAAATCAGGAAGGTTTTTAGATGCCCAGCAGTGATTGTAATTGCCCAATGGGCTGGCGCCATGCGCGCGTCTTTCGCCGATGTTCCGCGAGTTGTCGGTGTAACAAACTAAATCGAGCTTGTTGCATCAAACGAGCAAAATCTGAGCAGAAAGTCCCGCTTAAATGAACCTGAACCGATGAGTTCCGACAGAGTTTCATCGGTTGCTCGTTTTGTCAGTATCACCGAGTCTCCAAGGCTGCCTGTAACCCCATAAACGGGTAAGCTATTCGTCGCCAGGATGTGCCGACTAGAATTCGCATGAGTCGTATCGATTCTCGTACCCGTTTCGCCCATGTGAAAATTGGGTGAAACCTGGATTAGTCTAGTTGCACCTCAGGTTCACACTGGCTTCGCTCTCTGCTCGTCTCATGCACGCAGGGGTGGTTCTATGCAATGACACAGCACACCACACACGAGATTGCAGGCTTCAGTTTATTTGGGTAGCAGTGTAGCAGACACAAGTAATTAGGAGTCGCGATGGGCGACACGGTGGATCGCGTAGTCGGTGGCGTGCTGGTTCTGATCGCGCTTACTGTCTTCTCGTACTACAGCGTCTGGGTTCTCGTCACGGTAGGTTTCGTTTTCTCACCAGATTATGCAATTCGAGAGTAACTTCGTCGCAGAATTCTCTTTTAGGGTTCAACCTGCTCTGGCCATGGTTGCCCGTCTCCGTTCGCCTCTCGGACCCTTTCCAGCCATTCCATCCAGATAGTTTTTTATTCACGTCCTATTACTGCTAGTATTTGGAGGGGTGGTAAGCGTGGAGATGGGAGGTGGTAGCCGCCGGACGACCGTGTCATCAACGCTCACTTCCTCCGCGTTTCTATGCGGTGCTCATTCCTCTTGCTTTCTTCTGTCTCCCCCTTCCCCACTTCCCTTCTCCCCTCCTCTTAACTCCTCCCCCCACCCCCCCTCTCCCCTTCTCCCCCTCTCCCTTTCTTCCACCCCCAGCCGTTTCTTCCAGACGGTCATTCATCAACGCGCTCTTCCTGCCGCGCCGTGCTCATTCCCGCTGCTGCCGCTGTTTCCCCCTTCCCATCCTCTCCACACCACCCCCCCCCCTTCCACCCCCCACCCCTTCCCTTTCTTCCACCCCCAGCCGTTTCTCCCAGACGGTCATTTCATCAACGCCCTCTTCCTCCCGCGCATCTATGCCGTGCTCATCCCCGCGGCTGCCGCTGTGCTGATGCTGGGCTTCGTCCTCGTTTTCTTCGCTGTGGTGCTGCTGGGGCAGAAGAGTAAAAAGGCCAAATCTAGCTGATACTGATATTGATGCACCACCACACCACCCTCCTGCGCATCTACCGTATGCCGTGCTCATCCCCACCGATGCCGCTGTGTTGATGCTGGGCTTCGTCATATTCTTGGCTGTCGTGCTGCTGGGGCAGAAGACTAAAGAGGCTGAATCCAGCTGATACACTCTCACCAGCCCGTTCCAAATAAGCTCCCTACGGATGTGCCTTGTTTTATTGACTCTTGTAGAGTGCATCTTGTACTATACCAGTAATCAGTAGCAGTTTGGGTGGGGAGGGTGCCAACAAACATCAGCACTGCATTTCGAATGCGTCAGTGGCTACAGCGCATGACACTAAGGAGTGTGGCTTACTAACCTTTCCATAGTCGCCTGTACCCCTGAGAAGAGAAGGGTTGTTTTTTCTGCCAGTGCCTAGGTTGTGGTGTGTATGGTTTTGCGCAAGCTTGAAAAAGTTTTGATGCCGTGTTCCCACACCAAATCAGCACTGCACATCACTTCTTCTCATGCATTAGGGGCCTGAACACCACCCCAAATGCGTACAGACGGGGCAGCAGAAGGAACCCTTCGTCCACCGATGGAGTACAGCTGTCTCTATTAACGTCTGAAGCATCCTCACTTCTCCTAACCCATGAGGGGCCTGAACGCCACCCCAAATGCATACGGACAGGGCGGCAGAAGGAACTCTTTGTGCACCGATGGAGTCCAGCTGTCGTCGCCACCCACGCCCATAATGGCATGGTCCAGGTGCACCTGAAAGTGGGGGAAAGTGAGGGAATGGAGGGAAGGAGGAGGGAGGGAGGAGGGGCACGGGTGACTTCTGAGGTATACCCAGCCATTACTTTTGATGTACACCCAGCTGTCACCTCGAGTCCAGCTGTCGTCGCCACCCACGCCCGTGATGGCATGATCCAGGTGCACCTGAGAGGAGGAGGGGGCGAGAAGTCGAAAGGTACCCTGTGACCCCTTCAAAGTCGAGCGAGGACGCCTGACTTGATTCAGCAGCGGGCCACAGTCCACCTGTCATCGCCACCCACGCCCATGATGGCATGGTCCAGGTGCACCTGAGAGGAGGGAGGGCATGAAGGGCTTTTGAGGCGCCTCAAAAATCGTCTCATTTCACGCAAGAGATGGCACTTACTTAAATATTCGGCCCTGGTTACCCGACATGGCTCTGCGGACGATTAAAAAAGAACTCAAGATTCAACTCCTTGCCTTCGACCAGCTCCTCCTCGTGCTGGGCTCGATGGAGTTCCTCACAGCACAATACCCACTTGCAGTGAAATGCAACAACGGCCTCCCAGCCTCACTTTCCTCACCTTCTTGATTCACTTGCACTTGCACTCGCTCCCTTCCCCCTCCCCAGTGCACTCCACATGGTTGAACTCCTCATCTTCCACCAGCTCCTCCCCGTGCTGTGCTCTATGCACCAAAGCCCCCCCGGCCTCCCCACCCTTACCGTGTATGCACCCACCATCCTCCCCTCCCAGATCCACTCACATGGTTGAACTCCTCATCTTCCACCAGCTCCTCCTCGTGCTGTGCTCGATGAAGCTCCTCCGCACAATACCCACTCGCACTGAAATGCAGCAGCGGCTGCCCGGCCTCACTGCCCTCCTCTGTGCCTCCTCTACCCCCTCCCCCACCCCCTCCCCCTCCCCCTCCACCTATCTCCACTGGCTCCATCACAAGCCCTAAAAGTCCGTCCAGTGCTGGTGATCCCCCCTGTGCTCCCCCCTGTGCTCCGCTCTGTGTTCCTGTAAAGAGTGTGACCCAACGCGCATCTATTCTCGCCCCATTCTCTCCGGGGGCAATGTACGGCACATGGAGAGATTCCACAGGCAAATAGTGGAGCGCCACATGTGCAGACTGCTTCCGGTCAGGATAACATTCATGCGGGCCCCGCCCTGACCAGACTGCGTTGGAAAGTTTCTTTGCTGCCTGGAACCGCATTCCAACGCGTGCAAGAGGCGGGAGAGAAGGGCTTGGGTCCACCCAAAATTTCACCAAGACCTGCCCGTTGCCATGGATCTGCCACTCTGATTTGAGCCGGATCCAGCAGTCCACATCTGAAATATTTTTGGCCTGTCCGATGCTGGCAGAACCTTCTCCATCTGCCCCTCCTCCATAAGCTTCAACCAGATTGGTTGGAGCAGAACCAACTTCGACAGCTTCCTCCTCCGAAATTTCATCTGCCCGGGGTCGGAAAGTTGCCTGGACAACCACGGAGACCATACCGTCCCTTCCGATCTCAACTCTCAAGGGCTCATCATCCCCCTCTGCTTGCTGCCCCTCTTCACCTTTCCCCTCTGCTTCCTTCCCCTCTTCCTTCCTTTCACTTATCTTCCCCTTTTCGTCCTTCCCCTTTCCCTCATCCCCCCCTACAGAAACCACAGTAGCATCCCCCGCCACGGCAATCACCCCCCCAGCGTCAGCAGCAGCGAGTCTGCTGAGCCCTGCTGCCTTCCACCTAGCGGCATAGCTGGCGTCCGCCCCTCCCTTGTCGTTGTCAGTGGGCGCCCGCCACACGCTCAGGCAGGGGGAGGAAAGCGCTGGAGGGAGCAGGACATCTGAACCGTTGATCTGAAAGGGTGTTTTTTTTTTGGGAGGGAGGGGAGCAGTGGGGGCGAAGAGAGGGAGAGAGGGGTGCGCATTGACTCCAACACTAAGCCAAGAAAGGAGAAGCCCAAGCGACTTTTGAGGCGCCTCAAAAAACACTAAGCCAAGAAAGGAGAAGCCCAAGCGTCAGCAGCAGCGAGTCTGTTGAGCCCTGCTGCCCTCCACCTGGCGGCATAGCTGGCGCCGCCGCCTCCCTTGTTGTTGTCTGTGGGCGCCCGCCACATGCAAAGGCAGGTGGAGGAGGGCGATGGGGGAAGAAGGACGTAGGAACCATTGACGAGGGGAAAAGAGGGAGCGAGGAAGGAAGAGAGTGGGGGTATAGAGTCGCCCCCTCCCTTTTCTTTGTGGTGGGCGCCCGCCACACACTCTGGCAGAGGGAGGAGGGGGTGACAGAGGGGACAGGGAGAGAAGCAGGTTGGAACCATTCACCCGAGGGGGTGTTACCAAGGGATGGGGAGGGGGTTAGGGAGAGGGGTGAGAGGGGGGAGAGGGGGGTATTGAGCCGACTTCAAGCACAACACACCAAAAGAAGAGGCTTCAGAGGGAGCAGGCCTCACCTTCCAGGAAAGAGCGCCGCCGTCCTGGACGTGAACAGTGATTGCGAAAGAACGATCGGTAGATGTGACGATTACAGATGATTGGTGGATGGGTGCAGGCTCGGAGAGTGCAGGTTGGGAGATGGCAGGCTTGGTGGGAGGCTCGAGGGCAGAAGGCTTGGCTGAGGAGATAGTTCCTTCGGGCAGGTTTACGGGCAGCTGAACAGATGCAACGACCTGCCCGGTAGCGCACCACCTTGTTCTCTCATTCACTGTAGCAGTGAACAATGCAAAGAGCTCTGAGTCAGTGCTGACATCATGCGCTGCCCAGTCCAGGTCAGCAGGGATGGGGTTGGGGATGACATGGTGCTGACGTGGCAGGATGGTGGGGACGGTGAGGGGAGAGGAGAGGATGGGAGTGGGAGGAGAAGGGGGGAGGGTGGAGATGGGTTGAGGAGGAGGAGGGAGGGAGAAGAGAGAGAAGGAGAAGGAGAAGGCAGAGGAGGGCTGGTAGAAGCTCTTGTTGAAAATCTGGTGGATTCAGGGGGGGAGGGTGGGGTGGGGGAGTGGGGGGGAGGGGGCCAGGTGGGAAAAAAAGGGGAAGGAAAAACTGATAAGGGAAGAAGTACACAGGAGGTGCAAGAACACAGCAGTAGAAGGATAGACGGAGAGGTATTGGTGGAAATGAAGGGTAAATTGTTATGAGAGCGGTGCAGAGGGTTGAACAGGATGTCCCCCAAACCTGCCGACACTCCATAAAAAGCTCTGCAGCCCTCTGCACCGCTCTGCATACCTCAACAGTAGAGCTTTGCACACAGTTTGTACCTCTATGTCGCCTTGTTCCGTCCACTTGAAGCCAAAGTAGCGGTACACATGGGCCAGCTCTGGGGGTGGGCGGAGGGGAGATGAGGGGATGGAAGAGGGGCGGAAGAGAGAGATGTTATGGGGCATCTCAATACACATCGCTTTTGCACAGTCCACTTGAAGCCAAAGTAGCGAAGCACATGGGCCAGCTCTGATGGTGGTCGTGGGGGAATGGAGGGATGGAGGGATGTGAAAGAGAGGGATGCGGGAGGGATGATATGAGGCGCATCTATGCATGTCGCCCTGTTCTCGTCCATGTGAAGCGTCCAAAGTAGCGATAGACATGGGCCGGTTCTGGTGGTGGATGGAGGGCAGAAAAAGAGAGATGAGGCAGTGATGTGAAAGGTGGGAGAGGGATGTTGCGTAGGCCTTGGTATGGAGTCCCATGAGGCGTACGCATCATCCCTCGCGAGCCTGCTGATGTAGAGATGAAGATCATCAATGCACCTGCAGCCAGCATTATGCTGGTTATCATGTAGCCAGCCTTACGCCGTTACTACTACCTCTCATGCGCAACAATCACCTCGCATGGCAAGGTGGGGAGTTCTATCCGGCCATATCAGCCCATTGATGCAGAGTTTGAGGGCTGAGGCAGCTCATTACCTGCCTTACACTGCTACCTCTCATGCACAATAATCACCTTTCGTGCCAGTGTGCTTAGCTTACCTCGCATGGCAGGGTGCGGGGTCCTATCCGGCCATATCAGGCCGTTGATGCAGAAGTTGAGATCATTGGGGGTATCCCCAAAGTCACCACCATACGCCCAGAACCTTCCAGGATGCTTTGCAGGCAGCTCCACCTGCTCCCATGGCTGCTGCTGCTGCTGCTCTGTCTCCTTGCTGCCGTGGCTGGTTGTTGCTGCTGATGCTAGTGTTGCTTGTGGTGATGCTAATGCTGGTGCAGGTGTTGCTGCCGCTGATGCTGCTGCTACGTCAGCTGCTGCTTCTTCGGCTGTTGCTGCATCTCCTTCTCCTACTGCCTCTCCTTCCTGCGCTGGCTCAGCTGCTGACTCAGCTGCTGACTCAGCTGGAGGCCCAGCTGGCGGCTCAACTGCTGACTCAGCAGGGTTTGAATCCAAGTTAGATGCCCCACCTTCCCCTGACGCTCCAGCTTCTGTCTCTGCCAGCAATTCTGCTCTGAGTGAAGAAGACGCATCCTTGCTGCAGTTAATCGAACTGGTGACAACACTGCTCCGTGCTGGCAAGGCCTTCCAAAGGCCCTGAAGAGGGAAAGAAACGAGAGGTAAGACAAGGAGGCTTTTGACTTGAGTCGACTCAAAAGAGGGAAGGAAACGAGAGGTAAGACGAGGCCACAACTGACAGAGGAAGGAGGGGTTCAGAGAGAAGGGGCCCAGTCCCAAATGAATCCATCCTGCAGCCCAGGCCTACTCGAGTACCGAGGAGCGCAACTAGCACTACAATCAGCCTGTGCCAGTCAAAGCCAGTCCCATTCAAAGCCTGTCCCGGATAGAACCTGCCCCACCTGATCCACCCAGTCCCAGATGAAGCCTCCCTGCAGACCGTGGGTCGACTCTATGGCATCCCAATAGGCGTCCAGATTGCCACTGCTGTTGCCCATGGCGTGGGCGTACCTGGGGTAGGTGGTATATGGGCGGTACGAGGGGTGGAATTTGGGTGGTTATGTGCAGAAACATGGTGCATTGGAATGGGATTCCATCATCCCAGTAGGTGTCCAAGTTGCCACTGCTGCATGGCGTGGGCGTACCTGGGGGAGGTGGGCATACGGAATGCGAACACGGTTGGGTTTCAATCCCACAACAGCAACATGTGGTTCTACCTCAATTGAGACCACATCATCCCAGTAACAGGCGTTCAGGTTGCCACAGCTTTTGCCCATGGCATGGTTGAGGAATATGCTGCCATTTGCATGCTTTCTAGAGATTGGTCCAGCACAGATGTCCCCCACATCACGTCATGCATGGGATTGCATTAACTTGGAGCCTTCTTTTGAGTCGACTCAAAATCTAGAGATTGGTCCAGCACAGATGTCTCCCACATCACATCATGCATGGAATTGCATTAACTTTGAGCCTTGTGCGGATAGGCTTTGAGCTCAAAGGCAAGCCTTAAAGGCTGCACTCCAAACCAAACACAGCCTCAGAAACGAACTCCGCACTTTCGAGGTTCCACTCACTCGCAGAGAATGAGAGGGCGCGTCTCGTAGGGCCTTGAGCGATGGCCTTGAAATCGTGCATGCGCATGTACATGGGACACACTAGGTTGGTGGCAGGGGTGCTGATTTTACCTACAAATTCCTACTGACTCACTCGCAGAGAATAAGGGGCCATGTCTCGTTGGGGTTAGCAGCAATCGCCAGCATGTCATGGACGCGCCTGAACATGGAACACACACTCGGTCCATAGCCACAGTAGGCAGGGGGTAGCAATACACGAGATCGCACAGCGACTCACTCGCAGAGGATGAGAGGGCGGGTCTCGTTGGGGTCAGCAGCAATCGCCAGGATGTCATTCACCCGCATGTACATGGGACACACTAGGTCTGTTGCCAGGGTGCAGGAGCCTCCCCCCTCGTAGTGTATGGGTCGAGATGGGTCCCTGTGACGCAACCATGCTGGATAGAGGGAAGACGTGGCAAGGAGAAGGAGGTGCGACGGTGAGTAAGAGAGGAAGACGAACTGATTTTGCAGGGTGTTTTTGAGAATTCTAAAGAACAACGTGGCAAGGAGAAGGAGGCACGACGGTGAGTAAGAGAGGAAGACGAACTGAAATCCCGAATACCCAATATATGCCATGCCCCATTCCAATCATACCCGAACGATCCATCCATTTCAATAACCTGCCATGGCATCGTGGGTTGCGCCGTGCCCCGCCTCATTCCCCGGCGACCACACCACACCACCACGCTCTCATGGTTCTTGTCCCGCTCACACATCCCCAAACCACTCTCTTCCAAGCAAGTCCGTCATAACCAAGCAATTAGGGTGAACTCATACACCGGCCACCATACATACCCGCCATGGCATCGTGTGTTGCGCCATAGCCCGCCTCGTTACCCAGCGACCACACCATCACGCTCCCATGGTTCATGTCCCGCTCACACATCCCCATACCACTCTCTTCCGAGCAAGTCCGCCATAACCAAGCAATCAGGGTGAACCCATATGCCGGCCACCATACATACCAGCCATGGCATCGTGTGTTGCGCTATACCCTGCCTCGTTCCCCAGAGACCACACCACCACGCTCTCATGGTTCTTGTCCCGCTCACACATCCCCATACAAGTGAAACTTACAGGCCACACAACCCACCCAATATCAGCCACGCACAAACAAGCCATCCATTCCCTACCATCCATTTATCCCACCTGCCATGGTATCGTGTGTTGCGCCGTACCCCGCCTCGTTCCCCAGAGACCACACCACCACGCTCGCATGGTTCTTGTCCCGCTCACACATCCTAATCACCCTCGCCCCCATTGCTGCCGCCCACTCGGGGTCCTCGGCCGGCTGCCGCCCCTTCCGGTTGAGGTGATTGTCCGGATCAAATCCATGTGTCTCGATGTTGGCTTCATCGATCACAAGGAGGCCAAACAGGTCGGTCAACTCGTACCTGAGGGGAGCAGGGGAGGAAGGGGGGGAGGGGGAAGGTGGGGTGGGGGGGGGGGGGCAGAAGATTGGGAGTTGCTATGAGCATGAGTGGAGGGGCATCTTGTCCCGCTCGCACATCTTCATCACCCTCGCACCCATCGCTGAAACTCATGCGGGGACCTCGGCCGGCTGCCGGCTGCTGGCTGAGGGAGGAAGGAGAGGAAGTGATAGGCTTTTTAGAATTCTCAAAAACCTATTACAGTCAGGTCTGTCAACTGACGGGCATGTGCATAACCGAGGGAAGAAGGAGAGGAAGTGGAGGAACAGGTGAATGCATGCACAAGCTTCCTGCATATGATCACCCTCCTTATGAGCAAGAGACCGTTATTGCCACCCTCCTCACACATCTGTCATCACCCTCCTCACCCAGCCAGTACCCAGCAGGGCCACTACATACCATTTTCAGGGCGACATACCAGCGAGGGTGGTTGGGGTAATGGCTGCATCGCACTGCATTCACATTGTGCCGCTTCATCTCCACCACATCCTGGGAAGGGGGAGACGGCAGGAAGTGGGAGGAAGGAAGCGAGAGAATGAGAACAGGACAGCAAGACGCACGCAGTACACGGCGTTCACATTGTGCTGCTTCATCTCCATCACATCCTGGGAGAAGCGAAGAGCAGAGCAGGGGGGAGGCGAGAGAGAGTGAGGACAAGACAGCAGGGAGGGGTATGGTGAGAGGATGAGTGCCGTCTGATCTCCACCACATCCTGGTAAGAAAGAAGAAAAGAACAGAAAGCGGGTGGGAAGAGAGGGGAGAAGAGAGGACGCACGTGCAGACATGCATGATAAGTCACCATGATAATCATAGTGACCATGCACTGTTCACCATCCACACACGTTGACCAGCCTTAACCAGCGTTGACTCACCTTGACCAACATTGACCCTCATTGCCCAGCGTTGACTCACCTTGACCATGCACTCCTCTATGTTGACCTTCCCTGTCTGCGGGTGGTGCTCATGTCGGTTCACTCCTTTCACCTCCACTGCCCGCCCATTCACCAGCAGTTCCCTCCCCCGCACCTCCACCCTCCTCACCCCCACCCTCCCTGCCTCCACCTGCTGCGGCTTCCCTGACGCGTCTGATAGTGACACCACCAGCGTGTATAGGTGCGGCTGAGGGGGTGGGGGTCAAGGGTTTCGGATTTAGGGTATAGGGTTCAAAACGGGGATGGAGAAGAAGGTTGAGTGAAAGAGGGCAAAAGCGGGATCTCCAGAGCCCTCCTTAGACCAGAATCAGGGGTGCTGGATCTGATCTCTCTCACCTGATCAGGAGACCACAACAGAAGCTTGTCCTTATCCACCTTCGCCTCCATCCTCACTCGCATCGTGTTCCCAATCACCACCACCTTGTCATCCTCCCTTCCTCCACTCCCCTCTCCCCCCTCTCCCCCCTCTCCCCCTCCTTCCCCTCCCCCGCTCCCCCCCTCTCCTCTCCCCTCACCCGCCCCCAACCCCACAGGCTGAAAAGCCGCTACTGCTGGGATTTTCAGAGCTTCTAGGTCGTCCCTCTCGGGGTCTTTAGGGGAGCGGGACGTGGGGGACATTGGGACGGAGGACGAGGAGGAGGAGGGCGAGGGAGGGTGCTGAGGTGGCGGCGGTGGGGAGCGCCACGCGTCGAACAGATAGGCCTCGACGTGACAGCTGTCGAGCAGCGATTGGATGTCGCAACGGGGCCAGCCCTCCAAGAGCACCTCCAGCTGAGGTTGAGGGAGGCGAGGGAAAAGGAAAGCAGAGAAAGGGGGAGGGGGGGTTTGGGAGGGGGAAGGGGAGAGGAGGGGGAGAAGAGGGGGGGAAGGGAGTGAAGCTAAGACAAGGAAGGGCAGAAAGGTGGTGGATGGGGAAAGGCATTGGATGGGGGCGCCACTGACAAACACCATTGCATGCACCACCATCCACCCACTACATCACCCGCCCATCCCATGCACCGTGCCTTGAGAATTCTAAAAATACCGTGCAATTTGTTGGATTCCCTTTGTCCTCCACCTATGCATGCACCAACATTGCTGTTCCGTCACAGCTGCTGACTCCCTATCAGCCGATATTGCTGTTTCGAATGTGCTGCTGCCTCGTCAGTCTTGACCTCGAAACCCATCCCTTCCCCATGCATCCCTACCCCCATGCATCCTTACCCCCATACATCCCTACCCCAATCCTACCATACATCCACAACCCCAATGCCACCATAACACCCCCATGCACCAGCACCATTTCACCTTCACTATGGCTGACTGCATGTCGTCTGCCACATCAGTCTTGACCTCCAAGTCCGCAATGTGCACCTGATGCGAGGAACGAGGGAGAGAGGGAGAGAGGGAGAGAGGGAGAGAGGGAGAGAGGGAGGGAGGGAGGGAGGGAGAGGAGCATGGGGAAGTGTACATGTAGGGCAGCAGGAGGGTAGGTGCGAGGGTATAGGGCGGGGAGGGCATAAGTTTTGACCTGAAGTCTGCAATGTACACCTGGCCTGGGGTTGGCAGTGGAGAGGTTTAGGGGAAGAGAGGGAGAGCCTGGGTTCGAACTTCGAACTCTGAGGCCACTTGCACAAATGCAGCTGTACAGCAACTCTCTTGTTGCGTGAGCCAGGAGCAAAGGTGAAATTGCACATGTTAACGCAGAGCAGAGTGGATGGAATCTCACCTGCGGGCCGCACAAGTGTGAGCCAAATCTCACTTGTTGCGGGCAACACAAGCGTGAGTCAAACCTCACCTGTGGCCGGCACAGCAGCGTGACGTCCCTGTGCATGCCTGACAGCCACCAGTGGTCCTGGTCCTCCAGGTAAGACCCGTCGCTCCATCGCACTATCATCACCGCCAGCACATTCTCCCCTTCCCCCTCCCCTTCCCCTTCCCCCTCAGCCCTCTCCCCATCCCCTGGCTCTTCCCCAGTAACACGGTTCTTCTCCTCCCTCTCCTTCCCGCGTGTGACACAAAAGGGAGTGACGTTGAACTCTGCAGGGAGCCGGCTGTCCTGGCTGTAGCCCACGTAGTTGCCGTTGAGCCACACGTGGATGGCCGAGTCAACGCCCTCGAAGCACAGCGTGATGTGCTGGCCTGGCAGGGATACCACCAGGGAGAGAGGGAAGGGGGAGTGAGAGTTGGAGACTCTAATTGTTAGCAGGGAGCCGGCTGTCTTGACTGTAGCCCACATAATGCCGTTCAGCCAACGTGGATGGCCGAGTCAACGCCCTCGAAGCACAGCGTGATGTGCTGGCCTGGCAGGGATACCACCAGGGAGAGAGGGAAGGGGGAGTGAGAGTTGGAGACTCTAATTGTTAGCAGGGAGCCGGCTGTCTTGACTGTAGCCCACATAATGCCGTTCAGCCAACGTGGATGGCCGAGTCAACGCCCTCGAAGCACAGCGTGATGTGCTGGCCTGGCAGGGATACCACCAGGGAGAGAGGGAAGGGGGAGTGAGAGTTGGAGACTCTAATTGTTAGCAGGGAGCCGGCTGTCTTGACTGTAGCCCACATAATGCCGTTCAGCCAACGTGGATGGCCGAGTCAACGCCCTCGAAGCACAGCGTGATGTGCTGGCCTGGCAGGGATACCACCAGGGAGAGAGGGAAGGGGGAGTGAGAGTTGGAGACTCTAATTGTTAGCAGGGAGCCGGCTGTCTTGACTGTAGCCCACATAATGCCGTTCAGCCAACGTGGATGGCCGAGTCAACGCCCTCGAAGCACAGCGTGATGTGCTGGCCTGGCAGGGATACCACCAGGGAGAGAGGGAAGGGGGAGTGAGAGTTGGAGACTCTAATTGTTAGCAGGGAGCCGGCTGTCTTGACTGTAGCCCACATAATGCCGTTCAGCCAACGTGGATGGCCGAGTCAACGCCCTCGAAGCACAGCGTTATGTGCTGGCCTGGAAAACATGCGCGAGGGGAGAGAGGGAAAACGGTGTGTCGTTGAACGCCCACGTAGCTACCATTGAGCCAGTAGTTTAGTCTGAAACTTCTAAAAACTTAACTACTTACACACAAATCATACGCGAGGGAAGACAGGGAAAAGGGTGTGACATTGAACGTGTGTAATGAGTCGATTTTTGAGTCGACTCAAAAATCGACTCATTACACACGGATCATACGCGAGGGAAGAGAGGGAAAAGGGTGTGACATTGAACGACTTTTGAGGGAAGAGAGGGAAAAGGGTGTGACATTGAACGACTTTTGAGGGAAGAGAGGGAAAAGGGTGTGACATTGAACGACTTTTGAGGGAAGAGAGGGAAAAGGGTGTGACATTGAACGACTTTTGAGGGAAGAGAGGGAAAAGGGTGTGACATTGAACGACTTTTGAGGGAAGACAGGGAAAAGGGTGTGACATTGAACGACTTTTGAGGGAAGAGAGGGAAAAGGGTGTGACATTGAACGACTTTTGAGGGAAGAGAGGGAAAAGGGTGTGACATTGAACGACTTTTGAGGGAAGAGAGGGAAAAGGGTGTGACATTGAACGACTTTTGAGGGAAGAGAGGGAAAAGGGTGTGACATTGAACGACTTTTGAGGGAAGAGAGGGAAAAGGGTGTGACATTGAACGACTTTTGAGGGAAGAGAGGGAAAAGGGTGTGACATTGAACGACTTTTGAGGGAAGAGAGGGAAAAGGGTGTGACATTGAACGACTTTTGAGGCGCCTCAAAAGTCGCGAGGGAAGACAGGGAAAAGGGTGTGTCGTTGGACACAAATCATATGCGTTGACATTGAACGCAACGCCCACGTAGCTACCATGGAGCCGCACATCGATGGCAGAGTCAACAACCACCTGACCAAGAGGCAAATGCATCTGAAAACCCACCTGACCAGGAGGCAGGGAGGGAGAAGCGGCGGCGGTAGCAGGCGGTGGGGTTGTCGGTGGGCACGAAGGGCGGCTGGATGGGGAAGGGGTACTGGATGTTGGTGTAGATGGGCGGGTCCTCCACCTCCTCCTCCTCTGACGCGCCTGCTGCTGCTGCTCCTGCTTTGGTTTCTGCTGCTTGGTGCTGCTGCTGTTTGTGCTGCTTCTGCTGCTGCAGCTGCAGCTGCCAATGGGATGGCACTGAGGGCGGGCAAGGGGGAGGGGGGGAGGGAAAATGGGCAAGAGGTGGGAGGAAAAAGGGCAAGAGAGGAGGTGGTTTTAGTCGATACTGAAGCTGTTACTGCTGCTGCTTCTGCTGCTGCCGCTCCAGCTGCCAATGGGATGGGACTGCGGGCGGACAAGGGGGAGGAGTGGGGGGGGGCGGGGTGTTTGGTGGGGACGGGGGGAAGGGGAAGGGGGAGAGAGGCAGTGATGTGCGTGAGTTACGGGGAAAGGCATCTGTGGTGTGCATCGGGGGGGGGGGGGGGAGAGGGGGGTAGAGGCAGGCTGGTGTTAGGCATAGGGAAAATGTACAGAGTCGGAAATCAGTATCAAGCTGAGGCACACATCCGAACAGACAGGATGCACCCAAATGACAGACAACCACTCTCAACTTAAGAGTGAGTCACCTGAATGCGTTGACCACTCAGAGTCATTAAATCCAGGAGAAAAAAAACCCTCGGGAACTTCCTCAGGCCTTGGGAATAGCCGGAACCGCCAGGAGCCGCTCAGAGAGGCAACACGTGGCAGCCCGTGGACCCACCACCTGGCACTCCGTACAGCTGCCACATCAGCGCCTGCTCCCGGCGCCCAGGTGGCAGCATCCGCTGCTTCGAACGTGGCTGCCCTGTCCCTTTGGTACCAGAACCGAAGGGCGTCTGAGGGGGGGTGAAGCATTGCAGGCGTAGGAGCAAGGCAGGGAGGAACAGAGAGTACACTCGAGTTGATGTCAGAATCACCGGGGAGCGCCATCTGGTAGTTCGAACATGACTGCCCTGTCCCTGTGGTACCAGAACCGAAGGCGTCTGATGGGGGGGAGAGAGAGGAGAGGCATGGAAGACGGGTGGGTGTGGAAGGAACGCAGATGGGAACGAACGTGGATGGATGTAAGGGTCACAAGGCAGGGAGCCACGAACATGGCTGCCTTGAACCTGAACCTGCTGTATTAGAACCAAAGGGCACCTGAATGGGGATCAGGAGAGGGGATTAGATTGGACATGCAATGATGGACATGCACTAATGAACATGCAATGATGGGAATGCAATGTGGAACATGGGATGTTGACCAAGCAATGTGGAACATGGGATGTTGACCAAGCAATGTGGAACATGGGATTATGATGAGCATGCAACGATGAACCACCAATGTTGAACGTGCGAACACGATTACGCAATACTGGAAATAGAATGATGAAGATGAATGCAGGCCATGCAATGTTGAACATGTAATGCTGAACGTGCAATGTTGAGCATGCAACGTTGTGCATAAATAAATTAACAAGGAACTGAGGAGCATGAAATTCAAGAGAACGAATGTTGAACATTTAATGTTGATGATGCAATGTTATTTCTCCACCCAATGATGAACATGCAATGTTGAACAGACAATCTTGAACATGCATGTGGTGACATATCTCCTCCACAGCATCCCACATTATTGCAGTGACTCGTAGCGTCTACAGTCGCATGTGAGTGCAGAGCATTAACAAGCCACTAACACACCCCCCACGGCATCATATGTGTCAATGCGACATGGTTCGTACCGTCGACAGTCGCGTGTGAGTGCTGAGCATTAGCAAGCTACTAAATCAACACTGAATCTTCAGCATTGCACCCCCACGGCATCATACGTGTCAATGTAACACGAATCGTACCGTCGACACTGGCATGTGAGTGCAGCGGCACGTGCGCTCTCTCTCGCTTGTATCCGAACATCGCTTGGTCCTCCCACCACCGCCCGCGCAACACCTCCGCCACGCTGCTCCCCATTCCGCTCGAATCCGCGGATTTAATACAGTGATCTCCGCAACTACTCGCGCTATTTCCGCCACTGCTCGCGCTTTCCCCCGCAACTTGCGCCGAAATCACCGTCGGATGTCCTTTCGTGCAGCTTCTCAGGCTTCCGGTTCTCAGGAGCGATGGAAAGCGCAGTGAGTGGGAAACCAAGGGACGCGAAGGATGCGGTCGGCGAGCACGTGGTGATTCCGAATTCGTTGTCAGATGCACGGAGCTTCTCAGGCCTCTGAACCTCAGGAGCGATGGGGTGACTGGCAGCGAGTACTGGAAGAAGGGACGCGAAGGATGCGGTATATGAGCACGTGGTGATGCCGACTTTGTTGCCGGATGCACGGAGCAATGAACGTGGCCGGTGGACCAGGCAAGGAGCATGGAGCAGCGCGCCAGATGGCCGCTAAAGGTTGCGTGCGGGTATCAAGGTGGTGACAAGAACATTTCAGGTTACCAATTTCGAACAGCATACGCAGCAACAAGCGGAGGAGCAAGCGATAGAGCCGCTGGGAAGGTTTTGGGAAAGATGGATGAGGGTGCAAGAGAGAAGGCTCTGAAATGCTGGCATGACAGGATTTCTTAGACCCGAATTTGTGCCTGTCAGACGAGATTCTGAATTTCTTAGACCTCAATTTGTGCCTGTCAGACGAGATTCTGAATTTCACTCTTCTGTTCAGAAGTGTGAATCTGTGCCGATCTGGCCACTTTCGTTCGGAATACTCGCTGTGGGACGAAACTCTCGTGAAGCAATTCGGAGTTCCCGAGGAACGAAGGGGGAAGCGTAAGGAAAAAAAACAGATTGCAATGTTGATCTCAATATGACAATTGAAGCTACCGGAATGATATGTACGACAAACAATAAATTCTTCATTGTCTTTTATGCGGCACGGCACTCAGATTTCCTTCCACCTCCACCTCACCTATTCTCAACCCTATTCCCTGGAATATAACTCCAGATGTTTGCCCTTCATATAATAGCCCCAGACGCGTGTACGAAAGAGAGGATATGCCATAGCACTTCCACACATTGGGCAGAGAGGAAAACCAGTTGCACGGCAAAGGCAGGCGACTTGGCCGATCATCTTGAGGGCTGCGGAAAAAGACCAACTCCAATGCATCAGGGTTGTTGGAAGGTCCAACAAGAGTGATTGTATAGCTTAGCTCCACACGAGAGATGAACCTGCCGCCGACAAGAAGAATTGGAGGGGGGGAAAAAGAGGGGAGAAAGAGCAGCTCTGATGCTAGTTGGTGGAAGGTCCGACGAGAGTGACTGGATAGCTTAGTTCCACACGAGAGATGAACCTGCCGATGGAACGAACACACAGGGGACAGGTGAAATTTGGGGTAGGGGTAGGAAACATGGGGGGAGGAACATGAAAAAAAAAAACTGCCTGCTGGGGGGGGAGGGGGGAAGTGAGGGTGGGACTTATCATTGCAACTGTAGCTCATTTTAAACTTACTGTAGCTCGCTTGAAACTTAGTGTAGCTCGTTTTGAACTTACTGTAGCTCACTTGAAACTTAGTGTAGCTCGTTTTGAACTTACTGTAGCTCGCTTGAAACTTAGTGTAGCTCGCTTTGAACTTACTGTAGCTCGCTTGAATCTTAGTGTAGCTCGTCTTGAACTTACTGTAGCTCGCTTGAAACTTAGTGTAGCTAGTTTTGAACTTACTGTAGCTCGCTTGAAACTTAGTGTAGCTCGTTTTGAACTTACTGTAGCTCGCTGACATAAGCCCCGCCGTACACCACTCCCTCCCTCGCAAACGCAGCCCCATATTTCGGGGCACGGAAGTGCGGCGGAGGGGAGGAATCTCCCAGAGGGTCACCAGGCGCTACAGTCATTTCCCCTGACGCCACGACCCACCACTCCATCTCTGCCGGCCACAGGTACGCTTTATGGAGGGCCAGAGACGGCAGGGGGAGGGTGAGGTCGGGCTGGCAGGTGTGCACCGAATATACGGTGGGTGCTGCCCTCACCCACTCGGAGTCAAACCGGAAGAGCTGCAGGAGGAGAGAGGGGGGGGGAGGGGGTGAAAGGGGGGGGAGGGGGGAGAGGGAGGGAGGGAAGAGGAGCAGAAGAAGGAGAAGTGGGTCACCAGGCACTACGGTGATTTCCCCTGACGCCACGACCCACCACTCCATCTCTGCCCGCCACAGATACGCTTTATGGAGGGCCAGAGACGGCAGGGGGAGGGTGAGGTCGGGCTGGCAGGTGTGCACTGAGTACACAGTTGGTGCTGCCCTCACCCACTCACTGTCAAACCGGAAGAGCTGCGGGAGAAGGGGGAGGGGGGGGAGGAGGGAAGGAAGTGGGGGGGGGAGGAGGAGAGGGGGGGGAGAATTTGGATGGATAGGATGGAGAAATAAGAGCAAAGACAGAGAGACGGGGGACGAAGGGGCCATCATGGGTCTCCTACAAGCTGCACACAATACAACGCACCTACCCAGGCGACAGACAGCCCTTCCCACTCACTTGTTCTCGATTTCTGGCGGTTTTCATGGCAGCCCCTCCTGGTGCTGCTGCTGCGCTGTTGGGCTGCTCCACCATGAGAGAGAGAGGGAAACTTTCGACATTGCCCGCCACGGTCAGCTGAACGAAAATCCCCGGGCAGGATTCGGAGGAGTCGGAAATTACGAGGGAGGCCAAGATGCCCGAGCCTCGTAGAAAGGAGGTCACACACGCTGTAGTTGAGCGGGGAAGAGCGGGGAAGAGCGGGGAAGACAGGAGGATTCTATTCCGGGGCAGGATTCGGAGGAGTCGGAGATTATGAGGAAGGCCAGCACGCCGGAGCCTTGTAGAAAGGAGGTCACAAGAAAGGAGGTCACAAGAAAGGAGGTCACACATGCTGGGGACGAGTGGGGAAGAGCGAGGAAGAGCAGGGAAGAGAGGGGAAGAGAGGGGAAGAGAGGGGAAGAGAGGGGAAGAGAGGGGAAGAGAGGGGAAGAGAGGGGAAGCGAGGGGAAGCGAGGGGAAGCGAGGGGAAGAGAGGGGAAGCGAGGGGAAGAGAGGGGAAGCGAGGGGAAGAGAGGGGAAGCGAGGGGAAGAGAGGGGAAGCGAGGGGAAGAGAGGGGAAGAGAGGGGAAGAGAGGGGAAGAGAGGGGAAGAGAGGGGAAGCGAGGGGAAGCGAGGGGAAGCGAGGGGAAGCGAGGGGAAGAGAGGGGAAGCGAGGGGAAGAGAGGGGAAGCGAGGGGAAGAGAGGGGAAGAGAGGGGAAGCGAGGGGAAGAGAGGGGAAGCGAGGGGAAGAGAGGGGAAGCGAGGGGAAGAGAGGGGAAGGGGAAGTGAGGGGGAGCGATAGGGAGTAAAGCCAAAAAGGTTTGGGATGGAAACAGCTGGTGGCGGTTGGGTAAGGGGGCGAAACTGGAAAGGAAAGCGGAGACATGGAGGAGAAGACAGCAAGGGGAGTAGGAGCAGGAGTGTACGGAGTATGGAAAGGCGTGCACGGGAAAGACCGAAGAGCAAAGGCAAGCTGGAAACTGGAAGCATGAGGCTGGAAACGGGAGTACTGGAAACGGATACGGAGGGATTGGAAAGGCACGTACTTTGAGATGCTGCTGACGTGTAGAAAGAAATGACAAGGCACGATGACACTGGCATGACAAAAGTTGCCACGGAAACGGGAAGGAAGGATGGTGAGAGGAAGGAAAGGGGAATTCTGATGTTTTCACTGGGGTATTTGCAGATAGATACGAGCAGAGGAGGTTGAGCCCAACAGACGGACGACTTTCACATGATAAGAGACGAAAGGCAAGCGACGGCAGGAGGCGCACCTAGAAGTAGGCAGGCAGAGCGTCGTCTCGACAGGCGTCCGACCCGAAAGAGGAGCGACGCTAGGAAGCCCGTCGACGCTGCTGGATGTGGAAAATGGATTCGCATGGCGGATAGGTAGGGATAGGTAGTACGTCACAAAAATGAGGGATGGTGGGGTCCCAAATGCCCTCGCCGATGTCGGAGACCGTTTGCGATTCTGGACTTGTGAGGACGAGAAATCGCGCCACGCTGAAAGTACGCAGCCACTTGCGGAGGAGCCTCTAGAATACCTGAGGCGCCTCTAGAATACTTTTAGGAACCACTTAAAAGTCGATATTAGGGGCTACTGCACTGTACGTGGGTGGCCAACCCTAAAGAAATGCGTCTAGGACAAGGTCTTCGAAAGCCAGCCATAGAATGCAGTCTTCGGATTGAATTCAGGGGTCGCATCGCAACCCAACTTTCTTCTTTCGACTATCCGCGTTTGTGAGAGCGCTAATACAGTAGTCGTCGAGGTTGGGAAAACCGCGTTCCGTCCGCGTTTTTTCGCCAGCCTATGTAGTCAACAGGGGAAACACGACTGGAGAGTGGCTTGGCTTGGCTTGGCAGCATGAGCAAGAAAACGCGATACTAACAATACAGCTTTCGGATCGAAAGCACGCAAAAAATAAAGAGCATGCATAAAAAATATAGAATTTAAATGATCCCATGGAAGTTTACCACATGATGGGGACAGGCATAGTAGAAATCCTTGAGGAAACTTCATCTCCTCCTTTTCATAATCAGGTGTGTTACTATACGGAAATCCTGCTAAGGCAATCCAGTGCACCACTCTCTAGCGAAGGATATCCCCTATCGGGTATTCGCAAACATGCGTTACAGACTTATATGAGTTTTGTGTAATTCACTGTACTGGACGGCCATATCGAAAGTTCCCGACGTCCATCACCACCCATGGCTCGTGGAAAGCCCAATGTTTGACGTGGTACAGAGAAGATTGACAAGGCAGACCCCAGGGTTTCTCTTGAGAGGCAGGATACCCTACTGCGAGTCTCCTCTTAATTTCTAGGTAGCGTTTGGATCGACTAGGTCTACGTGGTTTCGAGCCAGGATGCGAATGTCCTAGGTCGTCGGGAGTCATCTGGTCGATAGCATATCAGCGTATTTTCTTCCTTAGACTCCTCGCCTTACGGCCATCATCAGTCCGTCGTAACTGACGCTGGCTTCCGCCACCTTTGGTTTCCGATCGCTAAGGAGGCGTTTACGCCATGCAGAGGCGTTCCGCATCACAGGTATCAACAATCTCAGAGTAAGCTTAGGACTCTTTGGAGGTATCGACGGTCTCAGTGTAAGTTTAGGGCTCATGAGATGTATTAACGGTTTTCTGTATGGAATCCAGATAAGATTGAGTGGTAACGACAGCCTGTATGTGAGACTGAGAACTTATCAACGGAGCCTGTCTGTAGATTAATACTTCAGCATGTGTTTGGCATGTATCATTGTATCAGTAATATCAATCGTCTCTGGATAATTGACAACGTAATAAATGTAACATCGCACATCCTCCAGTAAGATCTCTACGGCTGTCAGCATTGGTGGTTTTTTCTTCTTCTTCTTCTTAATCTCCCGCAATTTACGAATCAGCGTAGGTGATTTCGTCTCAGTCTTCCTTCTCGTTGTCTCCGCTAAGGCATCGTGAAATCACGTCGTTGATTGTTGCGTCTCACGTTGCTTCCCCTTCTCCATGGCCAGGATCGAGAGCGGGAGCGAGACCGAGATCGGGACAGGGACAGGAAACGCGAGACATCCTGAAGTCACGTTATTGTTTTTTACATTGCCTCCCCCTTCTCCATGGCCAGGATCGAGAGCGGGAGCGAGATGGAAATTGGGACTGGGACAGGGATCGAGAGGCGACGTGAAATCACCTCGTTGCTTCTCACATTGCCTCCCCCTTTTCCATGGCCAGGATCGAGAGCGGGAGCGCGACCGAGATTGGGACTGGGACAGGGAACGCGAGCGAGACCGAGACAGGGAAAGGGAGCGGGATAGAGATCGAGACAGGGTTCGAGAGAGGGATCGAGACAAGGATTGGGACCGGGATAAGGACAGGGATCGAGGCGAGAGGGAGCGAGATCGGGATCTGAAGGAGAGAGATAGGGATCGAGAGAGGGAGTCTAGCCGTGAGAGGGAGCGGGAGCGGGAAAGGGACAAAGACGATTGCAGGGAAAGGGATTGGGATAGAGAAAAGGACGTTGGTGGGATAGGCGATGAACATGGTTTGGCAGATCAAGGACAGAACGAACAGGGTACGCCACAGCAGCTACCGCTTTCCGACTTCTTACAGTCTCAACTGAAGCAGCAGCAGCAGCAGCAGCATCAGCAGCATCAGCAGCTAGAGCGCGAGAGAGAACTTGATTTGGAGCGGCAGCAGCGAATGAGACCTGGGGTTTCGCCAGGAGGAAGAGGAGAAGGAGGCGGGGGAGGGGGCGGAGGAGCGGGCGAGGCGGGGAAGAGCAAGGGGCCTCGAGAGGCGAGGCAGCTGTGGGTGGGCAACGTGACCACCGATATCACCGAGCGACAGCTCTCAGACGCGTTTGGCCGCTTTGGCCAGGTGGAGGGGCTCGCGATTCTCTACCAGAGGGAGTTCGCCTACGTGGATATGGCCACGTCAGCGCAGGCCAGCGAAGCGAGGCGTGTGCTGGCGGGAAAGCCTCTGCGCCCGGGCCTGCTGCCGCTGAAAGTGGAGTTTGCATACGCCAAGGGGTCAACTGGAGGGGGAGGGTCACAGGTAAGCTTTTGACGAAGAAACAGATCCGGGTCTGCTGCTGCTGAATGTGGAATTTGCTTACGCCAAGCGGGTCAGTCAACTAGGTACGCATTTGCACTGCAGTGGGCCTACGTGGAGCCCCAGCAGGACCTGAGCAGGTACGCAAATCCTCCTGGAGCGTGCCTGCACATCCGTCGACTACCGCTTTGAGGACAATGCGCAGGCCGCTGTGTCTGTTGCGCCGTGCTCAAGTCTTGTTCTATTTCTTCTCTTTTTTTATTTTCTTTCTTTCTCTTCCATTCCGTCCGTGATTTCGCCACCGCAGCCGCCAGCCAGTCAGCCCAAGGAGAAGCCCCCACGGCCACCGGCATGGCGAGATGTCTGGATTGGGTGGAGCCCATCCCGAGCGCGCGTGCGCGTTCGTCGACTACCGCTTCGAGGAGGGCTGGGATTACTGTCCCGTGCTCTCAAGTCCCTTTCTTTTCCTCTCCTTCCCCAATTTCGTCCCTGCAGCCGCCAGCCAGCCAGCCCAAGGAGAAGCCCCCTCGGCCACCGGCACGCCGGGTGGTCTGGATCGGGTGGGGCCCAGCGCACGTAGTCTTAGATGAAATTGAATCCGAGTTCCGCCGCTTTGGCCCCATTGAGGACCTCCGCTTCCACCCCGAGCGCGCGTGCGCGTTCGTCGACTACCGCTTCGAGGACGATGCACAAGCGGCCGTCGCGTCGATCAACAACGTGCGGACGCGCGACGGCGGGGTTTTCCGAGTGGAATTCGCGAAATCAGGGCCGCATGCCGGGGGGGGAGGAGGGGGAGGAGGAGGAGGGGGTGGTAGCGGTGGTAGAGGTGGTGGTGGTGGAGGGGGAGGAGGAGGAGGCGGTGGTGGGGGTGATGGGTCTCCGAGTGAGATTCTGTGGGTGGGGTTTCCCAGCACGATCACAGTCACAGAGGAGCGGCTCCACGCGGCCTTCTCCCAGCACGGCCAGATTCGTCGAATCAAGACGTTCCCCGGGCGCACGTACGCGTTTGTGGAGATGGCCACGTGCGAGCAGGCCACGAACGCCATCCGGGCTCTCGACCACGTGCTGTTCAACGACGAGCGCGTGCACATCCGGTACTCCAAGAGCGAATTCGCCTTCATGCACGCGGCCGACCCGCCCTTCTCCTCCCCTGCTGCTGCTGCTGCCTCCGCCGCAGGAGCGCCCGCCGGGGAGGGTTTTGGCGAGAGGGGAAGGCAGGGAGGGGGAGGGGGAGGTGGTGGGGGGGGATCTGGTCCGTATGAGCCGGATCGGGGGGTTGGAGGGGAAAGGGAGCCTGGTAGGGGGAGAGGGAGGGGGAAGGGGAAGGGGAAGGGTAGGGGGAGGGGGGTAGAGGAGGGAGGGGGAGAGGAGGGTGGGAGGAGCGGGAGGGTGATGGGCAGTGGGAGTCTCCCCCACGTGGCCCGGACAGAGGGGGGAGAGGAGGGGGGCGAGCGCGGGGCGATAGAGACTGGGAGCGGGAGCGGGATAGGGAGGAATGGGAATGGGACAGGGACAGGGATAGGGATTGGGACAGGGACGAGAGGGACGCGAGGGACGAGAGGGACGAGAGGGACTGGCCACGGGGGTTCGAGTCCAAGCGTCCACGAGTTGACGGGCAGTTTGACCCCGACTACAGCGGCCGCTTCTTCGACGACCGCAACGGGGGCCCGCCTCCTCCTCCCGTGCCTCCTGGGGGGAGGAGACACAGTGGCTGGGATGTTGTTGCCCCGCCGCCTGCTCCTGCTGGTGCTGCTGCCTCTGGACTGCCCATTTCTTTTCCTGGCTCCGTGCCTCCGGGTCCTGTACCTGGAGGACTGGCTCGGGCGGTTGGAGGTTCGGCTGGAGCGGGCCCGCATTGGAAAGGGACGCTGGCCAAGGGAGGGATCCTCGTATGCCATGCGCGGGCCATTCCCATTGGTCCTGGCATCTCAGCACCCATGTACGTGACTCTTTTTAACTCTTTTCACGAGCACTGAACTTCAAGCCTTTTCTGGGACCGGTGGCACTTTTTCTTACGTTGACGTTTCCTGGGCCAGCTTGCCGCCATACCAACCGGTATAAATCCCCTCCCCCTCCCTTCCCTCCTCCTCCCTTCCCTCCTCCTCCCTTCCCTCCTCCTTCCCCCCCCCCCTCCCCCTCCCTTCTTCCATGCCAATCCACCATCTCCCCCGTCCGACCCTAAACCTGCCTGTCACCAGGTCTGACGTGCTCAACTGCCTCTTTTTAGGCGCCTCAAAAGTGCAATCCTCCATCCCCCCCCGTCCGACCCTAAACCCTGCCTGTCACCAGGCCCGACGGGCTCAACTGCCTATTTTTGAGGTGCCTCAATATTACAATCCTCCATCTCCCCTGTCCAACGCTAACCCCTGCCTGTCACCAGGCCCTCAACTGCCTATTTTTTAGGCGCCTAAAAAGTGAAAGTGCAATTTTCCATCTCCCCCGTCCGACCCGAAACCCTCCGTCACCAGGCCCGACGTGCTCAACTGCTATGCTCGGGTAGAACTCGACACCCTCGCCAAGCACGTGTGTGCACCCAAGGCACAGCCAGACGTGCTGCCGTACCACGACTTGGTGCAGTACCTGGGGGACAAGCGCCAGGCGACGGCTCCAATCTCTTCCTCTCAACAAGCGCCGGGCGCCGGGCAGGCGTGGCCAAGCTGGCCGACAACTCCACTCTGTTCCTCCCCTTCCACTCTGTTCATCTGATGCATGCCTCCCTTCCCCCTCGCCCCCGTCTCCCCGTTCTCCCTGTCACCAGGCCCGACGTGCTCAACTGCTCTGCTCGGACAGAGCTCGACACCCTCGCCAAGCATGTGCGAGCGGCAGCCGACTTTGGCGTGGTGGCGATCATCCCCGAGGCGGAGCCGGACGTGCCACCGTACCACGACCTGGTGCAGTACCTGGGGGACAAGCGCCGGGCCGGAGTGGCCAAGCTGCCTGACGGGTCCACTCTGTTCCTGGTTCCTCCCTCCGATTTCGCCCTCTCCGTGCTCCAAGTGCCGAGGAATGATTCCTTGTTTGGAGTGTACCTCAACCTGGCTCCTCCTGGTGCTCCTGCTGCTCCAGCTGCTCCTGGTGCGCCTGGTGGTCTTACTGCTGCTGGTGTCCGCGCTCCTCCTGCTGCTGGTGCTACCTCGGGTCCTGCTTTGCCCCCTGGCCTCGCGCCTCCTGCTGCTGCTGCTGGTGTGAGCCCTGCTGGTTCTTTAGCCACGCCAGCAGGCATGCCGTCTCCCTCCTTTGGCGCTGCTGCTGCCCCTACTGGTTTGACGCCTCTGGGACAAGTAGGAAGGCCTCCCCTGCCGCCCAACCAGCAGGGGCAGCAGCAACAGCAGCAAACAGGAGCCTCTTCCCTTAGGTGGCAGCAGCAGCAGCAGCAGCAGCAGAGGCAGCCGGGGGTTGATTTTTCTGCCCAGCCTCTTTCTCCCCCCCAGCGACCCTCACAAGCACCCATGCACCCATCCCTGTCTCCCATCCCCATGCACATGCCCCAAGGCTCGTCACGTGATCCCTTTCCCCGAGGCCCCGCCTCTGGCCCCGGGTTACCTGGTTACCAACCTCCGTCCTTCGCACCTCCAGTTCCTCCTACCTCTCGTCCTTCCGCCTCCCCCGTCCCTCCTGCTGCTCCTGATGTGATAAGACCGCCGCCGGTAGGGGGAGGGCAGCCTGCAGGGGGGGAACAGGCTGGAGGTGCAGGCTTTTCTGGAGCAGGTTTACCTGCAGGGATCACCCCAGAGCTCCTGGCGTCTCTGTCTACGCTGCTTCCGAAGCTCAACGCCCCTGGCGCTGCTCCTTCTGCTGGCACTGGCGCGGGTGCTGCTAATGCCGCTGCTGCTGGTGCGCCTGGTAACGCCATGGGCATCCCTTCTGCTGGAGCAGGCACGGGTGGGATGAGACGAGATTTCTCCCCTGTGCCGCCCCCACTCCCCCCTGCTCCTCCAATGGGAGGGCAGTTTACCCAGAGGCCGCCCGGCCCTCCCCTCCCCCCTCTTCCCCCCCAGCAGCAGCAGCAGCAGCAGCAGCAGCAGCAGCAGGAGGGAATGTCCGTCCCCCAGTTTACACCAGAGCAGCTCGCTCAGTTGAGTAAACTGCTGGGTCAGCAGCAGCCGCAGCCGCAGCAGCAGCAGCAGCAGCAGTCACAGCAAACGCAAGAGCAGTTGCCTTCCAGCCAGGGGGGGCAGTGGCAGGGCGGTCGACCTAGCAGGTGGAGCGCTCCTTCAGACAGCCAGACCCCACAAGGAAACCCTTCAGGTGCTTCTCCAGGTAACCTTCCAGGTGCCATTTCAGGTGCCCCTCCAGGTGCCCCTCTTCCCCCATCTGCTCCGTCTGTGCCCTTTCCTGGCCCTGGTATTCCTGGGCCTCCTCCTAGAGGCCACTTTCAAGGGCCGCCACTGCCCCCGCCACAGCAGCAGCAGCAGCAGCAGCCACAGTGGCAGCGGCAGCAGCAGCAGGAGATGGGAGGGGGTCAGAGGCAGTATGATCCTGATCGGTCGCAGATGCCTCCTCACATGCAGGGTGGGCCGAGGCAGGGTCAGGGTCAAAGCCAGGCAGATGGGGCTGGTTTTGGTGGCAGCGGCATGAGGGGGGCTCCGGCCTTCGGTGACCGCGGTGGTGGGGGTGGTGGTGGGGGGGGTGGCGCTTGGGGAGGCATGGCTGCTGGTGGTGGTTCTGCTGCTGCCGGTAGTGCTGGTGGTGCCCCACCGCACTGGGGTCAGCAGGGGCCTTCAGCACCCTTGCCTCCACAGCAGCCTTTCTACCAGCAGCAGCAGCAGCAGCAGCAGCAGCAGCAGGGGGGGGGAGGAGGTTATGGGCCTGGTTCAGGAGTTCCTTCAGGTGGTTTTTCAGGTGGTTTTTCAGGTGGTTCAGGTGGCAGCATGGGAGTTCCAGCAGCAGCAGCAGTGGTAGCAGCAGCAACAGCAGCAGGAGGAGGCGGAGGAGGAGGAGGTGGAGGAGTGGGGGGTGGGGGTATTGATATGCAGGATGAGAGGTTTAAGGCGACTCTGCAGCTTGCATCACAGCTGCTGCAGCAGATGAAGCAGCAGCAGCAGCAGCAGCCACAGTAGCAGATGCCTGCACCATGAAGCACACAATGTTACAGCCAAAGTTTGGTAAGTTTAGCTGCTGCTTACTGCTTCTACGGCTTTGTTTTTCTTTCTTGCTCCGTCCTTGCTTCTTGCTTCGTTGTTCCCCTTCCCTGTCCATCCCCGTTTTCTGTGTTCTCATCCGTGCTTCGTTGTTTGGGGTGTCTTTTGAGTCGACTCTGTCCATCCCCGTTCTTTTGAGTCGACTCAAAAGTCACCTCTGTCCATCCCCGTTCTTTTGAGTCGACTCAAAAGTCACCTCTGTCCATCCCCGTTCTTTTGAGTCGACTCAAAAGTCACCTCTGTCCATCCCCGTTCTTTTGAGTCGACTCAAAAGTCACCTCTGTCCATCCCCGTTCTTTTGAGTCGACTCAAAAGTCACCTCTGTCCATCCCCGTTCTTTTGAGTCGACTCAAAAGTCACCTCTGTCCATCCCCGTTCTTTTGAGTCGACTCAAAAGTCACCTCTGTCCATCCCCGTTCTTTTGAGTCGACTCAAAAGTCACCTCTGTCCATCCCCGTTCTTTTGAGTCGACTCAAAAGTCACCTCTGTCCATCCCCGTTTTCTGTGTTCCGGATGAAACAGACACCCCGTTCTCATCCGTGCTTGTTTGGGGTGTCTGTCTAGGGGGCTCTCATTGATGCCTGCTCGCATCCGCATGCATGTGTCAAGGAGTGGGTTAAGGCATGGTGTGGGGCGTGTGCGGATGTAAGTGTGTGCTAGTGTGCGCTTGTTAGTGGGCGTTACATCACGTGTGTGCGAGTGCGTGTGTGTGTGCACGCGCGCGCGCGCGTGTGTGTGTGTGTGCGTGCGTGTGTGTGTGTGTGTGCGTGTGTGTGTGTGTGTGCGTGCGTGTGTGTGTGTGCGCGCACGTGTGTGTGTGTGTGTGTGTGTGTGTGTGTGTCCGTGTCTGTGTCTGTGTACGTGCCTGTATGTGTGTGTGCGAGTGTGTGTGTGTGTGTGTGTGTGTGTGTGTGTGTGTGTGTGTGTGTGTGTGTGTGTGTGTGCGTGTGTGTGTGCGCGCGCGCGTAGGCGTGTGTGAAGTGGGGAGATGGATGGAGATGTGAGTACCTTGAGAGACAGCAAGGAAGGAGGGGGAGGGGGAAGGGGAACGCAGCAGGTGGAGTTGTGAAATGCTCCAGCATGGTGGTAAGATGGAAGACTGACCCAGGCAGTCTGCTGAATGGCCGGCACCCGGAGCAAGGAAGATGGGGGAAGGGGGAAGGGGAAAGCAGGTGGAGTTGTGAAATGCTTCAGCATGGTGGTAAGATGGAAGACTGACCCTGGCAGTCTACCGAATGGCCGGCGGCACCCACAGCAGCCACAGCAGCAGCAGGGCCACATATTAATCTCAGGCGTTTGGATGATTCCCTTTTTGAGGCGCCTCAAAGACAAGTATTCCACCAGCATGGTTGCACGCTGACTCAGGCAACCTATTGAATGGCCGGCAGGCGCTCGCAGCAGCAGCAGCACATCTTACACTCAGGCATTTGGATAAGGCCACACATGAGAGCCGTCGAGACTCCACTCTACCAAGGGCCCTAGGACGTGGGCGAGCATCCATGCGACTCTACCCTGTGCTGCTGAGACCCCGCTGCGTGGGAAGGCGGATTGGAGAGCCATGCGTCTCATGCATGCGTCCTAGCAGCCTCGGCTCTTAACAGCTGGAAGGTCGTAGCCCCCACAGCTTATACCTCTAGTACCTGCCAGCCCATTGTACCCCGCACACAAGATCCGCCCTCCTCATCGCATCTGCTCATAGCTCCTACGGGGGCCCTGGATTCTCCGCCTGTGGCTACGATTTCTCAACGCTCCATTCGCAGCCCGAGGTCTATGCACGCGCCCTGCCGCTCACCTGATTCTGCCTCATCCAATCAGAGGCCCTCTGCGCACCTCATGCGTCACTCAGCACCCACCCTACCCCATTCCTCCGTTCCGTTTCGTCGTTCTCTTAGCTACCTGCTAGGCCTTCAACCCACCCGCGTCCGCGTGCATACTTGCAACCTCTAGGCATTAGGACGGATAGTGCCTGGTGCAGACCGCGACTCCCGCCCACTCTCACTGCTACAAGCGTTGGTCTAGTCGGTTCTGTGCTGGCTGCAGTGCGCACAAGCTGCAGGGCCGCAAGCTGCAGGGCCGCAAGCTGCAGGGCAGCAGGCTGCAGGGCCGCAAGCTGCAGGGCAGCAGGTTGCAGGCACAACCCCTGCAAGGAACATAGGAATGTGACAACCGCATCATGCAGGTCCTTCCTACCACATATGACCGGATCTGCTCTCCGTGCCTTGCAACCGCATCACGCATTTGGCTGCTTTGCCCCCCCAAAGAGCACGTGACATGTGCCTTGAACAACCCCATGGATCCAGTTAGCAGCACGGGGGTTCTCAGCAGCACATGGGTGGTGTTATGTAGTGGGACAAGCTGATGTGAGCAGAGTAAGAATCTGCACCAGTAGCGCAGGGAACAGAGGAGTGCTGGAACACAGGGTCGATGGAAGGAGGGCCATTCATGCGAACAGGGCATGCGAGGAAAGCAGGGAGCTGAGCTGAACCGTTCTGGGGGCTCCCTGGGGCTCCTTGGAAGCAGTCTGAACGCTGGGTGAAGGGATGCTCCGAGGCACCTCAGAAGGATGGGGGTTAGCGGCACAGCCTGCAGGTCCTGACTCCCCCGACTCCAGCCATGCGGTACTGCCGTGTGTTGCGTGGCAACGGCACGGCACCACCCAAGGGGTGCCTTGCCCCTCTGAATCGACAGCAGGTCATTCGTTGCCTGCCTCTCGTGCTCCGGCCGTTCCATTCCAGCAGTTCCTGGCAGTACAATGCGACTCACTGCATGGAGGGGGGGAGCTGATCAGATGCGTGATGATGAGAGGTGGTTGAGTTGAGGGTGCATGAGTGGTTGTGAGGGAGTGAGGCAAGAGTGATAAGTGTGCCTGTGCGTTTCTCCACCACCTTTGTGTTTCTCATGCAGGTCAACCCACAGGGTTATTGGCAGGTCTAAGCGGCAGCATCTTTCTTGGAGGACTTGCGCTCAATGTCAGACATTGCACTTCGACTTTTGGGGGATCCCTGCCTGCTGCATATCCCCTCCGCGTTTACTCACGATTCCTGATTGAATCCTAGAACAGCAAGGTTTGGACTACATAGTTAACTCTAGCAAGTAATGAGCAAAAAGTAATGTAAATACATGTAGCAAAATTATGTTAGGCATAGCATAGCTATTTAGAGGACAATTTGTGGTAAGTGAATGTGCGTGTAGTCCTAGCCCGCAGCATGGGCCAATCAACGTGGCAGTTTTACAAGGATCTCGGGTCACACATTACCTTCGGCGCATCCGGGCCGTCCAAGCCCAAACCTGACAATCAGGCCCCTGTCAGGCCCCAATTGCCGGGAGGCGGCTGTGGGGGCATACTGCGGCGGAATGCGGCAATTTCAAGGCTTGGCAAATGGTTACCAGGACGCTTTATTTGGCCAGCTCATAAAGCTTGCCATCTTTTCATGCGTTCTTTTTACCTCTAGTTTAGCGACACGTCTTTCGTAGTCCATGCGGCTTAGTCGTTTGATGGCCGTCCTCGCGCCGCTGGCGATTTCCTTGCGAGACGCGTCTTTACGCGCTGCTGTTAGCTTCCTTGCATGCGTTTCACGAATCAGAGGCGATTAGTCTGCTCTTATTAAAAGATCTGTTACTTTCGGCTTCGCCAACTGGATTTGGCTTGAGTTGTAGGGCGGACTCGTTACCTCTTATTAGCGCACCGCGTGTATCCGCGTTTCCAGGAGCCTTAGCAAGCCGCGTGAGGATGAACTGGTCTCTATCCTCGCTAGAATCATGCCCGTCAGACGCGTCCGTCGGGAGCTTGAAACGATTAACGTAGGGATGATGATGTCGGGCTCTATCCTCGCTATTATCATATCCGAGGTGCTATACGCTATCGTCTCGTAGCGAGGTATTCGATTCAGCTGTCATACGATGTTCCTAGACTCTATCGTCTCGAGAATCCTCCGTCAGAAGCTACCTGAATTTCTCCCCGTGCAGCCAATCCATCCCCTTTTATGAGAATTCGCTTGACTCTCTTATCAGCTGTCACACGATGGTGCTAAACGCTACCGTGTCGAGAGTAATCCGGCAGAAGCTATCCGAGCTTCTCCCCTTGCAGCCAATCCTGTTTTGAGCCCTGTTTTGTGAGAACTCCTGTGACTCTCCTAGTCAGCTGTCACACGATGGTGCTAGACTCTATCGTCTCCAGAATCATCCGGCAGAAGCTCTCGGAGCTTCTCCCCTTGCTGCCAATCCATCCAGATGCCGTCCGAGCGAGCGTCCTCAACGGTTCAGTGCACCTGGCCGAAGCCGTGGCGTGTCCAGATTCATTGAATCGGGAGTGGGTGGGGGAGAATAGTCCCGTGGGGGTGTCAGCTGCACGTGTTGGGTCTGTGAGGCTGGAGATACGGCTGCTGGGATCGGAGCACGTCAGACTGATTGTGAACGGCCTTGATGTCAGCTTAGTGCCGAGGTCAGTATAACCGTGGATCCCATCATACTCCGTCTTAAGGGCTGGATCTAGGGCTGCTGGGATCGGAGCACGCCAGACTGATTGTGAACGGCCTTCATGTCTCCTTAGTGCCGAGGTCAGTGTATTTATAGTATTTGTCAGTCCCAAGGTCAGTACGCACATATGCCTGTCAGGGCGATCTGTGTTGGGTCAGTGAGGCTGGAGATATGGCTGCTGGCATCGGAGCACGCCAGACTGATCGTGAACGGCCTCCATGTCTCCTTGGTACCCAGGTCAGCATACTGATCTTGCACTGGCCGTCAGATTGCCTGCCAGTGCGATCAGTGTTGGGTTGGTGAGGCTCTAGATATGGCTGATGACATCAGACCGGAGCACATACGATACGACGTGATTGTGAGCGCCCTTTTCGCCCCTTTCCCCTTAGTTTCTAGCCAGCTGAATCACTTGCTACTTGGCAACATACGCTCAGCTAAACGGGTCGTCCCTTCCCTTCCTCTCCTCCTCTTCTGTGCCATGATCCACCACCCCCTCCTCTCCCATGTCCCTCCCACCACCCCCTCCTCTCCCATGTCCCTCCCACCACCCCCTCCTCTCCCATGTCCCTCCCACCACCCCCTGCCATGCCACTGCATCAGGCCTTTTGAGTCGACCCAAAAGTCATCTCCCTTGTCCCTTTCACCACCTCCTGCCACTGCATCAGGCCCGCTTGCAAGCCACATGAAGATAACAGCAGAGCGTATGATCAGCAGCAGCATAGAGCGGTGGTGGGCGAGGGAGAGGATGGGGCGACTTTTGAGTCGACTCAAAAGTCACCTCTCAACAGCAGAGCGTATGATCAGCAGCAGCAGCAGCAGCAGCAGCAGCAGCAGCAGCAGCAGCAGCAGCAGCAGCAGCATAGAGCGGTGGTGGGCGAGGGAGAGGATGGGGCGTGCAGCGAGGATGAATCCGTGACTCAGCAGCTTGCCCTTCTGGACCCCGAGGTAAATCGCGTCCTGTTGCAAGTCCCACGCTCGCTCGCTATCTCCCCGCGCCTCTGATTGCCTCACTATGATACGGGCACCTATGCTGGCGACTCAATAGTAGAAATCTTCTGCACTCAGGAAGGAACCCCTTATCACTTTCAGCTTTCGAGCTGCTTATTCCTTACTCCTCCCTTGATTTGAATTCCTCAAGCCCCCGTAACGAGGTGACTTTTGAGTCGACTCAAAAGTCAGGAAGGAACCCCTCATCACTTTCAGCTTTCAAGCTGCTTATTCTTTTCTCCTTCAATTCAAGCTGCATCCCTCATCAAGCCCGTGTAGCGCCATCCTACTCCCTCCCAGCCACCAAGTTCTGTCCTTCTGTCTGGTCCTCGTTCACTCTTCCCATCAGTTCGTTCTCTGGTTGCACTTCTTATTATAGTCACATCCTCAGTGCATCGCCCTTTCACCACTAGAATAGCTTCGTTTCGTCTTGCCTACTACCATACCTTGATGTATACCGCATCGTTTCCTCATCTTCGCCCTTCCCACGACACTACTCAGGGAGCAAGCCTCCACGAGGCCATCAAGCGCCACTTGGCGCAGCGCCATTCGCCGTTCACTCTCTCCCAGTGGCTGGGTCAAGTGGTGGCGTCATGGGTACATGTGGAGTTGCATGACGTGTCCCTGCGCCTGCACACATGCTCATGCAAACGGGTCCAGCCGTGGGAGGAGAAAGCTAGGCCAAGGGGTAGCGATGAGTTCACGGAGGCGCAGAGTATGCAGGCCGGGGGACGCTGCATGGGTGCCGCAACCGCTGTGACTGCTGGCGCTGCCTCTGCTTGTGCTGGTGCAAATGTGGGTGCGGATGTTGGCGCTGCCTCTGCTTGTTCTGATGCAAATTTGGGTGCTGCTGATGTGGATGTTAGTGGTGGTGCTGCTGCTACTGCTGGTGCTGGCGCTGCACCTTCCGTCTGCTGTCTTGGTCTGGAAAGGCTGGCGTTTTCCTGCCGCTCTTTCACCCCTCAAGTAGCGCGTAGATGGCCTACAGGGAATGTAGCAGCGACAGAGATTCGGACAAATCCGGCAACTGGGGTGGATGCAGGCACTGGGCTAGACGCAGGGAGAGAAGCCGGTGTTGTGAGAGAGGCGGAAAAACATGTTTCTAGGGGCGATGGGGATGGGGATGGGAGCAGTAGCAGCAGCGGCAGAGCACGAGCACACTGGAGGGGTCTGCTTGCTGGGCTGTGTGTTGTTGCGTGCCTCATGTACACGCTCGTTGCTCCCCTGTCGCTCATAGACCAGCATCCGGACTCCACTGGCCACAGAGCATTGCATCAGCAGCTGCTGTCGCACCAAAGGAGTTCCTGGTTCCAAGGCCTTTTTTGGAAGTCTCCCTCTAGAGGCTACTTTTGGAAGCCGCTGGTGCAGACCCAGTGGGTGGGGCCAGCAGCAGAGGCAGCATTGCTAGGCAGCACAGCAGATGCAGCCGCAAAGGTAGGAGGAAAGCAGTGGACAGGCTCTTTCCAGCAATCTGCGCTGCTGCTCTGGGCCCTGGGAGTTGTTTCTATCTGCAGTCTCCTGGCTTTTCACCTGATGCGCACTGCCAGGGACACCGCAGCACAGGCTGAGGCAGCAGTGAGGTGGATAAAGGCAGCGGTAGTGTGGGTGAAAGATGCGGGGGGGCTGATTCTGGGGGTTGGGAATGGAGGGAAGGCGTGGAGGGAGGGTGGGTTGCAGCAGCGGTGGGAAGTGAGTGGGCTGGCTCTGTGGCTGGAGGGGGGTGGGAGGGGTATGGTGAGAGGTGAAGGGGTGGAGAGGGGTGGAGGGGGGCGAGAGGGAGTGGAAGGTGATGGTTTAGCTGATGGTGGTGTGGGGGGAAGGGGGAAAGTCGACACGGAGAGACGTGCAAGGATGAGTGTGGGGAAAGGGGAGGGTGAGGAGGAAGAGGTAAGGGAGGAAGAGGAGGAGGAGGACGAGGAGGATGCTGGGGAGGAGGAAGGAGAGGAGGGAGAGGAGGAGGAGGAGGAGGGGGAAGAGGGGGAGGAAGAGGAGGAAGGGGAGGAAGGAGAGGAGGGTGGTGGTGAAGGAAGGGAGGAGGATTTAGGGGAGCTTATGATTTCTGGCGCACCCCGTTTTGAACCAGCCAGGCCAGCCAACGGTTCACGCAGAAACACTATCACATCATTCCAGCTTCCTTCCTCCTCTACCCTCCATCCCCCGCCAACTCGTCACGATATAATCTTCCCATTCGGGGCGTGCATCCAGCTGGAAGTCTCCCGGGACTGGGCCCTGCAGCACACCGTCGTGTCCCTGCATGAGTCAGTGAGAGTCTGTGTGAGAGGCGTGCCGGACCTGCTTCCCCTGGCATCTTCTGCTGCTGCCTTTTCTCCCCCCTCTTCTCCACCCTCTCCCTCCGCCACTCTTCGTCTCCCATCACCTCTACTATCTACATCCACGCCAGCACTACCAGAGTCGTCTGCACCAGTGGATGCATCATCACCCAGTGGCAGTGGCGAGGGCAGTGGCAGTAGCAGTTGCAGCGGCAACGGCAGCGGCAGCGGCAGCGGTAGCAGCAGTGCTAGTAGCAGCAGCAGCAGCAGCAGTAGTAGTGGACACAAGGCTGCAGATTCTGAGGCAAACAGAGAGGTTACAGGTAGAGAGGGTACAGGTAGAGAGGGTACAGGTAGAGAGGGTACAGGTAGAGAGGATAGGGAAGCCGCAGTCGCCACAACTCCCACCACAGAAGGTGCTCACGGGACGAACCCTCGCCAGCAGACAATCACCTCTGCAACTTCCATAACGGAATGCCCGAACAACCAACCTGCGACTCCCACCACAGAAGGTCCTCAGGGGACAAACCCTGGCAATCTCGCCCCAAAGGGCCAGCAGACAATCCCCTCTGCAACTCCCAGAGCAGGAGGCCCGAGCAAGCAACCTGTGTCTCCCACGCAGCACTCCCTGAGGAGAGATCCGGGTCAGAGTTCAAACACACGGATTGTGAGAGGCAGGTCGGCACGTGCCAGGTGGCAGCGCGCGGTTGGCCAAGTGATGCAGCAGATTCGGCAGAGGAAGGCGCTCAGAATGGGTGCCGCTGTAGATGCTGTGGCTCTCAGAAAACGGTACGCCACTCTCTATGCCGATTGGCTGCGGGCAGCCACCGGAATCTTCCCTCCTGCCCGGAGGAAAGAGGGGGGCGTTTCTGGCCGCTCGTTGGCTTTTTGGAGGGAGGGGGCGAGTGATCAGCAGAGAAAGGCAGTTGCGTCGATGGAGTGTGAGATGACAGAGGCTGAGAAGAGGCTCGGGGCAACTGGAGTGGTTTTGGCTCGGCGCTTGGCTCGGATGCAGGCTCGGAAGGAGGCTCGGAATCAGGCCGGGAAGAAGGCCCACTGGAGTGACTCCTGGGATGTGCTGCAGGAAACGAGGGGTGAATGGGGAACGGCAGAGCAGGGGGTGGAGAGGGGTTGGGAGGGGTTGGAGGGAGGCAGGAGTGGCGGGTGGGAAGTACGGGCGGCTGGGTTGGACGTTGTGGTGGGACTGGTGGGACCAAGCATGCCTCTCTTGGTGTTCGATCCCAGTGAAGGAGAATATGCATCTGCTGATAGTGCCCTTGCTGCTGCTGCTGCTGCTGCTGCTGCTGCTGCTGCTGGAGTGCCTGCTGCGGCTACAATCGATATGGGCGGATCGGGTGATCCAAGCCATGCGAGCCATTTAGGTACCCTGCACGTGTCGGTGTCAGGAGTGCGAGCAGGCATGCTGACGCTGCCTTCAGGGGGCTACCAGTGCAGCGCACAGGTCACAGCCGTGCATGGATGTATTCGTGTTGACGCACACAATAGCGATGATTTCTGCTGCCCGCAACAGGACATGAGCCGCCTCTGCAGTAGCAGTAGCAGCAGCAGCAGCACAGTCCCGTTTCTGAGCCTGTCTGGTGGGGAAGACCCGAGGAAGGTAGCTTCTGGGGAAGGTAGTGCTGCTGGTGGTGAGGGGGGGGGTGCATGGGATGAAGTTACAGGCCATGGCGTTGATACAACTGTGACGGAGGCAGGAAGGGCGTTTTCCATCCCAGCCCTCCGCCTCCTCCGCCTCCTCACTCCTGTGCTCCGCTTACTGCACGGCTCGCACGGGGATGCAGCAGAACCACAGGAAGCAGCAGCTAGTTTGGACAGCACCACCCCCACCGCCAACAGCAACAACGGCAGGGGAATTAGCAGCAGAGTCACCATCCCCAGTGCTCCTAACAATTCCTGTTTCACGGTATCTCAGAATACCGGGAGCACAAGTCCAGCCTATCAGGAGCCTTTCCTGTCTTTCCGCATGGCCGCCCCTGCTCCAGCCTCCACCAGACCAGACAGGCCAGTGCAAGTCCACGTGGCAGCTGGTGATTCGCTCCTGGCTGTGAGCCCAGATCTGATTGCTGCAATTTTCAAATTGGGAACGTTGGTAGAGCAGGCGATGGCAGTTGCTAGCAGGAGCGGAGGAGAGAGCAGAGGAGACACGAGAGGAGACAGCGAAGGGGGCAGTCGTGGGGAACAGAACAGGAGCAGTAGAAGCAATGGGAGCACAATGGGGAGCACACGAGTGCCACGCACCAGTGAAAATCCTCCCACTCCCACGAGTGGCAATCGCCCCATTGGCAGCTTAGACAGTCTATTAGCAACCATGCAGATGTCTCTGGATGGTCTCATTCCCGTCGCATCGTGGCGTGTGAACGCGACAAGTGGCAGGCTGTGGTTGGGTGTTGGAGTTCGGGCTGACGTGGCAGCGGCGGCAGCAGCTGCTGCTTGTCTGACTCGTGGCAGCAAGTCTGCAGCCAATGATGGCCTGGCACTGACAGCCCTGCCCCGGAGAAAATCTGTCTCGGATTCGAGAGTTGGGGTGAATACAGAGGCATCAATTCCAGTCAAGTCGGCCACACCATCCCGTTCAACAGGAGGAGAAGCAGCAGGAGCAGCGAGAGAACGAGCAGGAGAATCAGCAGGGGCAGGAGAACGAGTAGCAGCAGAAGGAGCAGCAGAGAAGCAGGAGGAAGGCCACGTGACAGTAATGAGCGGTGCAGATGTGATAGTTGCGGAGGTTTCCTCTCTTTCAATTAGGCTCCGTCCCAAGCCTCCGTACAGCCCATGCGTGGGTCCCATTGGTGGTAACCATACGCCCCTCAATGGTAACCGTACTGTTTCTGGTAACTTCGAAAGCTCCATCAATAGCCGGACAGCTGTGAATGCAGGGCAAGAGGAGAGAGGGGGCCAGGTGCAAAGAGAGGAGGGTTTGGTGGAGGGGAATGGCAAGGAGAGAAGAGGACGAGGTAAGGGGGATGAGATGGGAGGGGAGGAGGATGAGATTGAAATGTGGGAGGACGAGAGGAGGAGAGAGGTTTGGGAGAGGCTGGAGCAGGCTGTTTGGAACGGACGGCCAAGATCAGCCAGCAGAGGGAGAGAGTGCAATCCGACGGTGGGAGACAGTGGAGAGCTACGGGGGGATGGGGCAGTGGGGTATGGGGCAGTGGATGTACACCAGGTGTGGCACAATAGCGAGGTGACTGTAACGGGGCTCTGCATCCAGGCAGTGGGTGTAGGCATGGGTATGGCGGATGAAATTTGTGATGGTGGGTTGGAAAGTCGCGGTGGTGGTGGGGTGCACTTTCAGGGCAACAGGCAGATGCAGGGGGGAAGCTGGGGGAGGAAGAGCAGGGAGTTTGATGCGGTGACGAGGAGTGAGTCTGTGTGGACAGCGGTGCTGGCTCCCACTCGTCTCGGTGTGCTTGCCTCCTTGTACCGATGCCAGACAACCACGTTGATCACATCCAATACAATCACATCCACGGCTGCTCTGATCCGTGTCCCTGTATTAGCAGCCTCAGTACCCGCCACAGTCATCCATGCGCTTCCCAAGGTGAGAATCGTTCAGCGCCCTGTACAATCACATCCACGGCTGCTCTGATCCGCGTCCCTGTAGTTCACTCTCACAGAAGGGGCAGTGTTATCGCAGAGTAGCATTAAGGGGCAGCGCTATCACAGAATACTAGAAAGGGGTAGTTTCACCTTTTGCTGATCAGCAGCAGCATACGTGTTTGTAGTACTCCAAGCCATTCTGGAGGCCCCTCAAAAATAGACTTACTCGCGTGCTCTCTTCCCTCCCTCCCCTGCCAGGTTCTCCAAGCCATTCTGGAAGCTGGCAGCTTGTCGGCATCGGATACACCTCCCAGCCCAAGGGCAACTGAACCCGCAGCCACTGTACATACGCCGAGCACTGTAGATACACATACGCCTCCAAGCCTTGTAGACTCCCCAAGCTCTGTAGATAAACCATCTGCTTCTACTTCCTCTGCCTCCTCCTCTTCCTCTTTCCCCTCCTCCTCATCGTCCTCCTTCTCTTTTTCTCTCGCCCTTGGCCTAGAGATTGCCTCTCTCTCTGCTGCTCTCTGTGCTACAGTGCCCTTCAGTGTCGTGTCTGTGCCAGCTAGGATGCTTCCAGACGTGCTGAGCTGTCCTCTGACACGTGGCACACGGGACGAGGAGAGGGGGAAAGCAGAGGAGGATGAGGGAGAGGGGCAGGAGGGGAGTCTATTTTTGAGGCGCCTCAAAAATAGACTCCTCACACAGGAGGATGAGGGAGAGTGGAAGGAGAGCAGATGGGATGTGAGGGGGAAGGAAGAGGGAGGAGGTAATGTGGGGGATGATATTCCGTTCAGCAGGAGTAGCAGTTTGCAGGTAAGAGGCAAATGGGGAGCTGCGGACGGGCGTAGGCGGGGGTCTATAAGTGGGGGGGGATTTACAGATGAGTCGAGAGAGGGTGGGGGAGATGGATGGAGGGATAAGAGAAGAGCGAGAGGGGAGGTGGAAAGTGCAGGGATGATGGGCGTGGGGAGAAGGGGGGAGTCGTGGGGGGGAGATGAGGGAAACAGGCGAGGTGTGGGTGTGAGGGACCTTCGACAAGGAGGTAGTATGCAGGGTGGGGAGGGGGAGGGGGATCAGTGGGGAGGAGATGAGGGAATCAGGCGAGGTGTGGGTGTGAGGGACCTTCAACAAGGAGGTAGCGTGCGACGGGGAGAGGAGGTGAGGAGGAAAGTGCGCCTGCTTCGAACGACTTCTGAGCAGCCGTGGATGGTGCGAGGGGAGGAGGGCGAAAGGCAGGCGGTGGGGGGCGATGTAGTGCTGGGAGACGTGGATAAGGCGGGTAGGTCTTGGATGTCGAACGGAGTGGTGGATGGTGGAGTGGGAAGCGGTGAGGAGGGGTCGAGAGGTGAGGGAGAGAGCCATGGTGATCGGGGAGATGGGGAAGATGGGTGGGATCAGGGGGATAGGGATGAGGGCTACAGGCGTGGAACAGATGGGATGGATGGGGCTGGCATCGTGCGAGGCGTGCGGGAGCAAGGCAGCGGAAGAAGAGGCAGATGGGGTAGTGAGAAGAGCAGCAGATCGAACAGCGGAAGGAGCAGTAGAAGGCACTTGCCATCCGCGAGAATGCTTGGGAAGGGGCTGTGGAGGGCCCTGGGGCTGACTCAGCAGGGTGAGGATGGTGCTGAGAAGGAAGGGCAAGGTGAGGCAGGGGGGAGGATGAGGAGAATAGCCTCTGTATCAACACCTGCACATCACATCACCATCGAAACCCGGGGCAGGATGCAGCAGGTGGCAGCAGCAGAGGCGCGGAATCTCACTCTGGATGTTTTTCTGAGTGATGATACCGGCACCCTTCTGAATGATGATACCGGTGCCCTTCTGAATGATGATACCGGTGCCCTTCTGAATGATGATACCGGTGCCCTTCTGAATGATGATACCGGTGCCCTTCTGAATGATGATACCGGTGCCCTTCTGAATGATGATACCGGTGCCCTTCTGAATGACAGCGCTGAGGGCTGGCAGCAGCAGGTGCTGGTGGGCGTGGCGCCTGTGCTGCTCTCCTGCCACTCCGGTGCGCCTGAGGTGGTGAGGCAGGTGCTGCGGAAGGTGAAGAGCGGTGGCAGGGACAGGAGGAGCAGTGGTGGAAGAAATGGGAAGATCCAGGGACGTGGTTTATTGTTGTTAGCACTGCCTGTGCTGGGAGGTCCAGTGGACGCAATACAGGTGGATAATTTCTCAGCTCGGGTAACTCAATCGATCCATCCCTTGCCTTTGCCTGCCTCAGAAGCACATCCACTTTTCAACGGAGCCTCTTTGATTCAGGCTTCCTCTCCTGGTCATGGTAACGAGGGGAGTGACGCAGCGGTTTCCCTGTGGAAAGTCCCTGCGCTTGCTAGTCTCGATGATTCACAGGAGGAGGGAGGGGAGGAGGGAGTGGAGGAGGAGGCACGTCAGCAGCAGCAGGAACAGAAGCGTCTTCAGCACATGCCAAGCTTTCTAGGGCCTCGGGAGAGAGGCAGCAGCAGGAGCAGGGGCAGCAGGGGCAACAGCCACAGCAGCAGCAGCGGTGGCGGCGGAGGCAGCAGTAACACTGGGTCACCAGCTGTCGCTGCTTGCTCTGAGGTGTGGCAGCTGTCGGCTGCTGTGGGCACCATCAGGGGTGAGAGCAGTGCCAGGCTCGGGGGGCTCAGCAGGTTCGGTAGGGTTGAGAGGCTCGGCAAGCTGGGCAGATTGGGCAGGCTTGGAAGGGATCGCAAGCACCCAGGCAGTGTGCAGAAACAACACTCAGAAGCCGCTGACGTGTCAGTCGTGTATCAATTGCCCTTGGCACCGAATGGCGCACCGTCTACTGTAGCATCCTCAGGGGACTCCATTAGTCTGTCCTGGCAGGGAGGGCTCATCGCCCTGGACCCCGCTTCTCTCTCCCGCCTCTCCCTCTCCCTCTCAGCTCTCTCCCCCCTCCTCACGTTCAGTGCTTTGGGACAGGGGGGGGGGAGGACGAGGGAGGGTAGAGCTGACAGGGCAGCTGCTGAAAGGCTTGATCGAGAGGGCCTGTCTGCAAGTGCTGCTGTAGCGGCAGGGGCTGGAGCTCCCTCCTACATGGCAGCTCTCCGGCTGCTGTGTGCGCATGCACGGGTGGATGTGGCTGGGATTCGGCTGCTGCTGCTGCACCCAAAACCAGAGAAGGGTGGCTTCCTCGTGCACCTGAGTGCAGACCTCTCTTCCAAGGTCGCACCATGTGGAGTGGATGCACTGGAAGCAGACGAAGCAGAGGAAGCAGAGGAGATTCATGAATCTCGTGAATTCAACAGTTTTGAGATTCACGAGAGGAGAAGCACCAGCGATGGCTTCAGTGGTGGCAGTGGCAGCAACAGCCGCTGCCTGAGCCAGAGCCAGAGACAGAGCAGCAGCCATTGTCACCAGAATGACAGCAGCGTACATGCAGTGAATATAGACCTGAAGCGCCTAGCAGTGCGGAGTGTTCGGTGTGGCCAGTTTCAGCTTAGTCATTCCGTCCTTGCACCCGATACTGCTGCCGAAGCTTCTGCTGCTGCTGCTGCTGCCGAAGCTTCTGGTGCTGCTGCTGCCGAAGCTTCTGCTGCTGCTGCTGCTGAAGCTCCTGCTGCTGCTGCTCGTGCTGCTGCTGCTGAGGCGGAGGAGTGGGAAGAGGATGAGGGGGTTGTTGTTGCTGCTGCTGCTGGTGAGCGGAATGGCAAGGCTGATGGGAGGAAGGAGGGTGCACGAATGGAGGAGGATCTGCTTAGAAGAGGGAACCCTCATCCAGGCAAATTCCGTCTGGATGAGGGCGATGTCGGTGGTGATACTAGCGGTGGTGATACTAGCGATGGTGATGGTGATGGTGCCGGTGATGGCGCTGATGTTGGTGATGCGGACAGCAGCATTCTGCCTGGCCTCTCTGCTCGCCTGGAGCTGCGGCAGCGGCTCACCAGTGGTTCATCTTGTGCACCTGATTGCAGCCGCAGCCTGCAATCGAGATTGGGAAGGGAAGTGATTCATCCAGGGGTTCATCAGGCTACAGCAGCAGCTGCTGCAGCACGAACAGCTGCTCTTGGTCCAGCCGGCAAGTGGTGGGATGCGGTGGAGGGGTGTTTGGATGTGAGGGGAGCTGATGTGGCAGTCACTGTGGCAGAGATTCAGGTGAGAGGGAGTGGCTTAAATGCACAGAAGGCTAGCTGCCAGAGCATTAAGGAAGAGCACACAAGGTTGGCGGCCAGTGTAGAAATGGTGCCCGAAAGTGTCTAATGCACCCACCCGCTTTCCCTTGTGCTCCCCCCCTCTTGATCTGGTCCCTTCCTCCATCCTTCCACCAGATGCTGCTGTCGCTCCTCTCCTCCATCTCGCCATCAGCACCCGCAGCACCGGCGGCAACAGAAGTTGCTATGCCACAACCTTCCTCAGGCGCCTAAACAAGTCATCTCTTGTTCCATGCCCCTGTTTCAACAGATGCTGCTGTCGCTCCTCTCCTCCATCTCGCCATCACCAACAGCACCACAGCCCACAGCAGAATCTGCTGCATCACTGCACCCTTTCCAGCCAGCTCCCAATGCTGCTCCTGCTGCTGGGAGAGCAGGTGATGCTGGCAGGAGCACTGGTGCTGCGGCTGCTGGCGCTGGCTCACTGGTGGACATTCAGGAAGGTAGGCTGATCCTTTTTGTGCGAACAAGGTGAGATTCCTGCTGTTGAAAGGGGTGGTTATTCCTTTGTCGTTGCTCCTCATACATGCCCTTTTGGTCTTACATGCCCAACATGCTTCGCTTTTCCTCACACACACGTACCCCAAAGCAGGCTCACTGGTGGCCTTGGGAGACCTGGTGGAGACGCGCCAGTACCTCACCACCAGTAACTAGCTGCCCAATATTTATTCACCCAACCTTCCACGGAGCTTCTGCCTGGACTCACCCTCTCCCTCCCACCATGTCTGCCCTGCCCATCCCTCACACACCACCTCAAGCAGGCTCGCTAGTGGCTATTCGAGATCTCGACACGCGACAATACCTCACTGTCGAAGATTCGCCCACCCTTCCAGGAAGCTTCCGCCTGACTTCTCTGGCACATTACAGTCTGGCGCAGAGCGACCGGGCGGTGTTCCTTGTCCACTTCCCAGAGAGCCGCGGGTGGAGGGAGAAGCTCCTGATCTCAGCTTTCCCATTCCTGCCACACGGCCGGCAGCCACAGCAGAGTGGAAGAAATGCCGGGCAACAGCAAGAGGTGGAAAGACAGCAGCAGGAGGACCGGGGTTCGGATGAGGCCCCTTTCTGGAGTTTTGGGCGGGATGGAAAGATGGCGGTTTCCCGCTGGTTCTGCGTTCAATCGCCTTACACGGCTTCGAATACAGAGATAAAGGCAGGGGATAGCACATGCACAGGCACAGGCACAGAAGCAGGCAGAAACACAGGTACTAGCACAAGCACAGATGCTCCAAGCACGCAAACAGCCACGCAACATAACGAGCAGGTGCCAGTTGGCCGTCCACTCTGCATGCACTACCAGCCAAACTCGCCCGGTGGCCGGGTCGCGATACAAAATAGCAACGAGGGGTCGTGGGAGCAGTGGCGACTGCTGGCAGAGGCAATCAGTGGTGTGGAGGGGGAAGAGGGGGAAGAGGAGGGGGAGGAGGAGGGGGAGGAGGAGGATGGAGATGAGGAGGAGGAAGAGGGGGATGGGAGGGAGGAAGTGGCAGGGGCAGTCGGAGGGATGACTGGTGCTGGTGGTGAGGGAGGGGGAGGGGTGAGAGAGGAGCGTGGGAGGAGGGGTGGAGGGCGCGGGAGGGGTGGAGTGGATAAGCGGAGGTGGGTGATTCGCATGCAGAACAGGAAGACAGGGTCGGAGTTCGCGTTTGTGAGAGGGCTGCCCGTGCTGGTCCCTGGAGGGCTGGGGCACGCCGTGCATATGAGGGTGCTTGTAACGAGGGGAGAGCTCCAGATGAAGGGGCGAGAAGAATCGGGGAGAAGGAGGCGAGAAGGTGAAGAAGCAGGTGGGGAAGTAGAGCAGGACGAGCAGCAGCGGGTGGGGGAGGAGGAGGAGGAGGAGGAGCAGCAGCAGCAGCAGCAGCAGCAGCAGCAGCAGCAGCAGCAGCAGCAGCAGCAGCAGCAGCAGCAGCAGGAGCAGGAGCAGGAGCAGCAGCAGCGGCAGCGGCAGCGGCAGCGGCAGCAGCAGCAGGAGCAGGAGCAGGTGCAGCAGCAGCAGCAGCAGGAGCAGGAGCAGCAGCAGCAGCAGGAGCAGCAGGAGCAGGAGCAGCAGCAGCAGCAGCAGCAGCAGGAGCAGCAGGAGCAGGAGCAGCAGCAGCAGCAGGAGCAGCAGGAGCAGCAGGAGCAGGAGCAGCAGCGGCAGCAGCTGGCAGTGCTACCGTTGGGCCTGGAGAAGCATGTGGCGTTCATCCCCTCTCTGCGCATCTCCATCCGCAACGCCTTCTTCACCATTCTCTTCGAGGAAGAAAGCAGCAGCATGCGAAGCACCAATCCCAGCAGCAGCACGAGAAGCGCCAATCTCAGCAGCAGCACTGCAGCCAGCAGCAGCAGAACTGCACCCAGCAGCAGCACTGCACCCAGCAGCAGCAGCACTGCACCCAGCAGTACAGGACCAGGAAGCAGGAGGCGACGAGTGGCGGTTGGGAACCTGTCAGAGCAGCAGGAAACTAGCAGAGCTAAGGGGATACCACACGACGCCAGGGGAATAAAGGCCTTGTGGGACGGGGCTCAGCACAACCCACCTGTACTGCCGCTGATTCGGGTGCACGTGGGGGAGGTGGCGTCTGTGGCTCAGCTTGGCTCGCACAAGACTCGCCTGTTTGGGTCCTGCCGCATCCAATTGGCCACTTATGATGGAGAGAGGAGCCGATGGTAAGGAGGATGGGATGGAAAAGGAGAATTAACGGCCCCTTTTTTTCCCTTCTAAGAAAAGAAACATGTTGTTGATAGATAGATACCAGATCCTTCTTCCGCAGTCAGCAGTTTAACCCTTCTTCCCCATTATCCACCTCCCCGCTCACCATGCACACCACTCAGGGCCAGCCTCCTCACTACAAGCCCAATGGATATCTTCTGGCGCTCCCGTACACTCTGTACCCCTTATAAGCCTCGCACCCTGGCGCTGATACGAGCGCAGCAGGTGAAGTTAGTGGTGGAGGAGGAGTCTCTGGACGCGCTGCTACTGCTGCTGGGGCTGCTGGGCCTCGCGGGGCCCTACACCGTCCGCCACTCTCCTATTCTCGCCAACCGATGCATGGCAAGTCTTGGAGGTTAGGCCAGAAAGGTACTTTTTTTACTGGGACTGGATAAAATAGCCACCTTTCCCGCGTCATCGTCCTCGCTTGCCATCTCCCCGCCTCCTCCTCCCCCTCTCACCTCCCACGTGCTCTTCCAGGGGACCACGTGATATAAGGTTGGTTTTGAGATGTCTCAAAACCAACCTCTTCCAGGGGACCAACAACGCTACCCCGGGCCTGGTCTGCCCGTTGTTCAAGTTTTGCGGCGCTTCAAACTTCTCCCTTCCCCTCCCCTCTCCCTCCTCCCCTCTCCCCTCCCACGTGCTCGTCCAGGTGACCAACAATACAACTCTGCGCCTGGGCTGCTCTTTCTTCAAGGAGGGCTCTGCTCCTGATGCCAGCACAGCTGGCCCATTTGGGAGCAGCACAGCTGGCAGCAGCAGCACAGCTGGCAGCAGCAGAAGCACAGCTGGCGCGAGTCTAGGTGGTGCGATGAAGCAGGGTGTGCAAGGGCGTGCAGCAACAGGAGGAGGGGCGCCTTCTAGGGGATTCGAAGCGGTGGTTGGAAGCAGAAGCACAGCCACATTCCTTGTGCGGTGAGTTGAGCTGATATGGGGCTTAGGTCAACCGCAGAGATGGGATGGGAGATGCCTAGTTCTGGCTTGCTTGATCAAACCGAGCTCCCTTCTTTCTCTGTGTCTCTTGCTCACTCCGTTTGAAACCTTTTTGGAGGAGGCTGAGAGGATTTAGTTTCAAGAATACTTACACAGGAATCCTTATACCTGTAGAAGGAGATTTTAGTTTCCACAAAACTGTCATTACTCCATCCCCGTCCCGTTTTTGTCCCCTCCCCTTCCCCCTCCCCCTCCACCTCCCCTCCCCCCCCCTCTGTGGCATTCCTCCTGCAGTCACTTTTTATCTCGTCGAAACCTTGCCAATTCTCGTGAGTCATCTCTCGCGTTCCTGCGCCTCCTGCCACCGCCACAGCCAAAGGCACAGCAGCAGCAGAAAGGGCAGAAGGAGAAGATACAGCAGCAGAAGAGGCAGCAAGAGAAGGGGCAGCAGGAGAGGGGACAGCAGCAAGCGGCAGCAGCAGAGCAGGAATGGGTGCTGCCTCTTTCCATCTCCATTGCTAGGGAGGGCTCTCTGGCTGTTCGCACGCGCTTGCTTCCAGGTGAGTACGCCTCTCAGAATTCCTATGATCGGCTTTGGGGCGTCTCAAAAAGTGCAGCAGAGCAGGGATGGGTGCTGCCTCTCTCTCCATCTCCATCGCTAGGGAGGGTTCTCCGGCTGTTCGCACGCGCTTGCTCCCAGGTGCGTAAGTTTTTTAGGATTCCCGTAGTCAAACTTGGATGGTTCTCAGCCCCATCCTTTGTTCTTGTTATTCCTTTTAACCCACCAGGACATTCTCTACTCTTCTTTTACCAGAAGAACTCTTCACCCGTCCTCTCCTCCTCTTCTTGTGCAGGGCCCAGCCAAGCCGCCGCTTCTCTCCCAGGCCCGATGGTTGTGCTTCATGTGTCCAAGCGCACACCAGAGGGCGTGCGTCTGTCCGTCTCTCCATTCCTCTCCGTCCGCAACCACACCGGCTGCCCCTTGCAAGTCTGCCTGCGCCGACGACCTGCTCCTGCCACTGCAGCAGCAGCAGCAGCTGCAGCAGCTGCTGGAAAGGCGGAGCAGCAGGGAGGGGTGGAGGTGGAGGAGGATTTGCAGCCTGGGCAGTCTCTGGACGATGCCTCGCTGTGCTTCCGATTCGCTGCCTCGGCGGGCGAGCAGCGGCGCCTTGTGAACGACCTTGCAGCAGGTATGAAAGGGTCTATTGGCATGTAGAATGTGTCAGCGTGTTTGCTATGCATGTAGCATGGGCAGCTTTTGAGTCGAATCAAAAGCAGGTATGAAAGGGTCTATTGGCATGTAGAATGTGTCAGCGTGTTTGCTATGCATGTAGCATGGGCAGCTTTTGAGTCGACTGAAAAGCAGGTATGAAAGGGTCTATTGGCATGTAGAATGTGTCAGCGTGTTTGCTATGCATGTAGCATGGGCAGCTTTTGTGTCGACTCAAAAGCAGGTATGAAAGGGTCTATTGGCATGTAGAATGGGTCAGCGTGTTTGCTATGCATGCAGCATTGGCAGTCTCTGGACCTTGCAGCAGGTATGAAAGGGTCTATTGGCATGTAGAATGGGTCAGCGTGTTTGCTATGCATGCAGCATGGGCAGTCTCTGGACCTTGCAGCAGGTATGAAAGGGTCTATTGGCATGTAGAATGGGTCAGCGTGTTTGCTATGCATGCAGCATGGGCAGTCTCTGGACCTTGTAGCAGGTATGAAAGGGTCTATTGGCATGTAGAATGGGTCAGCGTGTTTGCTATGCATGTAGCATGGGCAGTCTCTGGACCTTGCAGCAGGTACGGCCCGGTCTGTCGGCACGTAGGTAGGGCGTGTCAGCATGCAGCGGTGCCTGGTGAACGACCTTGCAGCAGGTACGGCCCGGTCTGTCGGCACGTAGGTAGGGCGTGTCAGCATGCAGCGGCGCCTGGTGAACGACCTTGCAGCAGGTACGGCACGGTATGTCGGCACGTAGGTAGGGCGTGTCAGCATGCAGCGGCGCCTGGTGAACGACCTTGCAGCAGGTATGGGGTGACACTGCATGGGCCAATTGTAGCGTGGCAGCAGGTAGCGTGGTAGCAGATTGCGTGGCAGCAGGTAGCGTGGCAGCAGGGATATGTATTGCAGAAGTCACTTTTAGGGTTATGTTGAACTGGTTACAATGGTTTCGTTCACCCCCTATGCATCTCTTTCTGCCTCTCCGTCCCATTGACTGCAGGCAAATATCTGCTGTCTTTCCGGCCGCCTGCTGCCACCACAGTGCCGTCTATCCATGTATCTCTTTTTGAGGCGCCTCAAAAATCGCCTATCCATGGATCTCCTGCCAGGAGCACTGGCGGTAGCAGTGACAGCGTTGGCACCAGGGTTCCCACTCGCTCACAGCAACAGCAGGAAACACAACAGATGCCACAGTCACAGCAACAGCGGCAGCAGCAGCTGTGCTTTGATTGGTCCGAGGAGATCTCGGGATCTCAGGCGGTAATGGACAAGAGCTGGCTGGACGGCATACAGCGCCAGATGAAGACAAGAATGGGCCGCATGCTACAGCTCAGCCAAATGCTGCATCTGGGCAGCACGCTCAATTCGTCCTTTTCCTCCCTCACTTGCCGCCCAAAAAGCCCCTCTGCTCCCACCGCTACCTCCAGCAACAATGCCAGTCCTGGAGGGTCTGGAGCTCCCGAGCCTGAAGGGGAGGCTCGGGAAAGGTTTCTTGTAGCTGGGGCGGGAGGTTCTTCAGGTTTTGTTGCCGAAGCGAAGAATCGGCATTTTCTAGTGAAGGTGGGAACCGAGGAGGTGCACCTGGGGGCGATGAGAGATGGGCAAGTGGTAAATGACATGAGAGGTGGAGGGAGGAGGGAGGTGGGGGGAAGTGAGAGAGAGGGCGAGGGGAGGGGAGTGGCGTGGGTGCGGCCGATGGAGGTGGTGGTGCTGCCCACAGCTCGAGTGCGCTGCTGGCTGCCGTTTGATATAGTCATCTGTCTTTCACCGACTAAGAAGGACGCCGCTGCTGCTGCTGCTGCTACTGCTGCTGCTGCTGCTGCTACTGCTGCTGCTGCTGCTGCTGCTACTGCTGCTGCTGCTGCTGCTGCTACTGCTGCTGCTGCTGCTGCTGCTACTGCTGCTGCTGTAGAGACCAGTGATGGTGCTTTGACTGGTGCTGCGGCCGATTCATATTTTCTTCACATCCCCGCTTCCTCCTCTGGCTGGGTCTCTCTCTTTGCCGACCCTACCTGGTGCTACCTCACCCTCCTCACCCCGGTTCCGTGTCCTGGAACAGGGCAAAGGGGATCTGCTCTCAAAAGGGGGTCTGTACACGAAAGGGGGGCTGCACGTCCGAGTGCTGTGTTCTGCAGCCCCCCTGTGCACGTGCCGTGTGCTGGCAACCTGCTGGCTCTGCTGGCCCGTGACGTGCTGCCACATGTCAAGGGCACCGTGGCTCTCGCACAGCTGGGGCTGCCGTCTGTTGGTGGGAGTGAGGTTCAGGTGAAGCTGCACCAGGTGGATTCTCCTCAGGTGGATTCTCAGGAGGGGCATCAGCAGCTGGTGGGCGGGAATCAGGTGAATCTTCAGGAGGAGCCGCAGCAGCAGCAGCAGCAGCATGGGGCAAATACGAGGGGCGGTGAGACAGGAAGCAGTGGAGGGGGGAGCAATGTGGTAGGGGGCAATGGAGTGGGGCCCAGTGGAGCGAGGGGTGGTGATTCTTCAGCTGAAATTGCGGTGCAGATGCGGACTCGATACAGCGACAAGGATGCCGTGCCTGAGGTAAGGATACTAATGAGTTCTGCACTCCTTGAAGTGAAGGTCGTATTCTATCCTTTTATCTGCTCTCGCGTGTCTGTCTTTTAGGGGCTTCAGTCCTCTTTCTTCCTACTTCCTTTGCCGGTTGTCCACGTCTCTCCCAGTTTGAGATCTTCCCCGCATGGACCATCCGCAACACCACAGACATGCCCCTGAGCTCCTTGGCTGCAAGCCCAGCGTCACAATCACGAACAAGTCCTCCCCCCTTTCTTTCCCCCATCTCCCCGGTCCCACCCAGTTTGAGATCTTCCCCGCATGGACCATCCGCAACGCCACCGACATGCCATTGATTTGCTCCCTGGCCGCAAGCCCATCAATGCAATCCATGCTGCATGATGGCAAGGGGAAGAAAGGGAGCAGAGCTCAGCTGCAGCAGTTTTACTCCTATTCACCGCATTCCACCGTGTCATTACTGCTGCCGCCCAACGCTGCCCAGCCATGGCTTGCTGCGTGAGTGCACATTTGCTCCTTTGGTCTGGTATGTATTCCATTGTTGAGAAACCCTTCTCCTCGGTCTCAGCCTTCTTGAGTTGCTGCTGGAAAAGGAACACGACCTCTGTCTGACCTCCTTGTTTTTCTTGCAGAGGCACGTCTGTCCGCATCTGCATTGCACAGGAGGCAGCTGCAGGGGGAGAAGAGAGAGGGAGCGCCCAGGAGAGGGGTAGAAGCATGGAAGGACGAGGGGCCACCATTGACCTCGCTTCTATCTGCCGAACGACTGAGATTCAGCTGGTGCAGAGTGTACCCGTTACAAGAGACCGGGAGAGGTCTAGTGAGACGTGTATAACGAGTACACGGAGAAGGGCGAAGCTGGGGAGGGGGCGACGGGGCCGATTAGAGACAGTGATAGAAGGTGGAGAGGAAGGGGAGCCGGAGGGGGGAGAGGCTGCAGGAAACACAGAGAGGGGAGCGATAGGAAGGAACAGTGAGAGCAGAAACCAAAGGGATCCCCGGAGCATCTCCTCCCAGCACGCCACTGCTGCTGCTGTGGCGGCCTGTGATTGGTCGCTGCGCTGCTTCCAATTCGCTGTCCGCCTGCGGCTGTCAACAAGTGGCAGCCCCTCCCGAGTGGCAGAGATTTGTCCGAGATACGTCGTGCGCAACTGCTTCCCCGTGCCCCTTCTAGTTTGCCAGGAGGGATTGGAGGTAGGACAGCCCGTTTTCCTGGGTCGCTTCTGGAGTAACATGAGTGTGCAGATGTGCGTTCTGTTTTTTTTTTTTTTTTTTTTTTTTTTTTTTCCGGCCGAGAAAAAACATTCCGCGTGCCTTTCTATTGTGTCTTTTCCCTGTCCCACTGCAGTTCTTTCCCGAGCTCTGGACCACCATAGAACCAGGGGCATCTGCAGCCATCCACGCCCAATCCCCATCGCACATCTGGTTCTCCCGCTCCTCCCTCGCTCTCTCCTCCTCCTCCACTCCTCCTACCTCCTCCGAACCTGTGCTGGAAGATGGCGGCATCATTCGTCCTTTCCTACGCTTTCGCCCGCTGGATTCTTCCCAGCCGTTCTCACCTCCGTCTCCTAAAGCCCAATCCGAGGATGCCACGTGGCACTGGTCCGGGCCGTTTGGGGCGGCATCTCTCGGCTCGTTCTGCCTCAAGATTCGCTCTCACACCAACAGCAGCAACAATGGCAGTACTGGCAACCCACTAGGAACCATCCAGGAAGCACCACCATCCCCATCCCCATCATCACCATCATCGACAGCTACAGCAGATCTGCAGCGCCAGCTGTCAATGTCGGTTGTAGCAGCCAGTGGGGTGCGCGTGCTACAGCCGGTGCTCTTTGCTGTTGCTGACGTGGCAGAGGGAGGAGGCGGAGGGGGGGGCATAGGGGAGCAAGCAGAAGGGGCGTCCGTAGCAAGCGTCGCAGAGCAAGCAGCAGGGTCGGGGGTGGGGTCTAGCAACGCAGCAGGTGCTGATGATGGGGAAAAAGGCTTTGCACCAGTATCACCATCAGCATCATCAGCATCACCAGCTGCAGCAGCAGCGTCAGTGGTGGGCGGCACGTGGGTGGCGGAGATTCGTCCAGTGGAGGGCATGCAGGAAGCACCCTACCGCATCGAGAATGCGCTCGAGGGAATGGCAGTCTCTGTGGCACAGAAGGTGAGTGAGAGTATATACTATAGCTTCTGTGGCTGGTCTATAGCAATGGAAGGTGATCAGGACAGCACACTCTATTACCACTACACTACACCGATGATCACGACTTTGCAGGGTGCTTTTGAGAATTCGCAAAAGCTCTTTGTGGCACAGAAGGTGAGAGTATATGGCTGGGCTATAGCAATTAAAGTTTAATCAGGACTGTGCATTCCATTTCGACTGCACAGATGATCACAACTGCATAATTAGCACGGCGATTCATGACTGTCTGTGGCTGTAACCGCATGTTGCATGTGTGCAGGGGTCTGAGGAGTGGGAGGTGGTGGAGCCAGGCGAGTCTGTTCCTTTCACCTGGGAGGACTGGCGCTTACCCAAGAGACTGCTGCTCACTGCACCAGGTAGGCGATTTTTTAGTCGACTAAAAAATCACCTGCTGCTCTCTGCGCCAGGTAGGCTAATTGACTTCACCAGGCGAGTCTGTTCCTTTCACCTGGGAGGACTGGTGCAAGCTACCTGTCCTGCTATGCTGCATCTCCCAGCTGAATGTCAGTCCAGAAGACAAGGTCAAGCCGTGGCGGCGCCTACGACTGTCCCACCCTGCCTTCCCCCCCCTGCTGCTGTGTATCCCTCTGCCTGCCACAACACCCTCCCATTCTGCAGGCTGCATACCTCAGCAGGAGGTCAGCCCAGACAAGGTCAAGCTGTGGCGGCGCCTGCGCCTCTCTCACTCCGCTTTCCCCTCCCTGCTGCCGTTTCACCTGCCTTTCCACCTGAAACAATGGAAGGGGGGAGACGAAGGGGCAGAGGAAGATGATTTTGATGATGATGCTTACAAGTATGAGGAGGAAGAGGAGGGCGAGGAGGGGGGGCAAGAGGAGGGAGCAGAGCAGGCAAAGGGTGTTGGGGGGAAGGTTGTAACTGAGGAAGGCAGAGCCGCCAGTGGAAGCAGTGGGGGCAGGGATAGCAGCCAGGGAAGTGCCAAGGGGTCAAGTGCGGTGGATAGGGGTAGGGGTGGCTCCGGTGCAGCAGGTGCGGTGCCGGCTGGTGGTATCTCCAGTGCGCGGCAGCAGGTGGTAGGCGTGGAGGTGTATGCAGATGGGCCGATCCGAGTGGTGCGAGTGTGTGAGAGGGAGAGAGCCAAGGACAGGGAAGGCACTGGGAGAAAGGGCGGTGGTGCTGGCACTGGTACCAGCGGTGGTATGAGTGGTGCCAGTGCACATGGAACTGGGAGTGTGGCTTTGACTGGGGGTGGGGGGGAAGGGGTCGGCCCCGGGGCGGTGGATTCAAGGGAGATGGATGCGATGGTTGAGGTGGAAGGGATCGACATCAAGCTGCTGCAGGTGAGTGAGGTGCACCATGTGCTGATGTGGTGTTTGAAGTTGTGGTTATGCATGCCTTGCCAGTTGAAGGCTGAGTGCATGAGAGCAAGGGAGGTGGATGCGATGGTTGAGGTGGACAGCATCGACATCAAGCTGCTGCAGGTGAGAGCAACACGGAATGGACTTGTGGTGTTGTGGAGTTCTTGTCATGTCATGTCATGTCATGTCATGCAATGTCATGTCATGTCATGTCATGTCTTGTCATGTCATGCAATGTCCTGTCGCATGCAACTGCAGCCATACAAATGCAACCCTCTCGTCCCTCTCGTCCCTCCCGGCCTCATATTTTTCACCATATATAGCCGCTCTTTATTTCGTGAATGTGGTTTTCACCCTGCCGTGTCTGTTCCTGCCACCAGTCTGCCAGCTCCTCCGACCTGACTGCGAAGCAGCAGGAGGAGTCGCCACAGGGGAAGGCTAGGGAGAGGAGAGAGGGGAAGGAGCCAGAAGGAGAGGAAGGGAGGCCGGAAGAGGAAGAAGAGGAGGAGGAGTGGGAGGAGGAGATGGCACGGCGGATGTTGCTGCATGGGCGGGCGGAGGGCCTGTGGGCCGCCTTGTCTGTTTCTCAGCGGGACTTGGCACTGGAGGCTGTGCTATGTGTGAGTTGATTAGACACGCCTCAAAAGCATTCCTCTGCAGGCGCTGCCTTTGCTGTATAGACGCACAGAAGGCCCGGGCCTCCTTTTCCGTGTCCCGGCGGGACTTGGCACTGGAGGCTGTGCTATGTGTGAGTTTATGCTCCTTAAAACGCGTCCTATGCATATTTCATATCACGTCTGCCCATGTTCTAAGGTAGATGCACGCCCATCTTTTTAAAAGCTTCACAGCTTGTGCATCTGTTTCCCACGCAATCTCACATCCATTCACCATCCTCCCAACCACCCCGCGCCTCCCCCCTCCCCTCTTTTACCCCACACAGAATGCAGGTATCGACTCTTGCCCGCCCCCTCTCAAGCCCCCACCGCTACCCCTCACTCTCAACCAGCCCTCCAGCACACAACCCTCCCTCCTGTCCTCTGCCGTTGTCCTTCGCTCCCTCAACCCGTCTCCCACCTCGACTGATGCCGCTGCTGCCAGTGGCACCATCATAGGACGGGCATTGAGGGATCGGTGGGTGGGGAGAGGGGGAGTGGGAGGGGCAGGCGGAGTGGGAGGAGGAGGTGGGGGAAGGGGGATAGGAGGTGGAGGGGGAAGGGGAGGAGGAGGAGGAGGTGGAGGAGGAGGAGGAGGAGGAGGAGGAGGAGGAAGGGGGGGGGCTCCGGTGTTGTCGATGTTGGTGGTGGTGAATCGGCTTGCTTCCCGCCCGCAGCACATTCGCTCTGCGTCATTCCTGCTGCAGGTCGGCTTAGGCTGCTCTGCATATGGTGACCTTGTGTAGGAACCTCGAAACGTTGCCCCTCCTTAGATGCTCTCTCCCCTCCCCACACCCCCCCCCTCCCCTCCCCACTCTTTCCTTCGGACCTCTCCACACACACCCTACGACTTCCCCCCTGCGACCGCCCGTCCATCCCCCCGTCCATGCCAAAGCCCCCTCCATGCGACCATAATCAATCTCCAATCCATGCATGCGACCCATCCCATCCCATCCCATCCCATCCCCTCCCTTCAGCCTGTGGAATTGAGCATCGATGAGAGCACTCTCCTCCGCCTCGTGCCCTTCTACCGGACCAAGGATCCCAGCGTGCCGGTGCGCGACTGGAGCACCACTCCCATCTACATTGAGTACCTCGAGATTCACCCCATCAAGGTAAGCTCGGAGGTATTCCAACAATGTGGGCGCATGCTTGGTAAATATTTCAGTGCCCCTGTGCGCAACTGGAGCACCGCCCCTATCTACATCGAATACCCCGAGATTCACCCCATCAAGGTAAGCTCGGAGTTGGATTGGAGGGACCCAAAAAATACTGTGTATCTCCTGGTACGGATGCTTGGATGTGCCTTTTGAGTCGACTCAAAAGTCATCTCCTGGTACGGATGCTTGGATGTGCCTTTTGAGTCGACTCAAAAGTCATCTCCTGGTACGGATGCTTGGATGTGCCTTTTGAGTCGACTCAAAAGTCATCTCCTGGTACGGATGCTTGGATGTGCCTTTTGAGTCGACTCAAAAGTCATCTCCTGGTACGGATGCTTGGATGTGCCTTTTGAGTCGACTCAAAAGTCATCTCCTGGTACGGATGCTTGGATGTGCCTTTTGAGTCGACTCAAAAGTCATCTCCTGGTACGGATGCTTGGATGTGCCTTTTGAGTCGACTCAAAAGTCATCTCCTGGTACGGATGCTTGGATGTGCCTTTTGAGTCGACTCAAAAGTCATCTCCTGGTACGGATGCTTGGATGTGCCTTTTGAGTCGACTCAAAAGTCATCTCCTGGTACGGATGCTTGGATGTGCCTTTTGAGTCGACTCAAAAGTCATCTCCTGGTACGGATGCTTGGATGTGCCTTTTGAGTCGACTCAAAAGTCATCTCCTGGTACGGATGCTTGGATGTGCCTTTTGAGTCGACTCAAAAGTCATCTCCTGGTACGGATGCTTGGATGTGCCTTTTGAGTCGACTCAAAAGTCATCTCCTGGTACGGATGCTTGGATGTGCCTTTTGAGTCGACTCAAAAGTCATCTCCTGGTACGGATGCTTGGATGTGCCTTTTGAGTCGACTCAAAAGTCATCTCCTGGTACGGATGCTTGGATGTGCCTTTTGAGTCGACTCAAAAGTCATCTCCTGGTACGGATGCTTGGATGTGCCTTTTGAGTCGACTCAAAAGTCATCTCCTGGTACGGATGCTTGGATGTGCCTTTTGAGTCGACTCAAAAGTCATCTCCTGGTACGGATGCTTGGATGTGCCTTTTGAGTCGACTCAAAAGTCATCTCCTGGTACGGATGCTTGGATGTGCCTTTTGAGTCGACTCAAAAGTCATCTCCTGGTACGGATGCTTGGATATGCCTTTTGAGTCGACTCAAAAGTCATCTCCTGGTACGGATGCTTGGATGTGCCTTTTGAGTCGACTCAAAAGTCATCTCCTGGTACGGATGCTTGGATGTGCCTTTTGAGTCGACTCAAAAGTCATCTCCTGGTACGGATGCTTGGATGTGCCTTTTGAGTCGACTCAAAAGTCATCTCCTGGTACGGATGCTTGGATGTGCCTTTTGAGTCGACTCAAAAGTCATCTCCTGGTACGGATGCTTGGATATGCCTTTTGAGTCGACTCAAAAGTCATCTCCTGGTACGGATGCTTGGATGTGCCTTTTGAGTCGACTCAAAAGTCATCTCCTGGTACGGATGCTTGGATGTGCCTTTTGAGTCGACTCAAAAGTCATCTCCTGGTACGGATGCTTGGATGTGCCTCAGAGTAAGACTGGGGCAGGGCACCACTCCCATCTACATTGAGTATCTCCTGGTACTGTGTATCTCCTTCACCCCATCAAGGTACGCTAGGAGTAGGAGGGAGGGAGGTACCCAAAGAATACTGCCGGTGATTTTTGAGTCGACTCAAAAATCACCAAAGAATACTGCCATATGCTTGGTACGGATGCTTGTTAGTGCCTTAAAGCACGACTGGAGCACCACACCACACGATCTACGTTGAATGCTTTGACATCCACCCGGTCAAGGTAGGCTTGGAGGTGCTTTAAGACATATTGTGATATGCTTGGTACGGATTGTGGTGTGTCTGTTCGAATCGAACATCCATATTTGTGTCCCAAACCCCATACTCCAAACCCCATACCCCATACCCCAAACCCCAAACCCCATACCCCATCCCTCTCCCTCACACCCCGTGCACCTCACCTCACAGGTGGTGGCGAGTTTCCTCCCGAGTGAACCAGGCGCCATCGACTACTCATCAGCACAGGAGGCCACGGAGGCCCTGTGAGGAATACATTACCTGGTCTCACGCTACCCCACGCTGTATGCCCCGTGCCCCAACCCCCACCTCTCAGGTGGTGGCGTGGCGAGTTTCCTGCCCAGTGCCCCAGGCGCCATCGACTACTCATCAGCACAGGAGGCGCTGAGGGGGATGCTCCACTCGGTGATCCAAGTGCTTTAGATACCCAATCTGCCATGGCTACTGCGCATTCCCCCCCCCAACAGGTGGTGGCGAGTTTCCTCCCCAGTGCACCAGGCGCCATCGACTACTCATCAGCACAGGAGGCGCTGAGGGGGATCATTCACTCGGTGATTCAAGTGCCAGCAGTGCAGCGCACGTCCATCCACCTGCACGGGCTGCTGCTGACGCATGCTCTCACATCCTCAAAACAGATGGTCGCTAAACTGACCAGACACTACTCGTGGTGAGCGTCTCAGTAACCCTCTATATCTTTCCTAGTCAGTAAACCATCACTCTCTCAAGTGCCAGCACTGCAGCGCACGTCCATCCACCTGCACGGGCTACTGCTCTGCTCACCCACGCCCTCACATCGTCCAAGCAGATGGTTGCCAAACTGACCAGACACTACTCGTGGTGAGTGTGGGTAACCCCATATATCTTCTCTAGTGAGTGTAGGTGGTTTTGCATCCGTTCTAGTAAGCCATCACTCTCGAATGCCAGCAGTGCAGCGCACGTCCATCCACCAGCACGGGCTACTGCTGACGCATGCGCTGACCTCGTCCAAGCAGATGGTGAGCAGATGGTGTGCTGCTCACGAGGCACTACTCGTGGTGAGCAGCAGTGTAGAGCGAAGCACGCATGTCGATCCATTTGCATTGTAACGATTTTGCAGGGTGTTTTTGAGAATTCTCAAAAACATTTGCATTGTAACAAGGTGACTATTGAGTCGACTGAAAAGTCAGCAGGCACCTCCATCCATCTTCATTCAGGTGCGCCCTTCGAGCAGTGTGCTACATTGCATTGCAGGTGGTCTGCCTTGGATAACGATTTTTTCACACCACACCGGTTGCAGGTGGTCTGCCTCTGCTCCCACACCATTTCGCTGCTCCCTTGGATGACGTTTCTCCGTTTCCTCCTCCCCTCTCTCCCTCCCTTCTCCCCCCCTTCCCCTCCCCCCCCTCTCCTCCCATGCAGGTACGCCCTACGAGCAGTGTACATAGCTCGTAGCCTGCCTCTGCTACCCCAGCCAATCACCGCTCTCAGTGATGACGCCCCTCCTCTCTCCCCCCCCTCCTCCCATGCAGGTACGCCCTGCGAGCAGTGTACATAGCTCGCGGGCTGCCCCTGCTCCCTCAGCCCTTCACTTCTCTCTTTGATAACGCCTCTCATTTTCCTCCTCCCCTCTCTCCCCCCTCTCCCCCCCTCTCCCCCCTCCCTCCCGCTCTCCCCCTCCCCCTTCCCATGTAGGTACGCCCTACGAGCAGTGTACATAGCTCGTGGTCTGCCCCTGCTCCCACAGCCCTTCACTGCTCTCTTTGACGACTCCGCCTCGTCAGCTCTGGACGCCTTCTTCGACCCCTCCCAGGGGCACAATGCACTCGCCACTGCCACCACCAGAGGTATGGCCATCTGGCCTGTGCTGTATATGGTACTTCCCTTTCACTATGTAGCCCATCGTGGGCCATCGCAGCCCTTTCACGGCTCTCTTTGACGACTCCGCGTCCTCAGCGCTTGAGGCGCTCTTCGCTAGCATCGCCATCGCCATCGCCATCACCATCACTATCGCTTGCCACAGTATGAGATGGATCACTAGCCGCGTCCTCAGCGCTTGATGCGCTCTTCGACCCCTCCTTGCACGACCACATCGCCCTCGCCACTGCCACCACCAGATGTAGGGTGGTGGTGCACAGAGAATACTGTCTTGGGGAGTGCATCTGAGGTACTGTCTTGGGGAATGCATCCTTGGGCGGTTTCCGAAACCACCACCACCAGCCTTGGGGGATGCACATGCAGCCCTTCACTGCCTTCCTTTAAAGGCAGGGCCGTCACTGATTCCACATCTTCAGCTTCCCTGGCTGGCCATCCATGCCACGTTCCACCACCCCTCCCTGGGCCGCATTGCCCTGGCCACTGGCCACTGCCACCACCACCACAAGTACAGGTCTTCAAAGTTGGCCATCGCCACTACCTCTTGATCACCATCACCATCGCCATCACCATAACTATCGCTTGCCATCTCATACGCCCGCTAATTCTTCTCCCTCCTTGCCGCTCCTGCTTCTTCACCCCCTTCCAACCATCCGTCCCCCTTACAGGAATATTCGATATTCTGCGCAAGATGGTGAGGAGGCGAGATGCCAGTGGAGGCAGCTCGTTTGGCATCTCACCCACGCTCTTCCTAGGGGATGTGGAGTCTACAGTGAGTGTGTAGTGTACATTGATTACTATGTTGTCAGGTCTATAGCGAGTATAGTACAGGCTGGATGGAGAGTTGTCAGCAGCTCGATTGGCATCTCACCCCCACTCTTCCTCAGAGACGTGGAGACGGTGGAGCCGACAGTGAGTGTAGTGTGGTGTTTGTGAGTGTATAGGGTAGGCGTAGTGGTTGGTTAAGGTGCTCTCCAAAATTTGAATTTTTTTTTGTTTCTGTTCCGCTTTCTCTGTCTCATCCTTGCCCTTTTCTTTGGGTGTTGTCAATGGTGGGGCCACTGTTTCCTCCCCATCTATCAGGTGCGCGAGGCAGGCACAGGAGTGGTGCATGCGGTCGTCTCAGAGCTGTCAGACTCCATGATGCGAGGGGTGGAGAGCGGTGGCCTGCCAGGGCTGGTGAGAGTGCGATGGGTTTATTGTTACTTTGTTTGACTTGAGAGCCGACTCAGAGGGTAATAAGACACAGGAGTGGTGCACGCGGTGGTGTCGGAGATATCAGACTCCATGATGCGAGGGGTGGAGAGCGGTGGCCTGCCATGGCGGGTAAGTTGTGACACACTCCAGGGTTGGCGAGTTGGGAGAAGGCATGGCAGCATGCCTTCACAACTGGTGAGCGGCGAATGACACGGTGTCATGCCCAATGTTTTTGACGCGCCCTCCTAAGTAGTCCCATCCGATCCCATCCCAAACCATCCCGTAATATATACCATCCCATCCCACCATCCCTCAGGCCAAGGGCTTTAATCGCGCCATACTGCGCAAGGCCATGCACCACACCACACACCATGCTCGCTCCACTCCTCCATGCCGTCACTCTTCTGAAAAGCGCTTTCAACCAACCTCGTTCTGGGCATCCCACCCCATCCAATCCCATCCCACCACCCACCGTCCGGCCAAGGCCTTCATCACGCCATCCTCATCCCTCTCCCCCATCCCTTAACCAACTGCATTCTTGTCCTTCCCATCCCGTGACATTCCTCCAGGCCAAGGGTTTCCATCGCGCCATACTGCGCATTGCCATGGAGCCAGACACCATGCTCGCACCCCTCCTCCACCCCTTCGCTCCCGGCTTCACCGCTGCACTCTCGTCGTCCTCGTCCTCGTCTCGCCGCCGCTTTCTCTCCACCACCCGCATTCGCCTGCGCACCAGCCTAGGGCTACATGAGGTATGACGGGATGGCATGGGGTAGATAGTTTGGCATTGGTGGCTTCACCGCTGCCCTCTCTTCTTCTTCCTCTGCACCAAGCATCAGCCTGCGCACCAGCCTGGGGCTGCCTGAGGTATGACGGGAAGGTTGACGGGAGGCATGGGGTACTGTGGCTGCCTGTTTCTACCTGTGCAAGACACGCTCTACCTGTTTCCACCTCTAACTGCTGCTTCTCCATCCTCTTCACATTTCTCCTCCCCCCTCCAGGCATACGTGGAGGGGTATCTGCAAGCCATGCTAGACACGCTGTACCGGCAGCCCTATGTGACGGTGAAGATCGCCAATGACACTGTAAGCTTGTACTCCATGCTATAAACCTCATGCTTTATTTTCCAACTTGCCATCTCTCTCATCTACATCCCCCTATCATCTACAATCACCTAACTTCCCACTCCTTCCCACCCCTATCCCTCTCATGCTTCATCCTTTCACTCACACCCATCTCCCCTCTCCCACTCCCTCCTTTCCAGGTCGTTCTGAAGAACCTGCCGCCCAACACCACACGTCACACACCAATGATATGTTAAGTTTTGCCCCTCTCTCCTCCCCCTTTTTTCCCTCGTCACTCCGCCCCTCTCTCCTCCCTCGCCACTTTTTCCTCTCTCCAGGTCGTTCTCAAGAACCTTCCTCCCAACACATCGCTCACCAATGAGATGGTGACATGTGTCACTGACTTCCTGGTCACAGAAGGGCTTCTGGAGCCTGAGAGGGGCGCCAGGGGCAGAGGAGGACGCGGGATGGGGATGGCTGGTATTGGTGGTGCTGCTGCTGGCGGGGCAGGGGAGGTATCTGCTTTCCGGTCGCTGCGACGCATTCATGGGGAGCAAATGGTGAGTGCCGTGTGCTGTGTGCCGTGTGACATGGTTGGTTGGTAGTAAGCCCTCTTATGTGTCACGAGATGACTTTTGAGTTTTGAGTCGACTCAAAAGTAAGCCCTCTTATGTGTCACGGGCTTCCTGGTCACAGAAGGGCTTCTGGAGCCTGAGAGGGGCGCCAGCAGGGATGGGGAAAGGGGAAGAGGCGGGATGGGGATGGCTGGTATTGGTGGTGCTGCTGCTGGCGGGGCAGGGGAGGTATCTGCTTTCCGGTCGCTGCGACGCATTCATGGGGAGCAAATGGTGAGTGCCGTGTGCTGTGTGCCGTGTGACATGGTTGGTTGGTAGTAAGCCCTCTTATGTGTCACGAGATGACTTTTGAGTCGACTTTTGAGTTTTGAGTCGACTCAAAAGTAAGCCCTCTTATGTGTCACGGACTTCCTGGTCACAGAAGGGCTTCTGGAGCCCGAGAGGGGCGCCAGCAGGGATGGGGGAAGGGGAAGAGGCGGGATGGGGATGGCTGGTATTGGTGCTGCTGCTGCTGGCGGGGCAGGGGAGGTATCTGCTTTCCGGTCGCTGCGACGCATTCATGGGGAGCAAATGGTGATTGCCGTGTGCTGTGTGCCGTGTGACATGGTTGGTTGGTAGTAAGCCCTCTTATGTGTCACGAGATGACTTTTGAGTCGACTTTTGAGTTTTGAGTCGACTCAAAAGTAAGCCCTCTTATGTGTCACGGACTTCCTGGTCACAGAAGGGCTTCTGGAGCCTGAGAGGGGCGCCAGCAGGGATGGGGGAAGGGGAAGAGGCGGGATGGGGATGGCTGGTATTGGTGCTGCTGCTGCTGGCGGGGCAGGGGAGGTATCTGCTTTCCGGTCGCTGCGACGGATCCACGGGGAGCAAATGGTGAGTGCCTGGTGGCGGTGCTGCTAGTGCCCCTGGTGCTGTCGCTGGTTGTGAAGGTGCTGGTGGGGCATGGGAAGTGTCTGCATTTCGCTCACTGCGACAGATTTCACGGGAAGCAAATGGTGAGTTCGGTGACTTCCATGGAGTCGACGTAGGAGTTCTCCTCCTGGAGCACATTTGTTTGTTTTCATGCAATTTTCTGAGAAGCAAAAGGCAGCGCAGCACTGAGGGCTCTCCTAGAGCAGCTGCCAGCTGGCAGTCACCATTCCCATGCGCACGTTCAAGACAATAAACCTCCATCCTCCAACCTCCATCTCTACCCCAGGGTCCTCACAAGATATAAGGTTGGTTTTGAGACGTCTCAACACCAACCTTATATCACGTGGCTTCATGTCGTCTCTACCCCAGGGTCCTCACAACGCGCGAGTGACGGTGTGGGCTCTCCTACGGCAGCTGGCAGTCACTACCCTCACCCTCTCCTTCTCCCGCCCCCTTGGCCCCTTCCCTCTCCACTTCAATTGCCATCCCCTATCCCTTCGCACATCCCAGGGTCCTCACAATGCTCGAGTGGCCGTGTTGGCTCTCCTCGAGCAGCTGGTAGTCACCATTCTCATCCAGCCCCCCTTTGCCTGCTCCCCCCTCCACTCCCATCCCCTGTCTCCACACACCTTTCAGGGGCCCCACAACGCGCGAGTGGCGGTCGGGGCTCTCCTCAAGCAGCTGGCAGTCACCATTCTCATCCAGCCCCCCTTTGCCTGCTCCCCCCTCCACTCCCATCCCCTGTCTCCACACACCTGTCAGGGGCCCCACAACGCGCGAGTGGCGGTCTGGGCTCTCCTCGAGCAGCTGGCAGTCACCATTCTCATCCGCACCTTGAGACACCAGACTGCCAGGTGGCTGCGCGTGAAGCTGCCACCTGGCACTCAGCCAGACGAAGGGCCTGCTTCAGCCGCTGCTGCTGCCAGTGAGCCAGGGGAAGGGGAAGGGACGGCTGGTGGGGAAGCGAAAGCGAGAGGAGGGGGCCGCGGGAGGGTGAGGACGGCGGTGAGTCACGTGGTGGTGGCGGGTGTGGTGGCCTATGTGGATGGCAGGCTCTGCCGCCACATCCCCAACGCCTTCCTCAGGCGGGTGGTGAGCGGGTTTCTCCTCAGCTTTGTGGATCTCTGAGCCATCCTCTTCCTCCCATCTTCATCAAGACACGCAGTGGATGTAGGTGCAAGTGGTGGTGGTGCAAGGGCGAGATTTGCTGGGATTCAAGTCAAGGCCTAGCACAGGAGGGAGGGTGAGGGCGGCGGTGAGTCACGTGGTGGTGGCGGGTGTGGTGGCGTATGTAGATGGCCGGCTCTGCCGCCACATCCCCAACGCCTTCCTCAGGCGGGTAGTGAGCGGGTTTCTGCTCAGCTTTGTGGACCTCTGAGCTGGTCGCAGTGGACATGTCTTTGTAGGCAGCAGGTTCACTCCCCAAGGGCACCTCTTTATCCTGGCTTCTCTGTTGCCATGCCCCACTCCTGGCAACGTTGGCTGGTCTTTCTCGTTGGGTGTTTCTGTTAGAATAGCGAGAATGGATGCACTAGACTGGGAGGGGAGATACAAGAACATGGGGTTGTACCCTCTAAGAGCTGACATAGCTAGGATACACACACACATATATCCTAACTACACTCACACATATTTTTTATCGCAGAGAAACGATAAGATCTTTGCACATTTCTTATCCACCTCGCATCGAGTGAATGCAAAAATTGGAAGATGCTATACCATCTGTAGGGGGTAGTACATACAAAAGAGCACTTTCATCACATTACACTTTCTGCATTGCAGAACACTACATCATAATATAGAACACAAACCACTTACTGCGAAGATATCTAAGGCTCCTAAGGCATGGAGCACAGGGCTCACCCGTGCCCGGCTGAGCGGGGGAGCGGGGAGCACTACACACCTAAGGGCACATCCTAATATAGAACACAGCTTACCAACCATCCACTGCCGAATGCAGGAGCCGGAAGCACTACATGCTAATATAGAACAGCCAGGGGCCCTGCATGCAACTATCTCACCCTTGCTGAGCTTTCTGGCTTTAAACCATCCCCAGGGATAGAGTACACGCTAGGATCACAAGAGTGGTGAACACCACCTGCCACCTTTGGAAGCTGGCTGCTGCACCTGCTGCTGCTGCCTTGCTTGCAGATTGCCCTGTAGGGGTGGTGGTGGCTCCTGCAGCAGCAGCAACACCAGCACTAGCAGCACCAACAGCACCCGCACCAGCACCAGTTGTGCCACCACCTCCTGTGCCCGCACCAGCAGCATCCCCAGATATGTCTTTCTTGGGATTCGAACCGCCATCATCAGGAGCTTCCAGAGCAGGCGTTGGGGTGGAGATGGGTGGAGAGGGGGAGAGGTCGGCAGGTGATTCAGGGGAGGGTGAGGGAGAGGAGGGAGCTTGGGGGTCTGGCATGGGGGCGGTGGGATTTGGGGGAGTGAGGGATGGGATGATGGCCGTAGGGAGGGGGGAAGAATGTGTGGGGGGGGTTTTGCCTGGGGTTGGGGATTTGGATGCGGAAACAGGGGCTGGGGAGGAGGTGTTGATGGTGGGAGGAGTTGAGGGGGAAGGAGAAGCGGTTTGAGGAGAGGAGGGGGAAGGGGAGGAGGAGTCGGAAGGGGAGGAGGAGTTGGAAGGGGAGGAGTTGGAGGGGGAGGAGTCGGAAGGGGAGGAGGAGTTGGAAGGGGAGGAGGAGTTGGAAGGGGAGGAGGAGTTGGAAGGGGAGGAGGAGTTGGAAGGGGAGGAGAAGTTGGAAGGGGAGGAGGAGTTGGAAGGGGAGGAGGAGTTGGAAGGGGAGGAGGAGTTGGAAGGAGAAGAGGAAGAGGGTGGAGAGGAGGAGGGTGGAGAGGAGGAGGGTGAGGGTGAGGAGGGTGAGGAGGGAGAAGGGGAGGATGGGAGCGGAGGAGGAGGGTCGCCAGCAGTGTCGTTGAGGCTGCTGCTGCCGTCTCCAGCTTTTGGCAGAGGCGCTACAGGCATGCCTAGCGGCTTCTCCCTGGGGGTTGGGTTTCAGTTTCAGGGTTTAGAGCGAAAGAGTTGGGGTAAGGGCTGAGAGTGGGAGATAGAAAGAGAAGGCCCAGTAAATAAATAAATAAACCAACGAGGGGGTAAAAAAAAAAAAAAAAAAAAAAACTATAGACCCTCAACGTTAAATGCAAGGCCGGTCTTACCCGAGGAGGGTCTGTACTTGTGGGGCAATGCTGCGGGCCCATGCGTCGTAGCCTGCTGGCGACAGATGGAGGACTTGGAACGAGTCCTGAAACAGATGGCAAGAATAAGAAAGCAAGTGTGCTTTGGATTGATGAGTCACCTCACCTCAGTGCACGCACTTGCCCCATGCCTCGTAGCATGGTGTTTTTGAGAATTCTCAAAAACACGCTGCTGACAGGTGCATCAGGTGATAACTGACCTTCCTGTCAACAACAGTACAACAGTGTTGTTGACTGCAGTACTTGGATTGGAACAGTATCACTTCAGCATTTTGTACTGATAACAGTACATCCGTTCTGGTGCATTGCAGCTGCATATATATATATATATATATATATATATGTATATATATAACGTTGTTGGTTATGATACTAACTGGCACTCTCATTCACTGTACCAATGCTTACCTTAATGTAGTGGTCTTCAAGCAGAAGACCATCCTCGCTAAGGAATGCTCCCTTACAGTCCAAGAAGTTGGTGGTTTTGCCATCTGCATCAAGGCAGCAGCAGCAAAAACAGATATGAAAAAAGAAGAAAGACTTATCAAATTGTCCTTGTAACCCCCCCCATAACCAATCCCTAACTAATCCCTTCCTCCCTTCTTGATGCTATAAAAATTGATCGATTCAGGGAGAGTTTCGGGGGGAAATTGGGGGGGAATCCGAAGTGGGAACAACGAGCATATCTATAGCGGAAACGGCTGACCAGGAATTTGTTTGTTTGTTTGTTTTTTTTTTTTTTTTTTTTTACATTCACCTGGAATGCTAAGCACAACCACTTTCAGGAGCTGATCTGGAATTGACGTTAAAAGAATGGCGTTGACTTGCCACCCCAGCAGCTGACTTTGAGCGGGTAGCATTGACCTGGCCCGCAAAGCCTCCCCACTTTCAGTAGCTGACCTGGAATTGACGTGGAAAGAGTGCCGTTGACTTGGCACCCCAAGAACAACTATTAACAGCCCGCTGACCTGGAATTGACGTTGAAAGAATGGCGTTGACTTGGTCAACCTGGGGATCCGGTGTCGTTGACTTGGACAGATAACCCTGATAAGGGAAGGGGAAGGGTGAACAGAAAAGGGAAGATGTTGGGGCGAGTAGAGGATGAGGGATCAAAAGAGTGAGAATGGGGGTCTGAGGGAAGCAAGAGGGACCGCTTGTGAGAGAGAGGTGGGGGCTGAGGAGGCCCTTTCCCTCGGGGTCTGCTTTGCGGTTTCAGAGTCCCTGTGGAAAATTAATTTAGTTCTGAGACGTTTTAAAACTAAATCGCTTAATCCCGTAGGGTGGCCCGTCGTTTGGCTTGCTTGTATCCACTTACCTCGAAAAGTCTGTACCGAGGATGCATCAATACACAGGCCACTTGTGGGGCGAGGCTGAGGAGTGAACACGAGGATTGGTGGAGGTAGATGAAGGCTCACGGGGAGAGGATTTTGTAGAAAGCTCACCTTGGGTAAGTTGATTTTTTAGCATTCTCAAAAGCCAACTTACCTGAGGTGTGACCTGAGGGCCGGTGGAGGTAGATGAAGCAGCAGTAGAGGATCGTTGAGGGGTATTTATGAGTAGAAAGCTCACCTCGGGTAGCAGGCCAAGGACGAGCACTTTTGCGCTGGGTTGTAGGCTGTGAATTGTGGTTACCACATTGCCAACCTGCAGCAATAAAGAGGGTATAAGTGAAGGAATCATTTCAGGTACAGCACACAAACCTTTTAAAAGCAGCAAATGTGTTGTACTGTGTACTCATCAGTTCACTATTTTAGTTAGTTTTTTTTTTTTTTTTTTTTGTAAGCCTCACCTTATCTGCGATTGCCTGTGCATCGGTGTATCCGTTTGTGGCAGACTCGATAACGTCATTGATGCCCACAGAGACCACTGCAAGCGAGAGGCTAAGTGAAGACGGGAGCTCCCCATTCTGTTACGGGAATGGGTTATGGGGAATGGGGGATGGGGGATGGGGCATGGGGCATGGGGCATGGGGCATGGGGCATGGGGCATGGGGCATGGGGCATGGGGCATGGGGCATGGGCATGGGGCATGGGGCATGGGGCATGGGGCATGGGGATGGGGGACGGGGGATGGGGGATGGGGAATTGGGGAGACAGGAAAAGTTGGGATATGAGAGACGATGAGAGGAAAAGGGAAGCGAGGAGATAAGTAGGGAGGAGAGATGCCTAGAGTGCAGTGGAGAGGAGTGGAGAGGAGTAGAGAGGAGTAGAGAGGAGTAGAGAGAGGAACTGGAAACGATGAGGAGAGAGTGGGGGCATGGTGCAAAGAGCAGGAGTGTGGGAAATGGCTTGATGTAAGGAGGGTGGGCATGAGGGTGGGCATGGCTTGACTCTAAAGACTTGACATGCTTTAGAGTCGACTCAAAAGCAGGAGGGTGGGCAATGGCTTGATATAGGGAGATGACATCCATGCTGCTACTTGAGTTATGCGCCGTGGTCTGTAGGAGGGAGGGATGGCGGAAGGCAGGGAGGGGAGAGATGACGAGGGAAAGGTGAGGACACACACACACGCCCACACAAAGTAAAAGCAACGCACCTGCATCCTCCATATAAGGTCGTCCGTTGTGTCCCCAGCTATCCCAAACGCCCGGACCTCCCTCCCCGAGCCAAAAGACGCCTTGAGTGCATCAAACACCCCGCTGCACGCACACGCAGCGAGACACGCACAGACACACAGAGACACACGCACAGTGGTGATAGTTGGGGCACAGAATTAAGGCACTTATAGCAACAACTTGCACTCTCACAAGGGCTTAAGCCCCCTCGCCGAAAGACACTTCGAGAGCGTCGAACACCCCGCTGCACGCACACGCAGCGAATCAAGCACAGAATGGATGCCTTTTGAGTCGACCCAAAAGAAGCACGCACAGAATAGAACCAATGGTTGAGGCGCCTATAGCAGCAACCAGAAGCACGCACCGAATGCAAGTGCATGACGCTGCTGGGAATAGCACACTTGACAGCACGTTTCCCCAGGTACAAAGTACAATCCGCCCCTCATCTCCCTTAACAACGCGCTCTCTTTCGGACCCCGACCATTCCCTCTCGCCCTACCTGACATTGGCGTACAGCCCGAGGTGCCTTCCTAGAAACTTCTCACTCCACCCCTGCACAGAAAGCAGAGAATTCCAGGCGTCAACAGAAGAGAATTCCGCACTCTTATTTTCGGTCTGCGTTCCTCTTTCAGTCAACAGGTGATGAAAGCGGAGGAATAAACACGAGCTTATACATTTGGGCATCACGCACGGGAGACATATGGGCATCACACATGGGCATCACACATGGGGTACACATCGGCATCACACATGGGCATCACACATGGGGTACACATCGGCATCACACATGGGCATCACACATGGGCATCACACATGGGCATCACACATGGGCATCACACATGGGGTACACATCGGCATCACACACCATGCATCTCTGACTCAGTATAGCAAGGTGACTTTTGAGTCGACTCAAAAGTCACCTCGTCTGACTCAGTATAGCAAGCTCGGTGTAGTAACAGGCCAGAGAGAGGGCCCTATGAGGTACCATAGTACCACACAGAGAGAGCCTCGATTTGAGGCGCCTCAAAACTAGGCCCTCTATACTATCACACACAGGGAGATGTCTATAGAGCTCTGGCTCCGTAGTGCCACAACTCGCCTCCGCCTACCTCTTCTAAAGGCCCCAAAAAACAAATCCTCCTCACATGTAGCATCCTCCTCACATGTGGCATCCTCTTCACATGTGGCATCCTCCTCACATGTGGCATCCTCCTCACGTGTGGCATCCTCCTCACGTGTGGCATCCTCCTCACATGTGGCATCCTCCTCACATGTGGCATCCTCCTCACATGTGGCATCCTCCTCACATGTGGCATCCTCCTCACGTGTGGCATCCTCCTCACATGTGGCATCCTCCTCACATGTGGCATCCTCCTCACATGTGGCATCCTCCTCACATGTGGCATCCTCCTCACATGTGGCATCCTCCTCACATGTGGCATCCTCCTCACATGTGGCATCCTCCTCACATGTGGCATCCTCCTCACGTGTGGCATCCTCCTCACATGTGGCATCCTCCTCACGTGTGGCATCCTCCTCACATGTGGCATCCTCCTCACATGTGGCATCCTCCTCACATGTGGCATCCTCCTCACATGTGGCATCCTCCTCACATGTCGCATCCTCCTCACGTGTCGCATCCTGCTCACATGTGGTATATGCCACATACCTCAGTCAGCGAGTCGCCATAAAAGATGACGTCAGCCGTCTTAAGCGCCCCCGCCTCGTCACTGTAGCTCTGGTGAATCCCGAACCAATCGTCGACCTTCTGGGGCTTGACGGAATCGGCGCGCTTATCGCCTTTCATCTTGAACCCTGCCGTTTTCGTTCCGCCGTTCCCCTCCTCCCCGCCATCGCTTCCGTCAACGTTTCCGTCACCTTTTCCGTCACCTTTTCCGTCGTCTTTCGACCCTCCGCTCCATTCCTGCACCCCCTTGCCGTCCGTCGAGCCCTCGTCGCCCGACTGACTCGCGCCCCCCTCGGTTGGCGGAGCCTCCTCGCCATTCCCCCCTGATCCCCCTCCCCCTCCCTCTCCCCCTCCCCCATCTTTACCGGAATCTGGATTCGCCGTGGAATCGCCGCCAACTGCGGGGATTGGCTTTGACTCTCCTCCCGCAAGGGAGTCCGGCGCCGGTTCCGCTGCCGGTTTAGGTGCCGGCTCCGGTTCCGCTGCCGGTTCAGGAGCCGGTTCCGGTTCCGGTGCCGGTTTCGGCGCTGAGTCGCCGTCTATACCAGCGGCGGGCTTTGCTTCTGACGCAGTTTCGGGAGCGGTCGACTTCGCGGGGTTCTCCGCTGGTTTTTCCGAGTTATCCTGCGACTCCTGCGGTTGTTCGCTAGGGACCTTCTGTACGTCGTTGTGCGACGGTTTCCCTGCTGATGGAGCCTCGGACTTCGATCCGCCCTCAGGCGACGACGAACTTGGCCTCTCTTGCGACGTAGGTTGCGACACGTCTGGCGACTTGGGCTGCGACACTTCGGTCCCCTTTGAATCAGCCTTGGGCTTTTCGCTACTATCCTTTTGAGCAGCGTCCCCGTTAACAGCGTCCCCGTTAACAGCGTCCCCGTTAACAGCGTCCCCGTTAACAGCGTCCCCTTTACCAGCGTCCTTTTCAACAGCTGCCTTCTTTTCCTTGGCCTTCTTCTCCTTGTCTTTTTTCTCCTTATCTTTCTTTTCCTTGTCCTTCTTCTCCTTTGCCTTTTTCTCCTTGGCCTTTTTATCCTCGTCATCGTTGAGCACCGATACAAGAACAGGAGCGCCCTTAGTCACAAGCACCTCGTCTAAAATACGCGATGACGACCCACTGACCTCATCCCCTCCACTTACTCCATCCCCTCCGCTATCTCCATCCCCTCCACTATCTCCATCTCCGCCGCTATCGCCATCCCCTCCTCTAGCCCCATCCCCTCCTCCGCCCAACGCCTTCCCTGTCAAAAACCGTCCTGCGTGTGCTGACTCTATATCGGAGAAAATTACCAAGGAGACTATCGCGAGGGAGAGTAGCGCGGGTAAGAACCTGTTAACTACGGGCGGCTTCGGTCTACTTCCCCTAAGGGCCATAGCGATCGATGGAGGGCGAGAGAACGCGTGAGAGGAAATCGCTCCTCGCTCCCTAGTACAAGCTCGCCAGGAAAGGGTTGGCCAAGGCACGCGCTACGAAAAAATTAGCTGGTTGGGGTAAGAGGAGGATAACGCCGAGCGGACTCGCCGCTGGTAGGCTGCGCGAAACTGAAGCTACTTTTGTAACGCAGGAACCGTTGGGAACTATTAAAGGGGAGTGAACCTAGACCTTCCGAAACCTAGACCTTCTGAAACGGAAACAGCGATCCCTGCCTTCAGCTAGCTTTTGCGATGTACAGGAAAGGAGGGTACCAACGCCTTCGGCACCGAAATCAGTCACCGAGACCAACGACCAATCGATAGGAATGCGCTCTAAAAGATTGGCTGATGCATCTCGATTCTCGACTCGACATCCACAAGATCGTACAGTGAAAGCCCCGTCGTCGCGTCTTGACCAACGCGGTCAGCGCAGGCATAAGAAAAGGACTCAGCGGAAACAGCGGCAAGGCGCTGAAAAGAGTGCTCGTGCCTGAGATGGAGCATGCCTTGCGAAACAGTAAGGCCTTCTATGGCGCGTGGAGACGGAGAGGCGTGTGTGTGTGTGCCACTTGGTGATTTTTAAGGCGCCTCAAAAAGGAGACGGAGAGGGGGTGTGTGTGTATGTAGCCACTAGGTGCCATGATCGGCGGGAAGAAGATACCCCCAAGGTGCGCGCGAGAGGGACCTGAGATCGCGCCAGGCGCTTGGAAACAGCACACCAGTGACAGCACACCAGTGACAGCACACCAGTGACAGCACACCTCGGTTTGACCAACAGCAGCACCATGGCAGCCATTGCGGCTGGCCAGGACGCACTACTGACGACTGGGCGTCTGCTGGCGGCCAGGCACCTCGGGAGATGGGGCGCTGATCAAGGCGATGGATCAATCGGGAGGGGACTCAGGGTTGGCAGCACTCGGGACTTGGGACTCGGGGGGGCATGACTCATGAGAGCACCACATGCTGTCCTCTGCTGGACGGGGCGAATGTTGGTGTGTTGATGAGGTTATGGCGATGCTTCTAGGGCTGCGTTGGATTGTGGTGGAATGGTTTCAGGGCGTGTCCAGCGCGTGCGTTACTGTACTCATATCGCGGTTCAGTAGGATATATCGCGGTCGGGAGCGGTTTTTAACCATCACCACGTTGGACCACCGAACACCACATTGAACCGTATAAATTGAATTGTAAACGTACGCGCTGGACACAACTCTCAAGGTGGAAATTGGAATTGGGATTGGATGTGGGGGAAGGAAAACATTGCACCATGCCCCAAATGCACCGCTCGTGGTGTCATGTCACAAATTGCGGTGCACAAATCTGGGCGCAACGCAGGATGCGGTGTGCCAGTGACGAACCGCACTGATCGCGACTCGGGATAGGATGCAGCATGCGTCTGTCAGTGGACAAGGCCTTGCTGCGAAATTGCCGTACTAATTACGGATCACTACACTCCAATACGGGGATACAGAAGCAATGCACCAAGTTACAAGAATAATCATATGTAATATCCTTGGAAATGCTATTTTGCGCCTTCTTGTACCCTGCCCACTGGTCGTTACACCTGAGGAAAACCATCGAATGACCTTATGGGCGGAAAATGGAGATCCACCCCACAATGGTGCGGGTACTGCATGCAGCAGCCTACCAATCAAAAGCCGTGGTGGATGGCATCGCAAAACCTTGAGTAGATCTGCTAATCCAACGAAGGTAACACAGCTACCCATAACAAAGCTCTCAAGTGCCTACCATTTCCACCACCAGCTATCTCTTTGGCAGAGCACGCCTCTCAAGAACAGCTTGCACTTCCCTTGCCTGCAAATGCAGAATGCGTCTCCTCCTTTGCGCTGCTCCGGTTCTGTGTCTCTCACACTATCTCCTTGGCAGAGCACGCCTTTCAAGCACAGCTTGCACTTCCCTTGCCTGCAGATGCAAAATCCCTCTCCTCCTCAATGCTGCAGCTGCCCTCTGCTGCCTCTCATCCTCCTCCACCTTCTCCTGCTGCTGCTGCTCCTGCTGCTGCTGCTCCTGTTCTCTGTCATTATTGCTATCAATCCCTGAATCCCTGCCAATGCCGACGGCCCTGCCACCAGCACCAACTGCTGCCCCAGCAGCGCCCATGGCTGCACTGGCGAATGCCATCGCTTTTGTTGATGAAGAAGCTAAAAACGAGGATGATGGTGATGAGTCTGTTGCCCCAGACCCGCTGACTAGAGACAGCATGAACAGTAACCCATTGGCATCCCTGTCACTCATAGCCATCAGCCGGGCGGCGTCTCTCGTCCTTTTGAAGAAGTTGAGCGGGCGGGGGGTGGCAATTTCAAACAAAGACATCACCACCTGCATATCATAAGAAAACTGCTGCCCGGCACGCTCCGAGAATTTCAAGCTGCCCAGCACAAGGCTTGCCCCACCAACAGCACTCTTCTTCGGGTTCGAGGGGGTTTGAAAGCCTGCTCCATCTGTCCCACCATTTGCCCCTCCACTCACCCCTCCACCTGCTCCTCCTGCCCCTCTTCCTACCCCTCCTAAGGTCCCCCCTCCCCCCCCTCCTGCCACCTCTGTAACCCCCACGCCTATAGTCACATCTCGTCCCAGAACGACCTTATCCACAAGGTACCGGTCCAGGAAAGCAGCAAGCGCGCGCCAGAAGGAGGAGAAGAGGGCCGCGTCGAGCGAGTGCCGGGCGGACAGCAAGCGCAGACGCAGCCAGGTGAGGGCATCGACCAGGGCGGGGGACAGGGAGAGGGAGGAGGACAGGGAGAAAGAATCTGTGTGTGGAACACCTGTCGGAGCAGGAGGAAGAGGAAGGGGAGGAGGGGGGGCCTGGACGCGCACTATGGCCCGCGGGTACTCGGCCGCACGGGAGACGAATCCGCGCGCGACAGCTGTCGCCAGCCTGGCGACGACGGCGGAGTGCAGGGATGCGAGGCGGTGGAGTTCGGTGGAGAAGAGGTCCGGACCGGGGCCCTCGAACTGGTCTAGTAGATCCTGACTACGGGGAAGCAGCTCCTGCTGCTGCTGTTCCCCCTGCTGCTGCTGCTGCTGTTGTGGGTCAGAGCCGTGTTGGACCCCGTATCTCTCGACCTCCTCAGCATCCATCAGCTCCCATCCATCTCCCCCTGACTCCTCTTCCTCCATCCATCCATCTCCCCCTGACTCCTCTTCCTCTTCACCTGCCTCCTCTCCCCTTCCTGCCGCTTCAGCCCGCTTCTCCTCCTGCTGCTGCTGCTGCTGCTGCTGATTCTCCTTCCTCTGCTGTTGCTCATCCGCAACTCGTTCTCTCCCCTCCTCTCCTTCTCCCCCCCACTCTCTCCCCTTCCTCCTCGCCCTCCTCTCCCTCCGCCCCTCCTCCCACGCCTCTACCAAAAACCCCTCATCCTGCCACGTCCCCAGCGCATGCGCCACAAACCTAGCAGCATTGGCGCACCCCGCCATTTCCTCCAGATCCCCATCCCTAGCCAGTGCTCCTGCTGCCTCTATCTCGTCTGCTCGCTGCTCCGTCTCTTTCAGAAACACAGAGAGAATCGGGCGGCACAGTCCCTCGACAAAGGACAAGCGCTGCCGCCCGCGGCCTATGGCCCTGGCGCTGGTAATCATTCTGCTCCCCTCGTTACTGTAACCGCTGCTTGCTACAGTGCCGGAGAGCCGCCCGCATCGGGAGACAGCCGCCCGGAGAATCTCAACCAGCTGAAGAGCAACGGGCGGCGGTCGAAACTCAACCACCCCTGCTGCTGCAGCTGTAGCAGAAAAATCAGCACCTGTAGCTCTAGACTTTGCACCTGTAGCTTTCAGCAAGCCAAAAGAAGATAGTTCCTGAAGACCCATGCTTGCCTCATCCTCCCCATCCCGTGGAACCTTCCAGGAAGTGTCACTACCCATGACAGCTAGGACCTTCCTGCGTGAGCTGGCGCGCTCCAATTGGATCCAGAGCAGCAGCCAATCAGGTCGCTCCGCAAACACCCCCACTGTCGGCTCCACTTGCAGTGCCGCCCAGAAATCCGACGCGGACGGCGGGAGATCTGATACGATTGCAGCATCACCACTAGAATTCTCACCAGCACCAGCAGCAGCACCAGCAGCATCAGCAACACCAGCAGCAAAGACGCCAGAACCAGCACCAGCACCAGCAAAAGCACCAGCAGCAGAAGCAGTAGCTGAGCCAAAGACCAGAAGGCGAGACATGGCCGAATCAAAGGCGATGCATTCACTCACCACCCGAAGCCACTCCCTCGCTGCTGCTGCTTTCCCCTCATTCCCGCCAACCTCCTCCTCCCATGCCTCATCCCCCTCCCAATCCCCACCATCTCTCCCCACCCCGCTCCCTGCATTCCTCCCTCCTCCCCCTCCTCCCCCTCCTCCCCTTCCTCCCCATACCCCTCCCCTCCCTCCCCCTGCCCCCCTTCCCCCACCTCCCCCTCCTTCCTCTACCCCTGCGCTTCCTAGGAGCTTCCCAGCCAGGTTCGGCACAACGGACCTCCGCAGGAAGTGGATCGGCAGCATCTGAACCACGGCCCGAACCCACCCCTCCCTCACACTCACCCCCCTGAGCCCCTCCTCGTCTACCAGTGGCTGTAGCGCCAGGTCAAACGAGTCAACGCCAGTCAACGCCACCCGGAGGGTCAGCGCAAACGCCCACTCCGGCCGCCCACTCGCCCCCCATTGGTCGAAGGGGGGGCGGGCTTGCGATGCTATTGGCTGGACCAACTCCTCCATCCCCCATAATAGTGCCTCTTCAACCTGGATATTCCCTAGGTTCTGGATAGTCCCTAGGTCGCCAGCAGGCAAGCCCGAACCCAAAACAAAGCTCATATTACCATCCTCCATATAAGCACTATCCGCTTCTTCTGCCTCCTCCTCCGTTCCACTCTCTTCCTCCTCCTCTCCATCCTCCATATAAGCAAACCCTCTCTCTCTTTGAAGCCGCACCTGCTCTGCCGCTCGTCTCACCTTCTGAGCATGCTGGAGAGAGCACAGAGCCATGAACAGGCTCGTGAATTCCACCCGAAGCTCGCCTTCAGGTCCGGCAAGCCGGTCCAGTGCCGAACATCCAGCAGCAGCCGCAGGAGCGTTGGCTCCTCCTACTTCCCCTCCTCCTCCTGCTCCTCCCCCACCTCCCCCTCCTCCTCCCCCTCCTTTCCTGAGGGGAGGCGGCCAGCCGGCAGCAGCAAGGCATCCCCTGTAGCACTCCAACAGAGGGCCCACCAGGGCGGCAGTTGCCGAGTCCAATCGCTGGTCGACAGCTGTCAGCAGGCGGGACCAGGAGGGGTGGTGGATCGAGGTGGAGGAGGAGCGGTTGGAAGCGGTGAGAATGGCGTGAGAGGCGGTACGGAGGGAGGAGAGGAGCTTAGGGTTTCGAGACGGTTGCTTCCCGGAACTGAGGCCAGCAGCACTTGCACCAGCGGAAGTACCAGGGGCAGCAGCAGATGCAGCAGCAGCAGCAGCAGCAGCAGCAGCAGCAGCAGCAGCAGCAGCAGCAGCAGCAGCAGCAGCAGGAGGAGCAGAAAGAGCCGCAGCAGAGGCAGCGGAAGCAGCAGCAGAGGCAGCGGAAGCAGCAGCAGAGCCCATTTCTTTCCTCCATAATCCCACACCTAATCCTACCTTCTCCTCCGCCTCCCCCACCTGCCGCTCAAACCCTAGAACCACTTCCACGTATCCCCTCACCCTCTCGCATCTCGCCACCTCAGCTGCCAGCCTGGCAAGCCGATCCACCATCGGCTGCACGTCAGCAGCCACCACGGAGGCGCGCAAGTGGCATTCTTCGATTCGTTCTGACGTGGATGCAATGGATTGGAGCGCGCGATTAGCCACGGATGAAATGGTTTCTGAAACATCCCGACCAGCCTCAGGCTCGGATCCAAGCCTGGAGCTGTTGGTTCGGGCGTTGTCGCCTTCTGCAGGCTGCAATGACGAGGCGAGAGACGAGCAGAGATCCTCTTTGCGAGAAATTAGGTCTTTAATCTCCGATGAGAGATTGCTCAGGAGGTTCGGCGCGAGCGAGAGGTCGTCGAGCCGCTGAAAGTGAGAGTTTAGAAACGATAGCGCCGCGGGTGACGGCGAGTGAAGCGAATTTGACGGCGCCATTTCCGCTGCTATTCAGCGTCGCATCGCCCGTTGAAAATAAAATGTACTTCGTAGGAGGGGGTATCGCGAAAGACACGGACTGGTCCGGAGATGCTGGTTGGAACTTGGAAGTTAGGCTGGGATGCGAGGGAAATGGCGGCGAGAGATCAGGATTCGGAATCAGGCTGAAAAAGGATACTGTAATGCAGAATTGAGAAAAAAAATGTCCTAGGCCAGGAGAATACAGTATCGAAAACAGCACTCGGAAGAATCAGCGCGTATGATACTGTATCGAAGATATCCGTTGAGAACACAAAATTACACCATCAATTTAATAAATATAATAGATGGTACATCGTCATGTACACCATGGCCTCTCCTACATCACCTTCATAAATCCCATGCCCCTTCCCCATGGCACCGCGGAATCTAAAGCAACTATAGTGGTTATCTCTTTCACTGCACGAGTCTTCCATCTTCGGCATCTCTACATGCCGCCCGTCTAACAGCCCAACTCCATACCTTGCCAAATGAGCAACCCCCACATTGTTCAAATGTGCGACTAGACTGTTTGACCCGTAACGACAGAAGTTGTTCCGCCGTAACGGAGGGATGGTCCGATAGAGAAACCATGGCCCTCTGGAGCTATTGTTACCACCTGCTTCGGATGCTGTACCTTGGGTTTCAGTATCATTGCTGCTTAGTGCAACTGCCTGCAGATGTTGCTTCTGCTGCAGATGCCTCCGCTGCTGCTGTTTCCACTGCTGCTGCTTCTTCTGCAGCTGCTGCTGCTTCAGTTGCAGCTTCTGCTGCTGGGGCTTCTGCAGCAGCTGCTGCTGCTGCTTCTGCTGCTGCCACTTCTGCAGCTGCTGCGGCTGTTGCTGCTGCTGCTGCTGCTGCTGCTGTTTCAGCTGCCCCTGCTGGCCCTGCAGCCCCTGCTGGCCGTGCTGACCCTTCTGCTGCTTATGCTTTCGAGCCGCCAGCATTTGCCGATAAGCCCAGTGTAAGAACCTCGGGAGATAGAACCCGAATGCATTTTCAGGAGCATCGCAGAAGCCATGGGTCCATGTGCCACTGTCGATGATGGTGACGTCTGCTGCTGGTGAGATGGTGGGGAACGGCCGGCCTTGATTCCACAACTTCTTCCTGCCAGCAGGGTGAGGGAGATGAGGAGGTTTGATTGAACGCATGTACCAAAACAGGGGCGGAAGAGAGCTTTTCAGTCGAATCAAAAGCTGAGACGGTGGGGAACAGCCAGCCTTGATTCGGCAACTTCTTCCTGCAAGCACGGCAAGGGGGGGGGGGAGAAGGTTTTATTAAACGCATGTCCCGAAACAGGGGAGGAACAGAGGACACGGTATACAATCACGATAAAAGAACGAGAGGCAGACGCAACCTGCCTCATACGTTTTTACCAGCAAAGGCAGCAAAACAATCTGACTAGGCACCACACTTGAGGAAGCTGCACGTACTTGCATCCGATCTTTTCCATGTCATAGGTTATGTTTGAGTCGACTCAAAATTCACCTTTTGAGTCGACTCAAAAATCAACTTTAAAGTGGACTACAAAATCACCAGCTCACGCGTTTCTACCATCTAAGCCAGCAACACAATCCGTCTATGTAGCCGATTTGTGTGTAATGAGTCTATTTTTTAGTCGACTCCAAAATAGACTCATTACACAGCAGCATAATCATTCTACCTAGCACATTTGAGCAAGCTGCGCATACTTGCATCCGAATCTCCCCATGTCATAGATGCCTGCGATCCAATAGAAGTGGAGCTTCAGAGGCCGCAGCTCTCCAGGCTGGCTGCTGCTGTTACCACCTGATGCCCCATCGCCAGCAGCAGCAGCAGCAGCAGCAGCAGCAGCAGCAGGTGATGCCGCAAAAGAAAGAAGAGGGAGGGCAGGAAGGGTGGGAGAAACGGCTCCCGAAACAAGAGCTGCAGATGCCGTAGGACGAGCCGGAGAGGAAGCAGGAGCAGGAGTGGAAGGAGCAGGAGGAGGAGGCGGAGCGGGAGGGGGAGCGGGCATGACGACACGCATGAGATTATTATGCACTTTCGCATGGGAGGAGTGCGCTCGCCCTGTGAGCAGGAAGAAGAGGTGGTTGAACAGAAACCGCTGGTGCGAGTCCCCTACAATGTTGATCTCGTAAATGCCTCGGGACTGCAGAGCGGCAAGCCAGTCAGACGGCGGGGGGAGGGGGCGCGCGCACGGGTACAGCTGCCACGTGTACTTGCCCTTTGAGGGGTCGAAGAGCCACCGGCCGTAGGCGGAATGGTCGCATGGGGTGTCCTGGTATTCGGTATAGTCATCTCCTGGCGATTCAGTCTTGAGGGATTCGCTGTTGAATTCACTGTTGCGGGACTCAGTGCCGGTATTATCGGCTAGATGTGCTTCCAGGTGTGAGTCGGGTTGGTCAGCGGGTTGGTCGGCGGGTTGGTCGGCGGGTTGGTCGGTGGGTTGGTCAGCGGGTTGGTCGGCGGGTTGGTCGGCGGGTTGGTCGGTGGGTTGGTCAGCGGGTTGGTCGGCGGGTTGGTCGGCGGGTTGGTCGGTGGGTTGGTCAGCGGGTTGGTCGGCTGCTTGGTCTTCACCTGCAGAAGGTTCTGAATCAGAGTATAGAATCCTTCTAGAGGTAACCAGTCCGACTGAATTCTCCTTCTCTGGGGGGCCTTGGCTCGAGCTCTGTGGGAAAACACTACCAGTGGCGCTACTGGTGGCACTGCCAGTGGCGTTGAGCACAGTGAGGGTCCATTCAGCCACTGTGCCTAGGGCGCGTTCAGTGCTGTTCCGGGTGAAGTCCAGGTTACCGCATTCTGAGAGGAGCAGCACGCTGTAATTCCCTGCGTCCCACACTCGGTAAGTGACTCTCCACTTCCGCACGTCACCCCCCTCTTTAGTCACATCCGCTGCTGCTAACGCTGGCCCCACCAGACGCACTACCAGAGACTCCCTATAGTCACCCACCCCCATCTCCCTTCCGCTTTCGCTTCCGCTTCCGCCGCTTCCGCCTCCGCTTCCGCTCCATCCGCCGTTCTCAGCGTCACTTCCGCCGCCATTCGCGGCGTGATTACCAGCGTCGTTTCCGCCGCGATTTCCGCTGGAGTTCGTGCTCCTGGATCTGTCCACGTTGACGGTGAGCTTCGCCGTCGCGCCGCGCATCACGTCGCCTATATCGGGCGGTGGAGTCACATCCCATCGCGCGGGTGTTCTTATGTCGATGTCAAACGCGCAGAGCTCCCCCACCGAACACCAAGCGCAACCAGACCCCGATACAATCACACCCCCCTTCCTCCTCTTCTCTATTGTGGACCCCTCTGCGGCGGATCTCTCCGGCCCTGTGTAACTGACACGTGTCTGTGGCGCGTCAGCAATAGATTCCTCCAGTCCCGAATAACCGCCATGAGCGCCGGACCACCAGCAGACTACACGATCCCTCGAGGAATCTTTTAACGGGTTTTTTACGTCGCGATCTGAGTCGAGGTGAGTCGCCGTCGCATTTTCCTTATATCGCGTACTACTGCGGCTCGCGATGGTAGTGTTAACGCTTATTGTATAGATGCTTTGGCTGCTGTACGTGACGAAAGCAGTGGCTGTGAGGAATGCGAGTATAGCGAAGGCGGATAGCACGCGGTACGCTTGTGACGAAAGAAACTGGAACGCGATTCCGCAGCGGTCATTGAGCTTGGTTTGACCAGGGCGCAGACTCCCCTTCGCGAATATAAACTTAAAGCCTGAATGCTTGTCCGAAGAAACGACCATCGCCTTTATCTTTGCACAGGCACGTCGAGCAAAGAGCAGCGTGCGTGCTTTAGATCACCTAGTGCTGAACCGAATCCTAGTACATGGGCTCTACCTAAGCTGGTTCTATTCCACCTCGCAGAAGACAGCAGTAAGTAATTATGGGATGTGCGCAGCAAGAGCCTGTGAGCAAGTAAGAGGCAGGAGTCAGGAAGAGGGGAGAGACCAGGACAGGTTAGGACAGGACAGGTTAGGACAGGACAGGATAGGCCAGATTAGGTCGGAAGTTGTTGAGTTGTCAGCTTCCCAGATTACTGTAGCTTATGCAAGGAAGAGAATCTAAGACTCTCAGGAGTTGGCTCTACAGTAGTATGGTTCCGTCAGTTTGTGGGCGTTCTAAACGTTTTGATCGGCTTATAGATGGGTTTCAGGTTTCAAGACAGTTTCAAGGGGATTTCGGAAGGCAGCCCTGAGGCAGGCAGGGCTCGCGGCGATTGGCGCGTAGTTGCGTGGATACTCTGACAGGACCATTGTTGTTGCCGAGGTGAACCAAAAGTGCCGAGTCGCCTGGAGACGTCTCTGACAGCCTGGATGCAAGCTGGTCGTGGTGTGTTATTGGCTGACAAGATTCGCGCAAACTGGCTCGCAGCACTTCGCAGCGTTCGTACTCGAGGAACCAGATCAAGATGTCGCGAAATGGCGTAGTCTGTCTTGGAATACATAGTAACACGATGACACCTTTGATAATGGTGTCGCCAATTTCTTTCGTGGCCAGGGTCGCTTTCGTTGTGCTCCGTTATGGTAACCAGAATGTGCCTTCTACATTTTCAACAGTGGCTCCTAGAATGCATAGCGGAACCAGCGATGGACGACCTTCCCTGTTTGTAGGCCTAGGAGGGATTCCGAGGAGACAGCGTTTGTAGAACAAGAAGTAGGTTTTATGTGAAGCTGGCTTCCATCTCTCCCTGCCTTCGCCGTTTTTCGTCTTCAGCGTTCTTTTCGAATTAGGATGGCGGCGACCTATTTCTTGTCATCCGTCCGCCATAGCTCCTTACCATGGAGCGGATGTCGCACCAATGGCGCTGCGCTAAAAGATTTCTCCCAACGAAAAGCTTGCTGTTTCATGGGAACCGCGACTTACCGAAGGAAGCTCAGAGCTTTGGAGGCGCGTCAGAAAACCTCGATGCACAGAGGGAAGCTCGGAATTTTGCCCGTGGTCGCGAATCAGGACGTCCTAGCTGGCACTTTTCAGGAGCTTCCGAAGATCGGTACGAACCTCCCTCTCGCGATATCACGTCCGCTGTATTTGCTTTTGAGTCGACTCGAAAAGCGAATCAGGACGTCCTGGCTGGCAGTTTTCAGGAGCTTCCGAAAATCGGTACATCTGCGGACCTTTTTCTTACGATAGCACGTCCGCTGTATCCCTTACATGCAATAACGCATGCGGATTTATTATCGTTTCCGTGAACCGAATGCCGCTAGTCTGTGTCTTACTGTCAGCGCATGAGGATGTGTAATCGCTGCTCCAGCGCATGAGGATATCTTATCGTTGCTCCCCAGCTGCTTCTTGCCCTAAGTGTCGTGTTAGGCGTTTTGAACCTTCCTTCTATCTGTGTCGTTCCGCGGCAGATATTTCTCCCCTAGTTGAGTTCTGCTCCAGCCTGAGCCTGAACGCAGCCTCACCAGAGAGCTCGCCCCCCAGCGACGTCAGAAGGGTTGCCTCAGAGATCGACGCTGCTTGCCGGGAAGTCGGCTTCTTCTATCTGGTACGTGCTTTGCTATTTTACCTGGCGCAGCACTTGCTGTAAGAGTCTGCTTTTGAGTCGACTCAAACGCAGCACCTGCTGTAAGAGCAAGAACCTCACATGTAGAGCAAGCTATCCAGAGGTTTGTTGTTTTGAGGCGCCTCAAAACTAGATTCCTATCACGCGGTTTTTAGGCGCCTCAAAACTACACATCTAGAGCAAGCAATCCAGAAGTTATTTGGATGCGAGGCTCCGCTTCCCAACAACGTCAGGCGGGTTGCCTCAGAATCAGGCGGGTTGCATCAGAACTTGATGCGGTTTTCGGGGAAGTCAGCTTCTTCTATTTGGTGCGATACCAGTGAGGGGGAAAGGAGCTCCTCGCTTGTTTCGGCCATATGTGTGCTGTCCCTTGTATCCATACATCACGTAGCAGACTGGCCATGGCGTTGCTGGGTGCATTTTGAGTCGACTCAAAATGCACTTGTTTCGGCTGTATGTGTGCTGTCCCCTGTATCCATACATCACGTGGCAGACTGGCCATGGCGTTCCTCAGCAGCTGATGGACAGTGTCCGTGAGGCGGGGAGAGAGTTCTTTGCACTTCCAGAGGAGAATAAGAACGAGATCGCCCTTTCCAAGTCTCCGATATTCAGGTAGGAAGCAAATATTCCAGCTAGCTGAGAAGAGACTGTTCGTTTGAGCTCTCTCTACACTGGCTAGTGTTATGCTTTGTTGCTATGTGAGGAGGGAGGGGGGGGGAGAGAGAGAAGAGAGGGGGAAGGGAGGAAGAGAGGGGGGGGTCTGACACTTGCCAGCAAACAAATGTTGTGCTTCGTTCGTTTTTCGCTTGCAGGGGTTACCAGATGCTTGGCGTGCATATGTGCCCCCTCATTTGCTTTTGAGTCGACTCAAAAGCAGATAGTGCCCCTTGCATTCCGTTATGCGTTTGCGTGCATGCATGCGTGCATATGTGCCCCATCACAACTGCCAACACATCACATTGCCACATCACGTGCAGGGGTTACCAGAGGCTTGGCGAGAACATCACTCAGGGTCGGCACGACATGCACGAAGCCATTGATGTGAGCATAGGCTTTTTTCAGGCGCCTTAGAATCCGCGTGTTAGGCGCTACTTTTATGGCGCCCCATAACGCGACATGCACGAAGCCATTGATGTGAGCGTAGGCTTTCGAGCATCCCTTTTGCCTTCCCTAAGCTAAAAATCTCCCGTTACGTTTTTTGCTGAAGCACACTCGCATCACCCCACTTTTTTTCTTTGTGTGTGTGTGTGTGTGTGTGTGTGTGTGTGTGTGTGTGTGTGTGTGTGTGTGTGTGTGTGTGTATGTGTCTTCATGCTCGCGTGCATGCGTGCGTGCATGCGTGTTTGTATGTGGGCTGCGTCCTACTTCATCCCTCGCTCACCAGCTCTACAGGGAGCATCCAGCAGATCATCCCGATGTTCTTTTCTGGGAAGCCTCTTCACGGTCCACCCATACACCCAGTGACTCATGGATGCACCTCATGTTGCACCTCATGGTATGCACCTCATGTTGCACCTCATGTTGCACCTCATGTTGCACCTCATGTCACCTCATGGTATGCACCTCATGTTGCTCCTCATGTTGCACCTCATGTTGCACCTCATGGTATGCACCTCATGTTGCTCCTCATGTTGCACCTCATGTTGCACCTCATGTTGCACCTCATGTTGCACCTCATGTTGCACCTCATGTTGCACCTCATGTTGCACCTCATGGTATGCACCTCATGTTGCACCTCATGTTGCACCTCATGGTATGCACCTCATGTTGCACCTCATGTTGCACCTCATGGTATGCACCTCATGTTGCACCTCATGTTGCACCTCATGGTATGCACCTCATGTTGCACCTCATGTTGCACCTCATGGTATGCACCTCATGTTGCACCTCATGTTGCACCTCATGGTATGCACCTCATGTTGCACCTCATGTTATGTACCTCATGTTGCACCTCATGGTATGCAACCCATGGTATGCACCTCACCACACCAGCATGAATGCACGCATTACCACGAGCTCATGAATCACCTCACCAGCATGCATGCACGCATCGTAATGGTATAAGCACCGCATGAATCACATCACATGCAGCAGATGTGGTTTTGAGTCGACTCAAAAGATCACATCACATGCAGCAGATCTGCTTTTGAGTCGACTCAAAAGATCACATCACATGCAGCAGATCATCTTTTTGCCCTACGAATTCAAGAGAGTTTTTCTGAGCAAGAATTTTATCTACTAAACATAAGTGTTTTACAGCCCGCTGCCACGTATGGCTAAAACCACCACCAAGTGGTGTTCTCTGCTTTTGAGTCGACTCAAAAGATCACATCACATTCAGCAGATCATCCCGATGTTCTTTCCGGGAAGCCTCTTCACTGTCTCAACCCATCGTAGCAGCCTTAGTTTCCGTTGTGAGAGATTTTTGAGACTACTAACAAATCTCCCAACCCATGGTAACACCTTAATTTCCCCCGATTTTTTCGTAAACCTCTTGCACTCGATCAGCAAGAAACGGTGCCGCTTTGTTGTAAAGCAAAGGTGTGTGCAGGTGCCGTAGGTCCTGTGTACTGGTCTGGTTGTTGTTTCCCCCATGGCTGATTTACTCATGCTGAAGCTTTTGTGCTGCTGCTGGCTCCTTGGCTCCCTGTATTGCAGGCCCAGCAGACCAGAACGTTTCAAGCCAGTTGTGCAGGAATATGTGACTACAATGAAAGGTTAGCATATGGGACTGCCATAGAAGGTAGCAATGTGTGACGTGTCGGCTACGGAAGGTAAACTTCACTGCTTATTTCTCCTCTCCTCAATGCACTGCACACCTCCCTGCCCATCTCTTTCCTGTTGTTTGAGGCGCCTCAAAAAGCATGCGTGAGGAGTCTATTTTTGAGGCACCTCGAGAAATATTCGCCTCAGTACACACCTCTCTGCCCAGCTGTTTCCCTCTCCTCCTTCCCTCAGCTCTGGTTTTCAGCCAACTCAAAAGAAGCCCTGGGGTCGCACTGTGCTGCGAGACATGGCCATGGGCCTGCACCTGCACCTCCTGCTCGACACCTCAGATCACAGCCAGTCCGTTCCCCTACCCCCCCCCCCTCCCCCTTCGCACTGCGTCTCTGACTTACTCTCCTATCGCAGCCCTGGGTCGCAATGTGCTACGAGGCATGGCCATGGGCCTGCACTACCCCCTCCCCCCGCCCCCACCCCCCCTCTCTCTCTCTCTCTCTTCTGTCCCTTCTCCCTGCTGCTTCTCAGTTCCCCAATGGCACAGAAGTCTATTTTTGAGGCGCCTCAAAAATAGACTCCTCTGGCACAGCCCTGGGGTCGCACTGTGCTATGAGGCATGGCCATGGGCCTGCACCCGTTGCTCGACACCTTGGGATGCATCTAGTGATTTCCCCTTCTCCCCATTGTTGAGGCGCCTCAAAAAATACTTTCCCTTCTCCCCATTGTTTCCCCCTCACCGGTGCTGCTCTGACACCCTCTCTCCCCCCAGGTCTGGGTCGCACTGTGCTACGAGGCATGGCCATGGGCCTACACCTCCCACTTGACACCTTCGAGCACGGCCGGGCGGATGACCCCTTCTGGGTCATCCGAGTTATTGGATACCCTCCCCTTGCTTCCAGCGACACAGAGTCCCTCAGCTGGTGAGTTCTGAGACTTCTTAGAACTCGATCCCTTCTGGGTCATTCCAGTTATTTTATTGGATTACCCCCCCCCCACTTGCTGCTAGCGACACAGAATCCCTTCAGCTGGTGAGTGAAGCGTTTGTATGGGTCGAGGGTTTCTGGTGTGGGGCTCGGGGTTTGGAGACGAGACACCTCGCGACATGATTCCTCCTGGGTCATTCGAGACGCTGGTTATCCTTCCTGTGCTGGAAGCGATGCAGAAAATCCCTCAGCCAGTGAGTGCGACGATTTTCAATATGTGAGATCGGTGGCATGTAGAAGTGCATATGGTTGTGAATACGTGGTGGAGAGATTTGATTCCACATGAGCTGTCTGAGTTGTCTGATTCAGTGGACGGTTCCGTTTGGATCATTTGGGATCATTTGGGATCCAATCGGTCCGTTTGGATCGTTTGGGATCATTTGGGATCATTTTGGGATCATTTGGGATCATTTTGGGATCATTTGGGATCATTTAGGATCCAATCCCCTTTTTGGATCATTTGGGTCGCAGTCCTTCTCTTGTCCCGACCTGCACAGATTCCCTCAATTGGTATGTGGCACTCCGTTGGTTGATCGTGATGGTTTAGGGCGCGCTACATTGCGTCCGTTTTGGAGGATCGCATAAAAAAAATGATTGTCTGTTTTTTTTAAGATATCGATTTTGTCTCAGTAAAAACGATCTGCAATATCGACCACGTACGCGACATAGCCATGTCCCAGATTTGCAACTTCCGATCTAGAGTATCGATTTGCAGCTGGATAGCATAGCATTCGCAGAACACTTCGTGAAAACCCAGCAACCCTCCCAGGACATTCGCAATTTCCAACATACTTTACACCGCGACTCGAGTCCACCCAACATTTTCGCAATGGCGAGTTGGCGAAGCGCTTATGATTTCGTGGCATTTGGGGTGAGGCGATCTGGGACTTGGTCGAGGAGGATCGTTAGTGTTTTGGACGTGCGATTGATTCCCGGTTTTGCTTCGAAAGTGATCATGCCCTCCGATCTGCTACATGACTATTTGGAGGCCACTGTAGTTGTCGGGTTACCAGCTTTCTACAGTGCCAAGATCGGAAAATGATCGGAGAACTGGACGCAATGTAGCGCGTCCTAAGTGACAGATGGATGGGTGCAGTAGCGTTTCTCATGAGCACTCTGACTCCTTACTTGTTTGATAATCACACGAGTTTTTTTCTTGTCCGTTAACATGTTCTGGTAACCCTCCTCCCCTTGTCCTCCCCTTTGTCCTCCCCTTTGCCCTCCCCGTTTGCCCTCCCCTTTGTCCCCCCTTTGCCCTCCCCACTGTTTGCCTTTCCCTGCCCTTCATTCCCCCCCGTCTCCTGCATATTGCCACCCTTTGCTGCAATCACCCCAGTGGCGAACACACGGATTACGGTAAGCCTCCCCATCTGCTGTGGGATAATACTCTTGTTCTGCCTGCTGTCTACTTCCCCTCTCCCCTCTCCCCCCCTTGCAACCTCTCTGCCCTCCCCCTGTTCCCTCTCTATCTTGGCCTAACGTCCCTACTCTGCCTGTTGTGCAGGCCTGCTCACTTGTGTGAATCAAATTCCGAGGCTCCTCAAATAAAGATTCCTCTCTATCTAGGCCTCCCGTTCTCACTTTTGTGAAACAATTTTTGAGGCGCCTCAAATGAAGATTCCTCTTTATCTTGGCCTCACGTTCCTACCTTCCGGTCCTGCAGGTCTGCTCACCTTTGTGAATCAAGACCCTGGCATTACAGCTCTGCAGGTACAGTCTTCTTATGTGCATGGTGTGGGGGCGCTTTTCAAGTAAGGGAGAGGAATATTGGTGTCAGAGAGAATGGACCTGACATTGGGTTGGTTGCGCTATTTGCCACTTTGTGTCTTCCAGCTATTTTGCTTTGGCAGAAAAAGTAGAGTCTTCCTCACCCATGTTTCCCCCTCCCTGTTTCCCCCACCCGCCCCCCTCCCCCCCCCCTCCCCCCTCGTCTAACCATGCAGGTTAAGAACAAGGCAGGCGAGTGGGTGGATGCTCCTCCGGTTCCAGGAAGCTTCGTGGTCAACATTGGCGACATGCTGAAGGTACCGCATGTGCACTCATGTTCCTCCTCCTGCTTATTCGAAAACGTGTCTTGTGACATTGTAATGAGGTGACTGTTGAGTCAGCTCGTGACTTTTGAGTCAACTCAAAAGTCGCCTCTTTCAGATGCCCCAACAAATAATCAAACCTTGCCTCCTTTTTTTGAGGTGCCGCCTGAATGTTTTTTTTACCTTCGACATCATTAATCCATGCTGACCCCATTTCGCCCTGGCAGCTGTGGACCAACGGTCTTTACCAACCAACTCCCCATCGGGTTGTCAACAGAAGCCGTACATTCCGAGTCTCTGTTCCTTTCTTCTATGAGGTAAGTTGGGAAATCCGCACAATCCGTTTTCCTGTGATTGGGAGATTTGTTATATTAAGAGGTAAGTTGGGAGATATTTTATCCTACCAGGTAAGTTGGGAGATCGTTTTCCTATGAGGTACGTTGGGAGATCCGTTTTCTGATGAGGTAAGTTGAGAGATCCCGTTTGTCTATGACGTAATCCGTTTGCCTATGAGGTAAGTACAGAGAGATTCATGTGTCTATGATGTAACTCTTGGGAATCCGTTTGCCTAAGAGGTAAGTTGGGAGATCCGTTTTTCTATGAAGGAAGTTGGAGGATGATCCGATCTTCTACTAGGTAAGCCGGGAGACCATGGGCTTTGTGATACTAGGTATGCAAAATGCTGTTCATATCCCTTCCCTCCCACACCTTTACCCTGGCACCAGCTTGATCGCCTGGAGTGGCGTTTTGGCCTGGATTGGCCTTCATCTTTCCCTTCGTCTGATGGCTTTGCCTGCTGCTATTGCTGTCTGCTTCCACAGCCTAACTTTGATGTCAGGGTGGAGCCATTAAATGCTCTGGTGAAGACCATGGGCCGACTGGTCTGGGGCCAGTGGTCTATGGTGATCACCTGTGTAAGAAGGTGTTCAACAACTTTGGTTAGTGCGTACTGTTCTTCTAGCTGTGTACAGTCAGTGCCCTGTACATTGTGTAAAGTTGATACAGCGCTAGAGAGCTTGATTCTTCTTGGTTGGATGCATTAGGCAACTATGGTACATCTTGGTGCCACATGCTACATGATCTGCTCTACTTCTCAAGCCAAGGCAGAATAGAGTAGAATTCCAGCTGGATCGGATGCTGGATGCTGGAAGTCGCGCTGTAAACAATCTGCCTTGGAGCTTGATCCAGAGAGCCAGTATTTTTCAAAAGCCCATTTTGAGCTCCTGATTGCCGGGAACCATCCATCCAACCAGGTTCCTCCTTAAGAGGAATCTGTTGAAACCGAAATCCGTCATGGCATCCGGGGTGATGACGATCTTGTAGCCTTTTATTTCTTCACGAAGACGTGATCCCGTCGAAGTTGATTGGCCGGAAGAGACGTCGAAGGTTTTCCGAAGGCTCCATGGGTCTCTTGTGGCAGCGGCCTGACACCCGCGGAGCTTGCGGACACGCGGGAGGCGACGATCTTTGCTGCGAGGCTGGGGTGTAGCACGGTTGTCGCGAGAAGGGAGACGCACCGGCTGCTGCTGATGGCGAATTGCCGTCCTTCATCGACGAATCCCGCAGGGAGCTGTCGTCGTATGATCCAATTGACATGTATAATCCATGATAATAGCGGAAAGTCGGTCTCCGAGTTGAAGTAACGAAGGGAATTGGTGGTCACAGAAGCCGTCGAGAGGACGTCGAGAAGAATAAGCAATTCTCGGAGGCTGCGTTGTCTAAGAGGGCGAAAGAGAGAAATTAGCAGAGTTGTAACACGGTGGACTGAGGCGGATGGGTCACTCAAGAGAGTCGTGATTTCAGAATGAACTTGGCTGAGTCTGGATGCCGCATATTATAGGCGGGTCACATCTGGCTGATGCCGTCGCTCAGCCATGCATCAGTCAGGCGAATTCTTTTCCGCAGTCAGGAGGAGTCACCGCGAGAAGGTAAGCCTCGGTGACTCCCCAAGAGTCATTCCTCCCCTCACGCACATCCCGGGTTTCCGCCATCGAGGCTGCCGAGAACACGCTAACTCGGATCCGTCAAATCCCCGATCTCCCGGCTTTCAGGATGTATGATGCGCCGTCGCAGCGGTTTTAGATGCGCGAAAGGGGATGTGGATGTGGGGGGATGCGGGAAATGGTAGATGTGGAATGCGGCGGGATGCATGCGGGATGTGGGATATGGGATGTGGCTGGAAAGCGAATTATGACTAGCTGCCTCAGATCAGCGGATGGCAATGGTGGTTGTGGTTCTAGTAGCTCCTGCTATTCCGAGTCTGACGCAGCTGCGTAGCTCATGGATTCCAAACCAGACGCCGTCAAGTGGCTGTTGAAGGGGTGTCAGACAAATTGCGGTCCTCCTCTTTCAGCCCTCATGCCGCGCTGCCGAATCTGTCAGAATGCCAACCAGCGAAGGATCAGACTGTGGTTTAGGATTGAATTAAAAAACAGTAGAGTGTATGGACGTGAATTACTAAAAAAGAAGAGGAATAACGACTCAGTAAACCTTTCATGAGAGGCTGCTGGTCACAAGGCGAGGAAGGTTTACATGTCGAGGGGACTCGGTCAGCAACGAGCGCGGAGGCCTAGGGTAACGGACCAGGTTGTCCCACCATGGAGTGGGAAGGAGCTCGCTCTCGACCCGCACCTGAGGACAGGATGGATCTTTCTGCACAATCAGACCGTAGCTACCACGCTCTTACTCAGCCAGGGGGGTCTGATACTGCTTAGTAAAAACAGCGCAGGTTGCAATATTTTACCCATAATTCAGGTGTAGGCAGGGCTAACTACGCTTACTGATGTGACCTTCCACTGCTGGCTGCACCAATGGTGCTGCATTTGCTCATGCAACTCGTCTACATAAAGTCCCAAAATGCGTGGTTGGTTCAACAGGATTCATCGACCACAGATTTGCGCCAGCGTGTGGCTCGGAGCTTTTCCGGGGTTTTCGAGGCCAAGAAGATGCGACGCAATCAAGCGATAGCACCAGGCCGTACGATAGGCCACGTGGATAAATCTTAGAAAGCAGAATCCCCTTTCTGGAGGCCAGAATGACGGGAGCGCGCGAAATAAGTGGCCTTCAAAAGCTCTCGTCTCTGTTGCAAACACCAAAATGCGCCCAAAGGCGGGGGAGATTTCAAAAACTTTTCCCGCCATCTAGTTTTTCAAACCTCCTCGTTTGTGTTCTCTCCACTTGGTACAAGTGATATGTGTATATTCACATCCACAACTGCGTTGAGCAAATGTTGTGAAAAACGTTGGTGGGGTTTTGATGCATGCGCATATTTTGTTGCATAGGCCATGTTAGTACCTTTTTGTCTCTAGAAGTTATATAAAATCCGGCCATACACTGGTAAGGTTCATCCTTCCTTGAATAGGCTACCCACATAAGCAGTTTCAAGAAATATACATTCTAGGTGATTTCATGCATGCAACCACTTGTCCTTACTCAAAAAGATTATAACATAATACATATATACAAACTGTTACATTCCTTGGTGTGAATGGGGACGCAATGCAACCAGCAAAGAGGGTGCAGGTGGATAATGGAGGAGCCCAGGGTTGATCGCTCCGATTGGTGTGGCTGATGTGGTCGGGTATCATAGACAATCCTGTGAGGATTGAATTGCTTGCCCTGCATACTGTTGTTTCTGTGGTTAGCGTGATACCGCAAGTGTGGGGCTTGCAGGATTTGAGGTGGTTACTGTAGTTGGGGAGGAAGGGGTGACTGATAAGGTGCTGAACTTCGATGAGCTAGAGGTGCGTGGGATGCTGAGATTGCTGGGGAGGTTGAGAGGCGCAAGG